GGCATTGACAACTCATTCTTGTGTGACAGATGACTGCCAATGGCCCTGGCTGTCATTCTTCACATGAGGGCTATAGTGTTCATCTCCATTCATCAGCAGTATCCATGTCCACATCACCAAACACCTTTGGTGTGTGACAGTGGTTTTGTTTTATGGTTGAGTTCTAGCTCAATGTGGGAATTTCATATGAGGATGAGCAACCCTGGTTCAAAGTCAAAGTCTTTGATAGAATGTGTGAAGCAATTGACAAATTCCTTGGCTGATGCTGTAAGGAGAGAGATCTCCTTACTAAGAGATTGAGTATTAATTTCTATTTTATTTGTTTTATTGTTTCTTTACTTACTGTTGTGGGTACTATACTTGAGTTGTGTAGTGCGCTTTTTTTGTGCTTAGTCAGCACTTACTTACAGTTAGTTCATACTGTAAGTTTTCACCAATAGATGAGTTATCCCCAAAGATGAGAAGAAGTTCAAGACTGCCCTAGACTGCCCCTGGACAGTCCCCTACCCCATCTTTCCTTTGCTCAGGCTATAGGAGCCCCTTTGGTCTTACTCAATCCCTCTCAGATTCTGGTACTCCATCCTCAATCCTCTCATTTATATTTCCTCACAACACAAAGCAGGATTTTAGGACTAGATCATGAATGTGAGTGAAGTCCTCAGGGCATTTCTGGAGCTGGAAAGTGTGGTGAGCAATGAGATCTGTGGTCAAGTAAAATTCCACTTTGAAAGGGGCTAAGAATGTTGCTTCAACTATATCAAAAGGGAGTCTGGGTTTGACACCACGAGCCATATAGAATGGAGAATACCTGGTTGCCTTGTGGACCATAACCCTCTCTGCCCAAAACACCACAGGGGCAGCTTCTGACCACTTTGACACTTCCCCACCACAACTTTTCACCAGTGCCTCTCTCATGTCAACATGCTGCCACTCTATGACTCTGCTAGCCTGCAAGTTATAAGGGGATATGCATATGTGATGGATTCCAAAGGTCTTGAGGAGCCAGTTGAGGGCAAGGACATATGGTCCCCCATTATCTGTGACTATCTCTGCAATGGCACCCCAATAGCACAAAATCTGTTCAAAGATGAATTTTCCAATGGACTTAAATATCTTGGACACTAGGAACTCCAGAAGGTGACTCCAGCATGATATCAGACTGTAGTAGGAAAGGATAATTACATATATTTTTTCACTGTCTTGCCATTTCCAAATGTGTGCATATACTGTCATAATCTAACTTCATCCCCCTAAATTTCCCCTAGTCATGTGACTTTTCTCACTGGAGTGGAGAATGGCATGTGGCAGCAAATGAACCTTGGAACTATGTTGTGCCAGCCACTGCTGGAGGGGTGGGAAGGAGCCTGATTCTCACCAAGAAGTGCAAGAGTTGCTGGGATTCATCCAGAAGTACCAATGTGGAGCCACACAACACTTTGCCATTGCTCACATCTTGCACAAAAGATTTGCTTATCATCCATCAGAATTTGTCAGGCTAGGTTGCAGTTTCCACATCCCAAAGGTTTTCACCCATGGTTTCAAGGAGCTCCTCCACTTTCTGCTCAAGGAGATTAGCAAGGAGCATTGTTGGTTGATAGGTGAGAAGGTGTTCATTGTGGTGATGTATGCAAAAGCCATGCTCAACAAGCACTACAAGATTATTGCTTGCAAAGAACCCATTATCCTCTCCCATGCAGATGATTGCCAAAACCCAACAGCATGTCAAGAAGACTGACATGCAGTTTGGTGGAATGGAATGGGCCACTTCCTCCTCAATGGAAGACACCCACACCAATATTTCAATGCCATTAAGCATTTTTGGAAGATGCAGTTTGGTCAAATGGCTCCCAGCTGTCAAAAACCTATGTTTCAGGTGCTCAAGTGTGGGGTTGCTGTGAGTCAAAGTGTGGTTCAGTGGTGAAAACCAACCAAAACCAACACAAAAGACAATAAGAGTGAGTGGTGGTGTGCCTATGTGGTACCTAGATGATGGAACCTTTTATTTGGGTGGTTTTTGTGAGCTACAACACTCAAAGATGAGTGCTTAAGGTTGGGGGTGCTCCTGACAAAGAGGGAGCAGGAATGCAATAGAATGTGATGGGGTAGACTGCTGTCAGCCTACAGAAGAATGGATGATGGCTTAATTTGATGTTCTGAGCTGCACTGAGCTCAGGGAGGACTTGAAGCAAAGTATATTGATGATAGATGATAATAGGCAAAGTAGACAATAGTTAGACCCTTAATAAAGTCTCAACTATTGAAGCTGATGAATGAATTACTTGAGTGATGATGAAATGTGAGCAAGAGGGGCCCTCTGATGTCTCTTTCTTATTCAGCTATCTAAGTACAGTGATTTATATACAGTACAAGAGCATTGCCTATAGAAAACAAGGTGCAAACACTTGGTAAGTGATTGGTAGGTGATAAGTAAGGAATGTAAGCAGTGAGTAATCATCTTAGAAAGCATTGGTGAGCATTGGTAAGGATGAGTAACCCAAAAAGGCAAAGAATCAGTAAGCAAAGTCAAAAGATTGGTAAGTATTGGTAATAGGTGAGTTGAGGACAATCAGAATTTCAAAGTATGAGTCAAGTAATGTCAGAAACTGGGTAAGTGCACTGGAATCACATTAGGGGGAGGCTGTGCATGTCACATCTCAAAGAGATTGCTTCTAGGCCAAGGTGGGATGACAGAGAGGCAGCACTGATCTGATGCCAATATAGGACATCCAAAAGCAGACAGGGTGAGTCAGATGTCAACAGGGGTCAAGCTTTGGGGGTCTGTGGGGGTGACAGGAACATAGGGGATCACAACTTTCCCCCCAACTGTCCTCTCAGTGAAGCAAATAAAAACTTCATGAATGAGGCTCTGTTGGAGGAGAGGATGAAGGGGGAGCATCTTCTGCTGTATCTTGCAATAAGAAGGCAAGATGTGCATCATACTTGTCATGGACATGATCAGGGAGAGTGGAGAACAGTAGATTATACTGTAGCTGTCACAATTTTGGAAGAATGATGGACAAGACTGGTATGAAGACATTGCAGGGAGCAGGGAGGAAGGATCCATATGCTTCTTGGACTGTAGAGACTGAAATGACCACATAAGACCTTTCTAACTGAATGACAGACCTGAGGCAACCAAAGAATGTCCTCCTAGAGGTCATACTGACAAAAGGAACATGCTGTCCAAGCTGGATGGGCTGAGAGGAGGCAGACAAGGATGGAATGTACCAGGATGCTTCAGGACAGAAGCTGGTAGGAACTCCTGGTAGATATATGTAGCCATGGTCCCTAGCAAAGGGGACAAGCAAAATAATTGATGTGGAGGTGGCCATATCAGAAGAATTAGTGAAATGAGTGTCTTCTGGAGGGAGTGCTGTAGAAATGTGTGGAGTGCACAGATCCTTCCCAATTTTGGAAGGTAGGATCACATGGCTGAGCACTATAAGTAAGTGTGGGAACAGTGTCAGTATCTGCAGAATTGGTGGAGATACATTGAAAACTGGAATGCCATACATGGGTGCTTAAGAACTTTTATTGGCACTTAACTTGCTCCCTTCTTTTCTCTTTGGCATTGACAACTTGTTCTTGTGCAATGGATGACTGCCAACATTCCTGGCTGTTGTCCTTTACATGAGGGCTATAGTCTTCATCTCCATTCATCAGCATTATCTGTGTCCACATCACCAAACACCTTTGGTGTGTGACATTGCCTTTAAGTATGCCAATACTTTCATTACAGACATTTGTCAAGGGCTTGTAAATGATTTAGGTATTAACATTGACTGGTTTTCCTAGATAGCTTCCTATATGTCCCTCCTTTCATCAAATACACTGTGTTGCATTCTCCAAGTTGCTAAGTCTGAATGCAAACTAAGTACAAAAGCAATGCAGTAGAGCATAAAATACACTACAATGCAACTAAGGCAAAATGCAGCAACATCAGGAAAATAACACATTGACTATTTTGACTATTTTGTGACTATTGTGACTTTTTTTGAAGGAATCTACTATCTGTGCTTTTTTTTGACTGCACACAGCATTGAAGAATGAAAAGAGAATGGAATTTATTAAGACAACTCAGGAATACTAAGTAGATGATATATCTAAGCCAAGAAGACTAGAAAATGTCTCAAAATTTAGAGATAGTGAGCCATTGGTGTGATACACATTCTCTGAGAGAAAAATCACAATATCTCTTTGAAACCTCCATCAATTTGAATGTATGTGGTATCTACTGAAAGCTATGAATCAGGTGGTTTGAATGAGACCAAAATCAGTGAGAACAGTGCTACCATGCCTGTGGGACATGGAAATCATACCTGTGGGAACAACCAACAATGTTGTTGGTTGTTCCCACAGGTATGTTAACCATCTCTAACAGGTATGACTGCACTGTTCTCACTGATTTTGGTCTCATTAAAACCACCTGATTCATAGCTTTCAGTAGATACCACATACATTCAAATTGATGGAGGTTTCAAAGAGATATTGTGATTTTTCTCTCAGAGAATGTGTATCACACCAATGGCTCAATATCTCTAAATTTTGAGACATTTTCTAGTCTTCTTGGCTTAGATATATCATCTACTTAGTATTCCTGAGTTGTCTTAATAAATTCCATTCTCTCTTCATTCTTCAATGCTGTGTTCAGTCAAAAAAAAGCATGGATAGTAGATTCCTTCAAAAAAAGTCACAATAGTCACAAAATAGTCAATGATGATGGGTACAAAATGTGCGGCACATGCATTATGTCAGCACGGCCAGCTGGGGGAAAAAGCGGGATGGCGCTACAAAACGCGAAGGAATAAATGTGCAGACTCAACGCGTGCGGGAATAAATGTGCAGATCTAACGCCATAACATGCTGGCGACTGAGCGCTGAGCCTCTAATAGTATACCTACCAGTACTGTATTGGTACAAGTAAATCGCCGGAGTCGCTGGACTCTGTGCAGAACTCTGGCAGTGACACTGATGATCAAGAACAAGGAGGCTCGGTACCACCATCCTGTGAAATGCAAATCCGAAACGTCAAACGTTGACAACGGCTGCAATGCTGCGTCACTGCAAATGACGAGTACCTGAATTCTGACGCTGGGCTGCTGCGGAAGAAGGTTCAGGATACCATAAATAATTTCCGGGGCCACGGGGACCTGTCTATTTCATTATTGAATCGTCGCACTTTCCACAACTCGAGTCCATAGTGACCACTGTTGGTTTCGCAACCAACAAGTCGTATACCCCCCACGACTCGCCATGAAACTCAAGGCCGCTCTTGCCGCCGCCTGCACGCTTGTCTTCACAGGCTGCAGTGCATCCGGTTCTCCCGCGGAGGACTCCCCGAGTTTACTCCCTCCAACAGCTATTCCCGGGTGAGTGGACACCACAGACGGCCTTCCATCGTGATCTCCAGCTAAGTTTCACCTTTTTTGCTACAGTACAAGTGCATTTCCTAGCACTCTTCCATTCGACACGACCGCCTCGTCATCATTCATCTCTGCTCTATCCTCTTATATATCCTCCCAGTCTGCTGCTGCGCCCTCAGTCCCTACGCCCACCCCTACGTCTACTTCGAACTCGACTGCGGCTACAGCTACGGCACCGTCAGTGTCGGTAGCAACACCTACTTCCATAACGTCATCCCCAACACCAACAAGCCCAGGTGGGACATCGTCCTCGGGCACTACAGGCATGGCGGCAGGAAAGAACTACGGTTTTGTCGGCATGAGCGTGATAACCAGTGTTGTACTCGGTACGGTGGTCGCGCTTTTCTAAAATAATCCGGGACACAACGACTGGGGCATTTATGGATGAGGTATAATAGGAGGGTTACGGACCTGCAACGTCAGCTTGCAAGTAGGACATGTTGTACATTAGTTTACTAGCCCAGAGGCGGGTGATAGGTTCCCTTAAAGCTGGGGGTAATACGCTGCTGTCGTGGCTTACTGACGGGTACGCGCTCTAATGGCAGCCGCAGACGAAAGTCTAAAAATATATCTTCTCATCAGATGATGGCAAAATTAGAGTGAACAGTTTCCTTTCCGGGGGTGAGCTACCCTGGCTCGCCAAGTCCCCTCTGCTTATGGCCGGAGTACAGGCAAGATACGTAAGCATGTTTGAACATGTACATTTCATACAAAACGTCATCGAGTCTCGTACCACATTACACGAACATTGGGTAGTTGATAAGATATACTTCACAGTTTGCATTACCTCAACGATTTACCCTACGTTCTCATACCAAAAAGCTGTTTCAAAGGCAATGGGACTAAACTGCAACCCCAAAAATCGGCAGGTGAAGGATACACTCACAGTTTGAATCTCTTTCACACTCATCTTGTGGAGCTTAATGCCATTCCCTTCGCCTAACGCCGCATCTGCAAGGTCGGATTTAACCTCCTGAAGTCGCAGCATCCTGTGTGACAATACTCATCAGTACAGACGAAATAGCACGTTCAGCTTAACAAGAAACTACGCACCGCTCTTCGATCGTGTCTCGCACGACCAGTCGCTTGATATAAACTTCTTTCTCTTGTCCCAGTCTGTGAGCGCGGTCGTAGGCTTGGGATTCGGCCGCGTAATTCCAGGAGAGGTCAAGGCTATCAGAAAGGTACTTGTCAGGGTACTTCGTTAGTAGTAGTCCGGGAAGCTTACTTTACGATGCGATTTGCAGCTACTAGGTTGAGTCCAACACCACCAGACCTTGTACTGTGCAACACCGAGAATATTAGTGAAGACGTTCGTAATCGTCACGCCCGCCTACATACCTGATTAGGATTACCTTTGGGCCATCGTGCCCCTTGAATGTAGCCAGTGCCTTCTCGCGAGAGGCACGATCCATCTTGCCGTCATATCTCAGACTCTGAATACCATATCTTCGGAACAAAGTCTCCACCAGGTCAAGCATCGAAGTCCCTGCACAAAACGCGCATATCAAGAATGAAATGCAATGCAACACACTCGGGGTGACTTACACTGCGAAAAGCAGATAGACTTGTCACCATACTCTGCAGCTTCCCTGAGTGAGTCAATGAGCGCAAGCATTTTAGCGCTTGGCTCGAGGTCGTCATCACCCCTTCTCCACACATCAAGGAGGGCATTAGGGAGGGCGGTTGGCTCCCTCTCATCGCCGTTAGTTTTCTCCTCCCCTTTTTGACTTTCAACAGTTTGCTGCTGCGAGTTGCTTGATCCACCAATGAATTCAATGTCATCAGAGTCATCAAGATCGTCCTGGGAAAAGTTAGCGCGGAACGAGACGGTTATGGAGCATGAAGGAATGGGAATACCTCGGATGAAGCCTTGTCTATCTTCTTCGCTTTCTTTTTCAAGCTACCTTTACTCGCAAATAGCTGGGAAAAGTCTGGCATCTCGTCCTCCGAGCTGTCACCTAGAGGGGTGCCACCGCGGAACCTAGATTTTACGGGTCGCAGAGGCTTATCCTCTTCGGTATCGGAATCAACGGCTTTTGGTTTAACCGGTGCTAGTTTGGGGGCACGCTCTAACCTTCGGGCACGTTTGGCGGCACGTGCAGCCTCTCGAATTTCATCTCTGTCGGGTTCGAAGGCACACGACTTGAAAACCGACTGCTGCGTAAGATCGCTCATCTTCTTGCAGGCAGGACCTGGAGAGAATGAGCCTTCAGTAAGTGTGGAATTCCGAGCACAGGTGACTTGTGCGAACAAGGTCTATATCCTTTCGCAGACGCAATCTCATATTCCTTCTCCTGGCGCATGTTTTCTTGCTCGGAGCCAAGGCCACTGGGAGAATCGATTCACTGAGGAGGCTACAGAATTGTCCCGAAAGTCACTTACAACTCCCCGTCATGCATAATTGCCGAATTGCTAAGCTCCAACAAACAGTCTGGATTCCGGATAAAACATTTAGTATGTCCTAGAGAACAGGTAGCAGACGTCCCCACCGAAACATAACTCATGGCCGCACGCTAACACTCGGCCTGAGTCCCTCGTATATACTGTCACACATGTGAATACAAAGAAGACCAGTAAAGACATGTCTCACTATCTTTGCATACGGGACAAAAGTCGTCTTCGTCCAGCTCATCCGAGAATATAAACATATCGTTGGCTAGGGCACGTGCCAAGAACCTAGCAACCCCCTATCAGCTGATGGTCAACGCTGAGTTGACTAGACATCCACTCACCGTTTCTTGATCTAGAGGGTTGACATATTACTGGGGAACGCCGCCGCCAAAGCTGAGCACTCACCTTCTCTACCCACTCCTTTCCCATAGTCTTTATCGCTCTACCAAGTTCCTTGTCTTTGTCGTCCGACATGATTAGTGTAGGATCTACGTAATCCTCCGCTTGACTCTGAAAGTGGATGTGAGTGCCATGATCAGAGAACCTAAAATTTCGGATCACCAACAAGAATAAGGTTTGGATGGCAGCAAAGCTGCCGCAGTCGTAAAATCATGGTCTAAAAATAAATGAACTTTACTCGGGCGAGGAAGCGACCAAAATCTGCCTTACCAGAACTGCAGAAGTACTGTACGAGATGTATTAGGCTGGCGGAGATTGTATATGGAGCTGACTTACTTCTTAAGCAGTGTTCTATTGTGTATGTATCTGTTGATTCGGATACGACTGCGCTTCTCGAAATTGTCGTAAAGCTTGAGAAACGGAACTTAGCACTGAAGGATCGGGCTGGCGTCCATAATCACGAACCTCCCGTTCGTCGGGCGAAAATTCGAGCGCCACGAGATCTATGTGTTTCGGGGGCAGTTGCAAGATGGGTACCCCGTCCTAGGAACTCGTCAATGCACTTGTTGGAAGCGTTACGGAATGGCTAACCAGATGAGAATCCTTGGTCCGACGCAGAAGCAAAGGTTTCAGGATTTCCTGAGCTCGCATGGCTAGGACACGAATCGAAAGTGGATCAGGTCGCCTTCAAAATAACGGTCTCAAACATACCTGCCAGAGGTGGATCTTGTCGCTGCTCTCTGGCCTGAAGGTAATGATCCGGGTTTCAATTCGTAATTGTTACACTGGCCAATTTGATTTCTACTTACCACGTATCTATTGAAGTCATTCCAATCATTCCAAGGCCTGAAACGACCAAAACGAATCAAGCCATATATGTCGGCGCTGTGCAAAAATTAAGCCAAATGGCACGCAAAGATCGACACGGCAAATAGTCACATACAGCGAGTTCGTGACAGGGGTGCCCGTCAACATCCAGCGGTAGTTAGCACGGAGTAAGGCGAGATTACGACTCGCGACGGTTGATCTGCACTCATAAGTATATTGGGTGGTTAATCACCCAAGACGCCCATACCCACCTGTTGCGGATGAAATGTGCTTCATCCAAAATCACGCGGTGCCACTTCACACGGGATAGGACCCCTCTGAAACAACAGATATAAGACCACAAATACTGGATGAAACGTTCCAACGGACCCGTGATTCTCGAGCCACCGGAACTCTTCACCTTCATCAAGGTCAGCTGGAGTTGATAATTCGTTGCTCGCCGTCTGATACGTGGTTATAATGACCTAAGAGCATTCTGTGAAATTTCACAGGGTAAACTGTGTACATGGAACGCACGTCCTTTGATTCAATATCTGCTGTCGTCAGTAACTTGTCGCGGCCGTGATGGATGTGAACGGTGAACAAATCGTTGGTCTTTGTTTCTATTTCTTCTTTCCACTGTATAGGCAGGTTGAGTGGATAGTGTGGATGTATGGTCGATGAGTATCCCTACCTGTTGTAAAAGGGCGGAGGGAACGACGATGAGTGTTGTCTGTGAAGATGAAGAATCCTTCGGAAGATTGATGGCCATCGTTGCTATCATCTGCACGGTTTTACCTATGCCCCCAGTCAGTCCAACACTCACAAGGTGACTATGTGCATGAACTTGCCAAGGCCCATTTGGTCACTGAAACGAGTCAGCCGGAACAAAGTTACCGAGACAAAGAATTTGCATTGACGCACGCAAGAATACCTCCTTTGTGCGGAGTGGCTCTCTCCTGGTCTACCATCCTTCGCAGCAGCATCAGCAGCCACCTATATATGCGCGTGTAAACCTTACCAGCTAACACCAATGAGTTGGTGTGGCAGTAAACGTACTTCTAAACCCGGAAGGAGATCTCTATCGCTATCAAGCGCATCATACGACCATCACCACAGCAAGTGGACAGGAGGACCGACCTCTGCAGACCGAGCTTACGGACAGCTTCGCGTACAGTCCTCCCCTCACCTAAATTCTCGATAGAAGTGTACACAAATTGGGCCAACCTAACAAGTGAAGCGTTGGTCGACTGATGCTATGGAGGAAAATAAGGCAACGAGTCCGCTGCCTACTTTTCTGCTTGGTCGGGACCGCCGACATCTATCCGGTGTACAGGTGTATCTGAGTCGTAATTCAACTGGAAGCCGGAGTCGGCAAGCTTCTTCGCTATTTGTGACTTTTGCTGGGAGAGGACTAAGCGGGCGCCAGACATGACACAATTGCAGCTTTAGAAAGCACAGAGAATATCGAACTATGTGTCCTACCAGTTGAATGAACTCTCCTCGCACGAATTTTCGAGCCACCCGGCATCGCAGAAAGGTCTTCGCGGACGCTGCCGATGTACGAATCGGCGCTGACAACATCCTCGTATGATCTCTTTCCCAGTACTTGCTGCTGGTCCAACGGAGGACTAGCGGACGTGGAAGGGACAGAGAAAAGGCTGGAGCTGTCTAGCGCAGCTAAGATGCGCGACCGCTTCGTGGACGAGCCGGCAGCACTGTTAGGATTCATTCGAGTTGGTAGGGGCTTTGGGAAGACGCGCTCGAAAGACCCCAGTACAGCAAGTGAGCCCAGTGCCAAATAGTGTACAAATCATAGTCACTGCCAAAGCCAAGATGACCACGATGGTCACCCCATTGCAGCAGCGGCTCAGGCCAGGAGAAAGACGGAGGCTGATCTGCGTGCGACCAACGATATGCAGCTGGATGTCAAATTGCATACATTAATCCGTACCTTCGTTGTTCGATGACAGTGTCTTGTCTTAATTCATCAAATCGTCTTCGTTGGTGGAGGTCTCAATAAAACCCTTGTAGTAAGCTCTTAGATCTCGGCTTCTCCATGTGGTTACCGTACTCGAGGATCGATGGGAAGATAAATTGTTCCGTCCCCAAACTACCGACAAACACTCGAACGATTATATCAAGGATAGATGGTACAACACGAACATCGTAGGGTTCCACAAAACAAGAAAGAAAGACAAAAAGCAAAGACAGGTATGTAGAACGAATCATTGGACAGGATCGCTGCTAGCAGTCGTCCCATCACCATCCTTCCCCATACTCTGCTGTTCCTCCGAATCTAACCAACTATCCTCAACCGTCGCCTTCACCCTCCTTATGTACTCCTTCATATTCTCGCGGTACAGCTGAGCTGCTTCTGCATTGGCAGGGCTGTTTGGATTCGGATCGTGCAGGAGACTCTGGATGGAAGTGAGGATCGCCGCTACGTCATACGTGGGCGACCACCGGTTTTGCAGTATATCGAGACACAGTTCGCCATTATTATACACGTTCGGGTGGAACATTCGCGACAGGAATTTTACAGTCGGTGGTTTGTTGGGGTACGACTCGTCAAACGTAAGCAGGAGCTTGAAGGTTCCATCCTCGAACGGCGTGTCCGCTTCTCTCGACTTAGCAGGCAGTAAAGACGAGCGAAACAAGCAACACCAACTCACCTGGACCAAAGATTACCGCATTCCATACCATAATATTATCCGGACATGGGCTCCCAGAAACGCCACTTGGTGGATCGCTCGAAAGACGTTTGAAGTCACGGATAAGGCGTCTCCTGCAGTTCGTAGACTGATATCCATGTCATGAGCGGAAACGTAGAACCCTCTATTGGCACGTACCATAGGTCTGTTTCAGTAGCAGAATTGGTAGATTATATTGTAGAAAAACTAAGGAACAAAGTAATAGTACAAGATCAAGTCGCCACTAGGAATGCCACAAAGTTTCGCAAACAAAGACTATGCTTAGTCAACGCTATCTGGTATCGAAGTTTACACCAAAGCAAAAACAAGGTTTACAATGTTGGAAAGCTACATGAAGCACTTGTGTAGATCAGTGATGGATATACGAATGTAAATGTCTGTTGCCGTCTTGACCATGCTCCATACTTCAAAGCAATCTATCCTGCTTGAGGGCATCAAGCGCAGCATACGTCCGGACATGCAGCGCGTTCTATCCGAAAACCATTAACTTACTTGACACACAAGAAAGACAATGGAATAGATCCTACCTCTAGACTGTACTTGCCCTTCCGCCCTGCGGAGCTAACTTCGACTGCTTTACCACTAAGAACCAAATCGAAGTGTGTCCTAGCTTCGTCCATTTTGCCCGAGCGCGCAAGCAATCTCCCATATTCAAAATCTACCCCAAATCGAACGGGGACCAAGGCAATGAGCGAGCGGCAACGGAGAACAATGAAGACCCACGAGCGTAGTATACGAGGTAATGATCTAGCTCTATCTTTGGTCCATGCTTAAAAACAGCCTTGAATGCTTGTTCAGCTCTCCGCCCTGCGTCGTCGATCGTGACGGGAAGACTGCCGTTCTTGTCAAGATCGACGTCTGGATCCTAACAGGAATAGGTTAATGCCTAACAAATCACCCGAAGATAGCACGGCATCTGGGGACCGCGGGACGTACTGGATAGGCAACATATCTCCAGCAAACACCTTCAAGGAAACGAGCGAGGCACACGTTATCCCAGTATCCTTCACACGTCGATTTCGCTGTTCCATTTCTTGCCTTTTTAACTTTCTCCTCTCCACTATAATCGGATCCAGTGACGGAACCATTTCGGAGAGGTTTTCCAGAGGAATCACATCCAGCTTCCGTGAGGTCAAGCTCTTCAAGGGCTTTCTGCACATCAGGTATCATCTTCTCTAACACAATCCTCTGCGGTGCATGTGCGATCGCAGAGAAAACGTAGGCGAGTTCCATGGCAGGAAGCATCAACTGATTTCCCTGAGCGAGATACTTGCGCGCTTTCCGAGCCGCAAATTTCTGTTACGAAAAAAAGTTCGATAAGTTGGAAGGTTAAACAGGATATACAGCAGTCGTCGCGCACTTCAATTGGTATGCTCTTCCCGGCAATCCGCTGCCTGAGACCCGTTACCTTCGCCATCAAGTCCGCCGCCGCGTCGTGTTCACCAAGAGACGCAAGGCAGGCAGCCTCGCCATAGGTGTACGTCGCTTTCGACCACTACAAGCGATGTCCTATTGGTCGTTATTGCAGAACGAAAAGTTTTCACTTACAGTTGCTTCAGCCCTCAGGCGACTCCACCACTCCTTACTCGCTTTCACATCCCACAAAGCAAAACTGGCAATTGCACTCTCCCACCAGCTGATATGATGCATACTTCGGTACTGCGACTGGCATTGCGCTGCCCGAGCGTAGTGCTCAAGAGCACGCTCCGGTTGTGAACGTACCAAAGCAAGGCGACCAGCACCGAACAAGAAAAACACGCCTAGTGGTCACATCGTTAAAATAAAGACCTATATTTCGCCGGAACTCGCAAGCGTGGGAAAGATGCTGCCTCGACTTACTGTTTGGGTACCTCTCCAAGTTCCACTCCACTACTCTCCGGGCCATGTTGACATCGATGCCTTCAAAGGTATATGCCGAGAGCACGAGGTGGAAGACAAGAAGCATCATGTCGCACATGGGCCGGCGAAGACCCTCATCCTCTGCAATAACGCTCAGACATACAGCACCAAGAAAGAACTCTCGCGCAACGCATAGTGTGAGCCTACCTTGCGGAACGATGTCTCGGTCGTCGCCTGAAGTCCAACCGCCAGCTCTCTCCAGTATCCGAAGGCCTTCCATCCGGTCACCTCGGTACCCAAACAGTTCCACGAAAGTAAGCAGTCGCGACGGCATAAGAGACAAAGCGAGATGTGACAAGCCTAGTCCGATATAAACTCCTGACCGGAAATGCCGGTCAATGGACGGATCCTCAAGCGGCACATTCAAAGACTCTTCCGAATCTTGATAATGCGAGGCCGCGTAAGCTGCGTCAGCCACCTCAAGGTATCGTCCAAGTTGCCGGTATATTGACATAGTTGTCCGCATGTTCAACCTGAACCCACGATCGGAATTCGTCGCGGGAAGGATGTCGGTGGGGGCACTCACATTTCCTTGATAAACGAGAGCCAGTCACCGGAGTAGACAATCCCCACCAAACTCTGGAGGGAAAAATGCATAATTACGGCTGGCGTTCAGCTTACGTTGTGGCTGGCTCTCACCTTGTAGTAGAGGCCTTCTGCATACATAAGTTCAGCGTGTTTCTCCACGTCAGTCATCTGGGCAACCCATTCGGGACCCGAGTAGCTGAGACCTGGAACGATATAACCAGCTAAACGCCCTGCTAGTGATGGAGGAGGCTTCCTATGAGCCGCTGCAACGGTAATTCCCCGCTTCATGTGATGAATAGCGTTAAGAAGGTCCTAGACACCTATGAGCGTCTACAGAACAGATAACACAGCGCCCCCATACTTTGTCTTCGAAAGACATCAAACCCTTGATACCCTGTATAACCCCATATCCAGTAGCAAAACATAACCTTTCCCTAGACAACAATGGACTGAGAATGCACAGACGCCAAGTAGGAAAGAACCGGCCGCACTTGTTGGGGTCCATGCGGTCACAGTACTCCTCACTTTCCAGCATCCGCGAGTGAAGGAATTCATACAGAGCCCAGTGTATCCCTGGAAGATCATCTAGAGCCTTGTCTGGGGTATATGTAGGCGACACGGGCGGTGGGGGACGATTCATGCTGGGTGCTGAAGGTGGAAGTGAGTAGTGCAGTACGTATTGTAGCCGAAATGGTTTTATGAACTGGCGAACCCTCAAACCCCGATTGGACAAATTCACGATGTGCTGGTAAAATCAAAACTCCCTGTCTGATTCTACCTCTCGTTGCTCGGGTTGGTCGTCTGAGTTACGTCCACATGTACTCACTGGAATGGAGTGTTGCTGATTGGTGGTTGTGCATCCAAGCGAAGGCTTGCCAACCGGTTTCAAAAATGATGGGTCTTATTTTTGAGCAATAGGTTTCACTGATGGCACTTTCCCCATTTCCTCTACTTTCAGTCCATTCCAGTGAGTGCGCTTATACACTCCTTTGCTCAACACACACTTAGTCAGGGCTGCTGTTATGTTGTCGACTGAAACCTTTCGTTCCCGTGGAACGTCTGGAGTCGTGCCTCCACATAAGTCTTACATTTTTTGACAGGTAACGTTGAGTCTTTGCCGCTCTGGCCTATCCATTATCGCACCTGTCTGTGGAATTGCCGGCTACCTACGCACGAGACACTTTTCCAATCTGCCTCAACCATCCTCAGTGCTGACTCCCGAGGTCAAATTTGTGTGCGGCTTTATCGGTAAAAACCGGAGTTCTCTGGGTGGGTTTCGTGCGCTTTCAGCACAGTGTCCTTAGTCTTTACTGGCGGTGAGTGAACCGCATCGTTGCACGTCACGACATGACCTTGCTTACAAGGGTCCTACCGCGCCCGCGATTCCCACGGGAGCCAACTGACGACTCCTTTTGCGTGTAAGACTACCCTTTCCTTTCTCATGACAGACTGGCGCTATATGTAGATGTAGTTGTAAGGTAGTGTAGGATACCGAGTTCCGAGAATTAGTGTTAATCGAGCTTAGCACATATGCATCCAGCGCCACGCCCAAATGCCCAAGTTGTACTTCTGTTTGTTCAGTGGCCTGCTATTTTCGCCCCTTTGCACTATTTCATTCGACGGAGACGGAAAGATCCACAGGATACAAGCTCAGCCAATAATTGATCAGGCCTTCAGGGCGGTAGTGGCTGTAATAGGCCAGCTGTAGTTCATATAGGAGCAGAAGGCATCCTCGTCCTATACACAGGGTAGGAACGAGTCCAGGCCTCCAGGCTAAATATTACAGTACTGTAATGGAACCACAACCACGCAGCTGATAAATCCGGCAGTACCCACGGTTTATCACTGCTTCTCATGAATGATAACCGCTTCTTCCTAATGACCGCGGAAGCACGCCCGCTGTTTGAACTATTTGCCCTGTATGTAACCAGCTTCATGACCTCTGTTACGATGCCATCTCAGTCCGTAAATACGGGTGTCCTTGCGGAATTACACACGTTCCTCTGGATTTCGAAAAAGTCGCCGAAAGACTTCAATAATATTTTTAATCACCAATTTTGGACTCGCAGTCTAGACAGAGATTATCTTATCAACCTCGGCAACTCAACAACGTGCGTTCTGTACAAACGTGCAGATATTGCACTGTCCAATGCTAGTTAATCATACTGGCACGCACCTGAACGTCTGAACAGTATTACTTAGTGGTGGAAGTAGCAGCAGCCAAGTGTCGTCTATATGTGTGAGCGATCACGTGATTCGAATTGACGTATGCATGTGGTCGCGCCGTCTTGTCGAGGCAAGTGCATGAATCACTTGAGTGAGGCGCTTCTGCCGCATGTCTGCCTGAGGGTCTGTGCTGTTCTTGCTATTCAATGTCCTCGCGTCCTGCTCGTTCTCATTGGAAGAAGCCGTATAACACTAGTTTGAAATCTGCTCACTCACCGGTTGTCGCTTTTGTACTTGCGGAACCTAAACAGGCATCAGCCTTGCACTCAGCGACGACCAAGTTACCCAGCATTCTCCGTAACGCTTCCCCACCGAAAGAACCGTTCGAGACTATCCCAATGAAACCTGGAGTCAGCGAAGCCGTAGTGGACACCGTAGAGCAGTCGCCAGTCAGCGAGGAATCTGCGCAGTCGGAGTCGGTCTGTCGGGGTCTCTCACCAGGTAGATCTGGTTTGTGTTTACAGTCACTCTCGACACGCTAGTGACTAATCCAATCTGTATCCTCATCTCAGACGTAGATGTAGCGGCGGAAACAACGACCGGCACCAGTGACGCTCAAGGCAGTGATGCCGAAGGTATTTCCGTGCCAGCACAGGACGCAGATCCATCCGTAGCTGCAGCTCCGCCTCCTCTCCAGTCCGGTGCATCGGATCGTACCATATCGAACAAACGGTCCTGGTTCAGTGCATTCACTTGGCTGCAGGGCCAGGAGTCCGAAGCTAAGCTTGAGCAAGCCCTGGAGGCCTCAAGCGCGCTCCCCGTCTGTACCGATTCCTCTGAGTTACCTCCTACCCTCGGTTCGACAGTATCCTCAACATCTCAAGAGCCCTCCCCCTCTAACGCTACGACAACCCCTCATGGAGGAGACTCTCATTCAAAGGAGCCAGCACCCCAGCAACAGGACAAGTCGCTGTCACAACCCAAACCTGACTTAGGTAATTCGAGCGCGGATGTTTCAAAGCTTCCTCCAAACAAGGCGCAAGCTATCCCACTGACCACACTCCAGCCAGCGGGCGTTTCTGGCTCAACTGCCTCGTTGAATTCCGGCAGGTTTACACTCGGCATCTCTCTGTTAAGCAGATCTAAGCCTCCTCTCGATAAAGCCGCTGCGGCATCACATTCAGAGAATGCACAGGACGTACCGAAGAACTATGGAGAAACTCCAGCCCAGGAAACTCATAGAACAGGTAAGTCGCGTAAAGCTGATTTGTTCATTTGCCTTAGCATATGTAGTTGCCGCAACCCCTATTGATTCTCTTTCCATGGATGTGCCGGCTACTACAGTTGAGTCAGAGACGGAAACACCTGATGCCCCTAAGGCCCCAGGAGACCACGAATGTTCCGAACAAGCTAGCACTGATAATAGCGCAGGCACCTGGTGGTCATATCTTGGCTGGGGTCGCGGTGCCAGTGATCAACACAGCCAGCCTTTCTCCGGCGCTGCAGGAACTGAACACCCGCCAGCGCATCCGATGGAGGATGTCGATGCACCGCCACCTGCTTCGTCTGCTACACAGCTTGGGACTGAGTGCCAGCCTGCCCCAATTTCCAAATCGGAGAGCAAGGACAAGGATATACCATTTGAAGCCCAAGATCAAGATGAGGTTCCTACAACGTCCGCTGATACGAAGAAGTCCCAGGGCTTTGCATGGTATGCTCCGTGGTCCCGGTACCAAGCGCCCTCTTCGGTGGTGCCGTCAGATGGCGATGCTGGTGTAAAGTCAGCTTGCCAGCAATCAATTGATCAGAAACCCGAGCCGACTTACCAGGAACCGTCCGTTCCTTCAATAGAGGGCCCGGATGCCAACGTTCCCGCCACCGGATCTATCAATCCTATCCAGTCATCGATATCCCAAAATCGAACAGGCTGGATGTCTTTCTTCTCTACTCGGGCTGTGGCAATGAACAGTATCACGTATGAGAAAGAAGGAGAAATGGAAGTGATGGATATCGATGAGGATGCCAGCGCCGCCGAAGGTACTGGCAGTTCTTCATTACCGAGCTTGGCGGGCACCCAGGGACCATCGATTAAGGAGACAAAACCGTCCCAGCTCGCTTCGGCATCTGGCCGAGGATCTCCCGTTGCTGTTGATGTGAGGCAGCAACAGAAAGTAACCACCCAAACCACCTCAGAGGCAGGTTTCCGTGAAGTTGTGGTACGACAGTCGTCTCCTTCGCCTTCCAAGAAATCCATTGTAAAGACACCCGTGACACCACCTCCGCCCAACGTAGTTCTACCCACTTGGGAGGATATCTTTCACGCTCCGCCTAGATCTATTATCCCAGAAGCGCCTTCATCTACCCTGGCGAAGGCGCTCAAGTCTGTCACGGAGGTTTTATTTTCCCGAAGTGAGGCTCCCGCGGAGAAAGGGAAAGGGAAAGGACGGGAAGATCATTGTTCCCCGTATGAGAGGGCTCTTCCACGCGCATGGAACGTTCTCGGCGATAATAGCACGGACGTCTTGAGGGGTTGCCGACGGGTAGTTGTCATCGGCGTCCATGGATGGTTCCCGGGTATGTCACGGCCTATTATCAGTGAAATCTACTGATTGTTATCGTTCCTTGAAGGTGCTGTGGCGCGGACTTTCATTGGAGAGGTTAGTACACATTGATAACCTTGCTTACTCATGCTGTGATTAAACGCGGCCTGCAGCCAACAGGCACTAGCTCCAAGTTGGTCAATAGAGTCGTGCAAACACTAGACGAGTTCCAGGAAAAGCACAATGTGAAATTAACAAAGATTACGAAGATTCCCCTGGAGGGCGAGGGAACAATTAATCGCCGCGTTGAGAAGTATGGATTTGTCAATACCTTCAGCGGCACGCTCACCCTGACCATCCCCCCTTTGATGCAGATTGTATCAGAACCTGATCTCGAACGACGAATGGATGGATGCTCTTCGTGAAGCAGACGCTATATTTGTCGCGACACATTCTCAGGGGTCCATAGTATCTACCCACATCCTGGACCGCCTTATTGCTGACCGCCATATTCGGACGACGTCAAACAACGGTGTTCTGCCTGGGGATGTTCCATTACCTCCGCAGCGTATCTGTTGTTTGGCCCTGTGTGGCATTCACTTAGGACCTCTCCGTTACCTGAATACGAGCTCCTTACTTTCCCCCTACATCCAAGTAGGTTCCCAGGGATGCTAATACGTTGTACATTACTCACTGATCTCGCAGTATTTTGAATCCACGGCGGCCCGTGAGCTATTCGAGTTTCAGGTAATATCTTCCGAAGCCGCAAACACGCTCAGTTCTGATTGATTCTTCAGAACACGGAAAGTGCGACATCCAAAGACTACATGAGGGCATTGCAAAATGTCTTGAACAATGGGGTAAGCATTTTTTCCATAGAATTTTCGTCGCAGCAGCCTTTGTGAATCGTTTCGAACCAGATCAAGATGGTCTACATCGCCTCTCTGAATGATCAAGTCGTGGGACTGTATTCTGGGTTGTTCACATCAGTCTCCCATCCATTGATTCTTCGTGCGCTCTACATAGACGGAGATGCATACCAGTAGGTAGCACTGCTCATCATTTCTCACGCCTCGTTGACCTCTCCTGTAGTTCTTCTGATTTTCTTTCTAACTTACTCGCGCTGCTCCTTCGCGTTCGGAATGCTGGCCTGTCGGACAGTGGATTGCTTACTCATTTGTCTGAAGCAACTGCAGGCTCGCTGAACGGCATCGGCCATTCCACACCGTATGAAGAGCTTGGTACATATACGTAAGCATGTAGATTGCCCTCTTATGGCCATCTGGCTTATCATTTATCTTTATAGCTTAGCCATAAACTACTTGTTCCTCGCCAATAATGGTCTTGAGGATCAAGCAGAATTAACAACAGAATCATTTAACGCACTGACAGAACAGAATGATTACGAAGTACGTCTTCTGCTCATCTCCGACGGCGACGGGGAATCCTCATCAGGCTCAATCTCGTTTTATTCTTCACATTCAGATTCCCTGGGCACTCCGCGACTTGATCGCTGATGATAGGGTTGCACGTTTATTTTCCGATGAACTGGTTGCTTTACGAGACGCTTTTCGAAATTGGCATCCCAAGACGGCCGTCCAAAGAGACCTCAAGCGCAAGCTGCAGCCCATCCAGCGCCTATCGGCCTCGATGATATCAGCTCGTGACCATCCTGTGAGCAAGCTCTGACGTCATTCTCTGAAGCACCGCAGCAAGACATTGTTGGAACATACTGGCACGTTACATATTCATCAATAATCACTTGCGTTCCATTCCTTAGATCAGGCTCTTTTCGGCCCAGCATCACAGCGCCCATAAATTAACATCTTGTACAATCAATCACTTGCATACCCCAGCCCTGTACTAGGAGATTTGGAAGTTCTAACTATATATCATACGGCCAGCAAAGGATGCACGCGCCCTTTCTTTGGATATGATACTCCAGATTGCCACAGGGAACCTACCAGAAACCGGGGAAACCTAAACCAGATCGGTAGAAAACCTAATAGAGCAACGCCCTTCGAAGCACGGATTAAGCTTGAATCACATGGAACTGCCATGCGACCTCACAATGTGTGAGAGCCAAGACAGTATGTAACGTTGATTTGCCCGATTGTTCGTGGTTTGCAGTACATAATTAATAAACAGACTTGTCGAAGTTATCGGTATTCGGCACCACAATCACCAATTGTGGATATCATCCGACGTCCATCGGATAACTCGAGCACGGTTTCGATATCTTTGTTGTCTTGTTCCGACAGCGTGAATCCAAAAACTTGCAAGTTCTCATCAGGGTGCTCCGAAACACCCAATCTAGCACCTAAAAAACAATCGAATATCCAATTTGAGAATCAAGCAGTGTACACGTACCGATGATCACAGCTCCGACGAAGGGATGATCAAGAACCCATCGTGTGGCAATGTTGGCGATGCTCCGGCGATGACGGTCCCCGATTTTGCGCAGCACCGCCAAAAGCGATTGGAAAAGTGGCCAGGAGCCCCATGCCTTTAAGATGACGTCGAGGTACTAACAGGTGGAACGGGACGAAACCAGTGAGTTACGGTCTGGCTGTGTGCATTCTACTCTGTATACACGTACCTTGCGCTGGGATGGTGTCAAGTCTCCGGTATATAAGTCTGGCTCCGGTTTATGGAGCCATTTATCCGATAAGAATCCGCCGCACTGAAAAAAGGAACGTAATGGGAACGAACTGTCAAAAAAATGTTTGCAAATAAACTCACTAGTGTGCCATATGTCAACAATTTAACATTATGCCTCTCACAAACGTCTGCCATGCCATGTAAGGGGCGGGTGTCGATAAGAGAAAACTGGATAGGGAAGAGGGAGTGAATAGCAATAACAAATCAGCGGCAACATTCGCACTTGCACTTGATTAGAAACGATAAATCCTGGCCCAAGCTGGGTGCAAATCTCGTCCGTCCGAATGGCGTCGAAATTACATAGACCCACAGTCGATATCAAACCTTCGTGTTGCAGATCTTGAAGGATCTGCAGTGCAGAAAGATAACCTTTGTCTGAATAGTCTTGCCAGTGGAACTGCATGTCAAGGTTATCACCAAGGGAGGCACGTGATACCAACGGAGACATTGAGGAATGTACCTGAAGCAGATCAACTGACGTGGTTCGCATGCGACTCATGCGCTCCCGCAACGCGGCCTCCACAACAGAACGAGAGGGTTCCGTCGGTCTAAAAACACACCATTTCGTAGCGCCCAGGACACTCGTTGGCTCGGAAAGGGTTTCTCTGTACTGTCCCTAGATGGTGCTGTGATTTGAGTGACAAGTTGTGATATCGAGCTGCATGGCATACGAAGAGGATCTCGGCGCTCCCATAGTGGTCCGCTGCAAAACGAACATTAGCCAATGCGAATAGCCGTGCCATGATTGAGGTGAATTATTACCCTAAGCAATAGGAATCGGCACACATGTTTAGTGAGAAGGAAATCAAGTAACGAGACCATCAGATCGCACCATATCTGGGGGCGAGGACGTTTCAGATTGCCATGAACAATAGACGACAAGAAAGCGCGCCGCACCAAATGCATTGTAACCCAGCTCAACGTGCCGTGCCATACCTTGTCGAATTTTGGGTGCTGGGGCACTACCCCATGCATTGCTGGAGAGCTGCCAGAGTCCGACCCAGATCCTCGAAGCGATGAACGGACCGAGTTCGAATGTTTCCTGTAGAGTCTTGCTGCACGACATCGGGGGCGATTCGAGGATGAGCAAGATAAATGTTGATAGTTTATTTAATGGAGTTGGATTAAGCTCCGACTCATCCTAGGAAGCGGCGCCCAGGGCGGGCATAAAAAATGACTCTGACAGTAGAGATGCTAGTGAAACACCTCCCCAGACATGAACCGACGGCTGGAGTGTTGCATATCAAAGGTTAACGGCGGCGAACAAGTTACAGACCGCACCCGGGGCCTGACGACGACGTGGCGCTGGCCGCACGATCAGCACACCCATACAAAACCAGGATTTCAATAGCGGTGGTGCCAGCAGTGACAGCACTGGTTCGAGTTGAGGCTGTCAGATGATCAGCGATGATCTCGTAGCTTACCATATTGTAAATTTTTAGTACTTGCCACGAGATGACGATATCCTGCACGGATGCACAGCGTTGGTGGACCGGATGGGCTCCGAAACAAATTCTGCCAATAAATTCAAGGTCCAAACGGTCGCGACTTGTTCCCCTGTCCCCCCTCGGCCTGTTTCTGTGCTTAAGCGCTAACACCAACGAGAATGCCAGCACCACAGATCGTTGCTCATTCACCAGACGGTATTAAGGCTTTTGGGCATGTGTAAGTGTCTACAACGATTACGCTTCCACTACGCCTGATATGGTCTCCTTCCAGAAATCTCATGGTACGTCACCCACAGAACCCTGGGGGTATCGTGTTCACCATGTGGGTCACGTCCAGGTCGATACGCTTATCGCCAATGCTACGATCGAAGAGCAAGTCTTACCCTTTACTCGATCACTTATGAGCACTAGTACTCACACCGCTTCCCAGTTTACGTGCTATCACTAGGAACTTGCTCGCCTCGGGGAGCCCTGGTCTCGCATCTGCGTTCACGGATGCTGCACGCATCCGTCTCCGTCAGACAAGTCAGCAAAGCGGATAGCAAATACCAACGGGTTGTTTGAACCAGAATTAGACGGGATCCATGCTGCTCCTTCCTCAAGCCTCGATAATACATTGGCTCGAATCCGCTCCCTCTACGGAGCTGGTATGGGTTTTCGCGAGCCTCGGACTGCTTGTGACCATCGTAAAAGCGACCATAGGATTGAGGTGGGGTCGGGATGGGTCCATGGCCGCTATGCTAGCGGTCATTGACACAGATATCAGCCAAGCGATTCAGGTTTGTACTGTCACAGGATGCAGGCGCTCGAATTCTGTGCTGATAGACGAGGCAGAGTTGCAAAGAAGAACTCGAGGGCGGGCGCGTGAATGATCTCACAGCTGCTCGAGACGCAGTAAACAAACTTTGGGTCAGCGTGCAGGAAAGCTTGGCGGACGTGAAAAGTTGGGGCGGGGAATTCCCCTTCGAAAGAGCCGCCAGTAGTATCGAATTCTGGAAATTTTGAGTCCAACAGTGTATCAATATCACCGCAGTTGAGCTTGTGCTCTGATACCCTTGTAAAATTTCAGTGCACGTGGTCGCCTGCATGCACATTTCCGCTGTCATATTGCCTGAGATTTGACGACAGTTGCGTGTTCAGCTGATCACTACTGCACTGGGTGCTGGGTCCGGGTATCAAACAAGGGAGCAGGTGGCATGTCCTTGTGCCACTTTACCACAAGGTCGAGGAGCATGATGTCTCCGTTTGGCTCGCCCAGAATCAGGGATAGTCGCGCAAGATACATATGTCACCGGTTTCTTAAGTGGCGCCCGAGGGGCGGGGCCTCGTGCGATACGCACGCCGCTTCCGCTTTCGTAGATTGCCGGGGTTAGCTAAGCATTGCGAGAATTTTGACTGCCCTGCAGACTAACGATCAGTTGCGCTCACGAATGCGTTCGGTTACTAGATATCTTTAAAAATGCCTTATGGCAATTATGGTCAAATCAGCAAGTAGGCAGGGGGGCCAGCATCGATGCTAGTATGGTCCGAAGACACTGGTTATGTACTTACCTACAATTCCCGTAGCGTGGTCTCACATACGCTCAGCAAAATGACAAGGGTGTCATGGAGACGTCAGAATCCGAAGCTTGGGCGGATTCAAGGGGGAGACCGCGAGCACTTCTGATTCGCCCCATCTGAACCGTGCTGGACCTCCGGGTCAGATACGGGCACAGCACTTCCTAGTGGAAGGGACGAGGATCTACTGTGTCCCCAGCCAAGCAGGCAGAACGTGGTGTTGGTCCAAGATTAAACGCAGGCCACGCAGGCCGTCTCGGGTGGCGGACAGCCGCTGTCCTTCCGGCAGACTCCGGTTTCCAGCATGTGGGCCAGGGCGGGCCCAAGGGCCTACCGCCACCGAATACCCAATCCCTCACAGATAATCATATATTGCTTTAGTTGTGTTTTAGATTAATACCGGAGACCGGAGACATAGTGCCTCCAACACATACAACCTTCCGACCGCGCCGATGTACATTAATGTACAGTATCCACAAACCATCGGGCCGGCGGCCCGCGCACCGAGCCGAAACTCCACTCAGCCCATCCACTTACTAATAGCTCATAGCGACGCTCTTCTACGGATTGGCATCTTCCTAAGCCGATGCCTCGAACTAGACAAAACGGGGCACACTGTAAGTACTGCAAAACTTGACCAATCCTACACATGGCGTCCAGCTGTTTGTTTGTTGACGACAACCATGTAACTGAAGTCAGGGTTTACCAGAGTCGTTTTAAGCTGGCGATGTCCCAGCAGACAATCGTAGGATCCTTGTCAGGCTGAGAGTCCGAGCTGTTTCCTTCGTTCGTCGCTCACGTAAGTATGCGAACAGGCTGATCAGTGAAGCTGACTGAGCAGTCTCGTAAGTGCGTCAGGGTCCATTAATAAATGGTACGAAGGGAACAAACATAGTCCGTCCGGGTCATTTCAACTCCAATGTATCGCATTTTAAGGTCGTGTTTCAACAGGGTGTTATATGAGTTCATCGTTCTTGTGTCTGTATTCACCGTCTGCAACACACAACGAACTTTGTTAAGAGCAAAATGCGGGCGAGCACGTCGGGAAAATCCGCGGAGACAGCAGTTGAGGATATCGAACAAGCACATGCAGAATGATCCATTTCTCGCAACCTTAAAAAGACATGAAGACCCTCAAAAGATGTCCTCTTTAAGGCGTTGGATAGCCGTTTTTGTCATTGGCCTTGGCGCTCTGTGCGCCACCTCGGCGTCTTCAAATGGTGAGTTATTATGCGCTCCCTTTCCGCCCTTGATTTGGAATATCCCCTAGGACGCTTTCACGGAGACGGGCAGTGCTGAAACTTTCCGCGTATCGCATGAGGTCGCGATACTCGGCATTAGCTTGTTTGTTCTTGGGCTTGGTATTGGGCCGCTACTTGTCGGCCCTCTCTCCGAAGTTTATGGCACGTATGACTACTCAGGCTGGTAAACTATTGCTGAAACAGTCATTTGGTATGAAGGTCGGAATATCATATACAGAGTTTCATATATTTCATTCTTTATTTTGACATTCCCGGTCGCCTTCGCTCCGAACATCGGTAAGGGAACCGTTGGTCCGTTTCTCCATATTTTACCAAACAGTGCTGCGCTCTACTGCGCACTGCTGTGTTTGCAGCCGTCTTCCTTATGTTCCGGTTATTGACGGGTTTTTGCGGGTCGGCGTTCTTGAGCGTAGCTGGTGGCTCTGTAAGTGACCTGTTTCCGGACTCGGAGGTGGTCAAGTGAGTGAAAAATGATGAATCATCAATGTTCTATTCTTACCGAAGTTTTAGTCCCATGGGTGTCTACACGGTGTAAGCGGGCTGAAAACAGATACGGTAGAGGAAGTGCTGAGTCTGCTATCAGGTCACCGTTTATCGGACCGACCCTCGGTCCATTGATTGCTGGGTGTGTGACGTGCCTTGCGTTTGGTTGGTTGGTATTGACACTGTTTGTCAGGTTCATCAACCAGGTTAGTACTTCATTTGTGTTGGATCCTTCGTCTCGTGCCCGAGCTTTGCAGAACCTTGATTGGCGATGGACCTATCGCATAGACTTGTGCTGGATCTTTGGACAGTGCATCCTTTTGTTCATTGTGAGTTGGTCTTCGATGCTGAATAACGACACTTGTCAATTAGCGCTCTCAGTTTGTCCCTGAAACTTATGCGCCTGTCCTACTCAAGAGGAAAGCTGCCAGGTGAGTGTACTTTGTGGTGGTAAACCAGAAGTTATTTTTCAATGCCCCCCTAGACTACGAGAGCAAACGGGTAATCCAAAATATTGTGCTCCCTTGGACAGAAGACAGGGTAGCTTAGCTTCCGCGGTCTTGATCAGTTGCTATAAACCCTTTCGTAAGTTCGCATGCACTGGGTTCACTCACCAGTCATCTGAGCATCGTTTTAGAGCTCCTGCTGTTCGATAGAATGGCACTCCTCCTGAATACGTGGTACGTGATGCTAAGTGGTTATTACGGATCACTCTCAATACCTATTACCCAAGGAATGCGTTGTTATTGGGGGTGCTGTACCTGGCGTTCCAAGCGTTTCCGGTTATATTCGAAGACAAGCATCATTTCAACGTCCAAATGACGGGTCTCTCATTCGTTGGACTTGGTATCGGAATGCTTGTTGCTCTCTCCACATTACCGTTCTGGAACAGGTATGTTATGCCTGTAAGCATTGCAAACGGCGATTTTGAAGACGCGTTTATGGGATTAGATTGTTTGCACGCAAAGCAAAGCAATTTGGTAGGGCGTATCCGCCAGAGATCAGGCTAATCATGGGTCAAGTTGGCAGCGTCCTTGTACCAATCGGCACGTTGTTTCAATTGCTAACATCAAAGTATTTGACTCCCCTCCCCTCCTCTCTGCAGGCTTGTTTTGGCTTGCCTTCACCACCTATTCCGGTGTTCCTTGGATCGTCCCCATGATTGCCTCAGTCCCACTCGGGGCTGGCATCTTTTTCTCCTTCATGTCGACCTTTATGTACCTCGTTACTGCATACCGCCCTATTTCAGCCTCGGCAATGGCGAGTAATGCTGCCCTCCGGTGTATATTTGCCGCCGCTTTCCCCCTTTTTGTTGGTCCAATGTACGACCGCCTAGGAACAGTCGGGGCAACGGCGCTCTTGGCGGGTCTTACGACAATCATGGCTCCACTACCGTACGTTGAAGGTGATTTTCCTGGCAGCGTGCACTGACGCCTGTCTTGTACAGATTTATTTTCTACCGTATTGGAGAGCGGTTACGGAAGAAGTCACCATTCGCAGTTAGCTGATCTAGACTTTGTACTACTAGACATATCCACCCCATCCAATATATCTTCGCAGGTCTACGTGCGTCAGGCTTGCTAATAATGACAGAAAGGTACTGATGTTAGGTTACGATCAACAGTGCTGCACTAATCTACTCAAATCACAAATCACGCTTTTCTTCCTTTCCGGTTTGGTCTTGTTTCATTACTGCATCTAGCTAGCTACATACCCGGTTGGCTCAGAACCAAAAGAACGCTGGCCTGTAAAAGCAGACAGAACGGTTGTATGTATCTACGGTGTTAACTGCGGGAAATGCGAACAACTGTATGTAGGGGTATAGTACATCTTGCGTTGTTGAAAGTAGGGTATCAAGAAACAGCCGAGTGCCAGGTTGGTCGAAGGAAAGAAAAGGATATCCCTGCACGAACGAAAGCGAAAACAAGAAGGCGATACGGAAAAGATGATGACACAGTGCTCAAGCGAAAACACGAAACCAAAATGAAGTCGGAAAAGAAAAAAAGTGGTGAAGATATCATAGGTCATAGGCTTGTCCCTCATCGTCACTCATAGCATATAAACTTAGATTGGCCATATCTCCAAGGTGGAGTTCGTGCTCCGGCCGGAGTTGAAGACTGGTGGGTGATCCAGGTACCTCGGTCATCGAAAAGTCGGTAGTCGCTGGTGTGGCAGGAGTAGGGATGGACGTGCTGATATGTTGACCGTTTAGGACGCTTCCATTCAGCCGTTTTGGTAGACGACTTGGAGATGGTGGGGACACCGACGTGGATGAGAGTGCCCCATGATCATGCATGGCCTCCTCCAGCATTAGCAGTGACATATTGTTTGGCAAGGTTGGGAAGATCGATGACGCAATACTTGCTCGTCGCTGGCCAGTCGATCGCGGAAGTGTATCAAGGAAAGTAGAGGATCGGGTCGGCGAATCCTCGCGCGTGGCTCCGCCAAGATCCACAGATGATCTCACACTACTAATCGACTGTGCAGGAAGAAACGAATGCGATCGCTGCACAACGGGGCGACGAGGAACATCACCATTCGACAGCAGACTCGGTGTACCGATCTTCCTGTCGAGGGTGGACTTCGTGAATGCAACCTGAGAGGCAGGTCGAGAAGGTTGCGTCCCGTTCGCCAGCCGACGGAGTTGATCACGCAAGGCTTCAAGCTCATTCTCGAGTTCTTGGATGCGATCTCGGAGTTGAGTATTCTCTTCCCGCAAAGTCTTGGTCGTTCGTTGAGAATCCGACAGGGCAGCTAACAGCGCCTCCGTTTCCAGATCATGCTTATCTTTCAAAAGTTGCATGGCCGCTTGGTGCGCCGACGACGAGGCAGATATCGACGTCGGTGCGGTGGATCCACCAGAGAGCGTTGTACGTGGAGCGGAGAACGTAGGGCTTCCGGCCCACGTGACACCTTCCGAAGGAGTCATTACACGAGAGATACTGCCACTCCGACCCCAGGAACACGTGGAAGCCACCTCAGAAAATGCCATCCTGGAGGGAACATAGCGATCCTCTCGTTCGTTGTTTCCTCTCAAAGAGTTATATCGTCCAAGACCGTTAGTTCCATCCCGGTCGACGTCCAAGAGCCCAGCTGCGGCGAACGCTTTCGCCGTCCTTGGGCCTAGCCAGTCCATCGCGGGGGGATGATTCGAAAGCGAAGACGAAGGTCGTATCGGCGACACCTTCGAAGAACTAGATGTCGAAGATATATGCGCCTCCTCGACACTCATACTCCGTTTCCGATTGGAAAATAAGTGTGGTCGTCTCCGCCTATTCACATCCAATGGACCTCCCAGCTCCAGGCTCAGCCCCGGTGTCCGCTGCCGATAATTATCTGACGCAGTCCTAGACGATATCTGAGAGCCCGAGGAGGGTGATTCGTTGTCTGCCGCAGCCCGGAGGTCTGTGCGGGAGCTGCTCGGGGAGTATGATGAAACATGGCGGTTCGCCAATCCCAGGCGAGTGCTGAGAAGCCGCCTTGACGGGAGATCTGTGGATATGGGAGAACTTGAGGAAGGTGTGCCTGAAGTTGAATGTGTCTGCGAAGACAAAGGTGACGGTGGCTGATGACGCTTCTTTGGCGCACCGTGGAGACCTGGTGAGCCAGCAGCTTCCTTGGGTGAAGGACGGTCCGCAGAAGGTGCCGTTGTTACGGCACGGGTGAGACGAGGAAGAGAAGATCCGGCCGGTCTAGCCATGGATGACCTGGATAAAGACACGGAACGCCGCTGGGGTGATGACTGTTGAACACCATGCGACGCAGGCGAGGGCGGAATGACGGTGCCGAGTCGGGGAGATGGCGTCAGCGTTTTACGTTCTGCGCCGGGTGTGACCTGAGGTGACAGTGTGATGGGAGGATTTGGGCTTCTGGAATGCACCCGGGGGGGCTTAAGGTTGCTGAGAGGGGCTGAACGATGAGGCTTTCCATTCAGGCTGTGTGGGCTGAGAAGCTGGGCTAGGTTCGGGTCCAATACATCGAAGTCTAACGTGGCGTCCGGATCCTCATTGGGGCCATGCACATCTTGTGCTATGTCATCCGTGTGATCCTCCACTACTATGCCGTCCGCGGCGCGGAGCCATTCACTAGCTCTAATTGCATCTTTCTCCGTCAAGGCATCCATCACCTCTGCATTCAACTTTGACGTGGACAAGTCCAAAACGGAAGCGTCTCTTGAGTCTGGTGATGGAAGCTGGTCTTTGACATGTCTATCCAAGCAGAAAGGAGAGCCCGGAGAACTGGTACGGTCGTCCGGACTTGTGGTTTCATCGATATAGGGAATGTGCTTTGATATTCCCGAACTCTCGGCTTCAATGATCGTGGATAAGTCTGCACCTAGTGGGGACACAGGTGAGGGGGCTGGAAGAACTAGAGAGCGTTGTCATAAACTTGTACTAACGAGGACGAATGTCGGCTTACCGTATCGATCATCATTGCCTGTTGCTGGGGACCGGGAAGGTGTAACTGAATCAGATGCCGACCTTGCAAGGTCGCGGCTTCTTTTGCGAGCCATCATTTCTTCCTCGAAATTTTGACTAGCAGGAGCAATAGAAATCACAGGAAATTTTTCTGAATCATCGGGGCTGGCAAGCACCACCGACGTCTTTCTTTCATGATTTATCGAGCGACGCAAGGAGCCGACAAATGGTGGTTTCGGGGTGTTTGGACTGGGGGTGTTGGGGCTCGAGTTCTTGCCTGACCCAAATGGGAGGAGGTTCCGCAATGATCGAAATGATGGAATAGAGGACTGAGGTGTCTGTGGACCCAGGGTCGCGGAAGTAGAAGCGGAGCTGGCCTGTGAGCTGCTTTCAGACGTTCGACGAGGCTGAAGCCCAAATGCGACCTGAGATACTGGAAGCCCACTGGAGATGGAGCTGCGCGAGTGGTGTGAGGTGCTGGTTGGTATGGAAGAATGCCCCGGGGAACGCTGGATGGAATGGTGAGCCATCTTCAAACTGAGACACAGCAGGGTTTTGAGGACGTTCCAGCGTGAGACGAAGAAACAACCAGGATTCGATAAGCCAACATGCAGCAAGAAGGCCAGCTTCGGTGTATTGCGTGCTGCAGAGACTGGCTTCCGATGCTGGCGCGGGGTATCACTGGCCTGATATTCTCGCCTGGCAGAACTTCACGCGCAGAGCAACGTCGACAAAATCAAAAACCACTTTCATTGTGACTTGCCATTTTTGGAAACGATCTGCTCGAACACACGTGGCAAGAACCGAGTCTGGGACCTCGTCAAGTGCTTACGGAGGGTAGCAGGACCAATAGGACGACGGACATTTACAAAGTACTTCTACATGTGAGCGTGTGGGGAACCCCTTCCTACTTGATCCCCCGCGCAATCTCGATCTAGGCACACTACTATAGGCAAACCCACAGGTGGCCCATCATTGAGGCGGAGTATTACAACTCAATGGGAACATGACGCGTGGCTGTAGAAATTGTTACACGTGCCTCGATCAACGGGCACACAGTAACTTTCTATCAAGCCATATAACAGGAAGGATCAAAAAAAAAAAGATCGCATAGCTTTTCAGCTATCGGGAGGAGAAAGAGCGAGATGCGGAAGCCTAATGAACGAAAACGTCGTCTGCTTTGTCCACAGCTTGGACAGCCCTTCATAGTAGGCACCAAAAGCAGCACCCATGCCGAATATTCCGCCAGCCATAGCGAGAATGTGAATACCTACAAAACGCAGACTTTGTGAGCTGCCTGATCAAGGACAGGTTGGGAGACATCTCCCACCAGTAAATGCGTTAGCCGCAAGACACGAGAACGACAAAACGGAACACGCAAGCGACCCGGCGATAGGCAAGGTAGTGCGAAGAGCACCAATCCTGCATCGACATTGGTCGGCCGAGTTCGAAATAAGACGATACCAAGACTTACAAAAAGATGAAGGCCACAAAACTGAACAGCCAGATTTAATGGTCAGTAAAACATGGGTCGCCTGTTCTCGAACAAAGCACGAACCTCCAAACACACAGGAAAAGTCCCATAGCGTGGTAATATTCCTCAGTAGGGGTACCATCAACAGAATAAGCAGCTCTACATAACTGTCAGTAAAATGTCAGAGGGGAGAATTATTCGTACTGACAATATGCCGAAGCTTGGGATGTAAATCGCTCCATAGCTAAAGTTGAATGAACCGAAAGTCAAGAACACCGATCTGGAAACAGTCACCACATGTCAGCGATCTAAACAGACATACAAGACGTTCGCTTATCAACTTACGCAGGGAACGTATGCCTATGTGAGCCATATCAGAATAAACGCGGCCGGACGAGGAAGCGAACTTACCCCAAATACATTTCCATCAAACCTACCAGGGTCTGCGTGATTCCGCCATAGCTATCAGAACCAAAGTCAGCAAGGAAACATCAACCAAGTCTACAAGCACTCTCACAAGGTAGCAAATAGGAGAACCATGTTTGGAGTGTACACGTTCCCCGCATGGAGGGTTAGAAGGGAGGAGCACAAACTAACAGTCGCATAACTGAGCATGCCAACCGGGGCCTATTATCCACTTCAGCACGCAACACCGCATTACGATCGCCACCCTACACTCACCGGGTTACCGAACGTCCTTTCATACCTACGGACAGGTTGCCTAAGCTGTGGGAGAGCCTCCACATCTACAGTGTCAACGTAATAGTCGTCCACCATGCTTTTCCTCTCTCTGATCGAGCTGGAAGACATGACGAAGAATTTGCGGAGCAGAACTGAGGTTAAAGGAGCGAAAGGGAAGGATTAAACCTGCACCACTTCTTCTCAAGATTATATGGAGGCACATCCATATCCCGGCTGCTTGATACTGTCATCTGTTTGTTTGCCCAGCGCATTCGCGGTAGGAAATAACATACGTGGCATGAAATGATATTCGTGGCAGGAAACAGTGCGCGTAGTCTGATCAGAAGCTAATCTGGTTCACTCGTTCCAAGCATGTGTCACGCCCCTCGGTCGCATTGTGAGCTCTGACGACACATTCACAGTGCCGACTCTTCCCCTCCCCGAAGCATATTTCCCATACTGCATCAATATTTATTCGCGACTAGTGAATGGCAGACGCACCACCTGACAGTGGTGATGTTAACCATAGATCCATCGCAAAGGGCTCCCTAGGTAAAGAATGTGTCCGTCGTACTTACTATTCGTCCACCAGTTGATGTTCCGGAGTCGAACGAACCTTCGATTCCGGCCCGAGCTTCGCACGAGATTCTGCCGGCTGTTTGCGAAAATAACGTTGGTAACCGGTAATTTCGCAAGCCTGTATGCCCAAATAAGGAAATAACACCTGTTTCCTGTAGTGTAGAAATCAGTTTTGCATACCTCTTTCGTTGTCTAGACTGTCTTATATTGTAGGATGACCAGGATTGGGAGGTAACTCCCATCTTGTAGTCCAGTTGTAATTCGTCTATCTTGGGCACATCCTTTAATGGAATCCACTGTAACTCCTACACAGTTTTAGGGGTATGGGTTGCATATAGGACGTGAAGAGGCACTATTCCTTTATTTGGTAGGGCTCACCCGCGATCACAAAATTTGTTTACTACTAACGATATTATTTTCGGCTGTAATTGAATGCCCTCAGAAGCCAGCTCAGCTCGTTTCTTTGTGACAGCGTATACCCCGTATAGAAATTTCAATTGCTGTTTCGCCCCTGGTGAAGGGAAGGCGGCATGTAACCAGAGAAATGGAACTCATTTGTTCTGGGCGTGAGGCATGTGGGGGCATGTGGGGAAACAGCTTCCACTCATGACCGTGCACAGCTACCGTCGCATGTTCAGTACAAGAGTGTAATACTGGTAGAGGTGACTCCCCTTTTCATGTACACATGAAGAATGAATGTAGTGTTACAGCTCAGTTGGAACATAATGTGCATGTAGAAATTGATGCCTCCCTCTATCATGCCATAGAACTACTCAGTCACCCTTCTGAAATATTGATCCAGACACACCATAACTATAGGCAAAGTGACATGGGCTCACAGCCACAATGCTGGAGAAAATTTATCATCAGGATGGAGTGTTATAACTCGATGGGAACAAAGTGACTTTCTATTGAGACATACAACAGGAAGGATTTTTAAAGAGCACTGCATGATTTTTTAAGCATGGGAAGGAGAAAGAGCAAGATGCAGAAGCCTGATGAATGAGCAAGTCGTTTGCTTTGTCCACAACATGGACAGCCCTCCATAATAGGCACCAAAAGCACAAAATATGCCAAGCATTCCACCAGCTGTAGCAAGGCTCTCAATGCCTAGAAAGCACAAACCGTGTGAGTTACTTTGCTTAGGGATGGGTTAGATGACATATCCTACCAGTGAATGTGTTGGCTGTAAGACATGAAAGCAACAAAACAGTACACCTGAGCGTCCCAATGATGGGGAGGGTAGTGCAAAGAGCACCAATCCTACATCAACATTTGTTGGGTGAACTTCAAGCAAAAGATACTGGCACTCACATAAAGATGAAGGTTACAAAACTGAACAGCCAAAATAATAAGCAAAACACAGTCCACTTACTCTCGAGCAAAGCACCTATGTCCACACACTATGGAAAAGCCCTATAGCATGGTAATATTCCTCAGTAGGGATACCATTGGGAGCATAAGTAGCTCTGCACAAGTGTTAGCAGAATGCCAGAGGGGTGAATTATTTGCACTGACAATATACCAAAGCTTAAGATGTAAAGTGCACCAAAGCTGAAGTTGAATGCACCAAAAGTCAGGAAAACCAATCTGGAAACAATCAAGAGTTAGCCATCTCACAAGTGCAAAATGTTCCTATGCAAATCATGTCAGAAGAAATGCCACCTGCCAAGCTATCAAACTTACTCTTACCAGGTAGCAAAAAGGGGAAGCAAGTTTGGAATGTACATGTTCCCTGCACAGAGGGTTAGAAGGGAGGAACACAAAGTAACACTTGCATAACTGAGCATACCAACATCACAGCCTTGATGTCCACAGTCTCAATGTAACAGTTGTCCACCATGCTCTTCTTTGCTGTGATCAAGCTGGAAGACATGACGAAGAACTTGTGTAGCAAAGGCAGGCAAAGGAGAGAAGAGCAATCACAAGGGTGAAAGGCAGGAATTGAACCTGTACCACTTCTTTTCAAGGTTATACAGATGCAAGCCTGCCAGACACTTGACATTCACTGGTTCACTCATCCTGGCACTACTGCCACTTGTTACAGTAGCACTTGTCCAGTGATTGCACCCAACATTCACAGGAAGTAATGCATACAGTCTCATTGGAGGTTGACAATGTTCATTTGCATGAAGCATGTGTCACATCCCTCATTTGGCAGACTCTTCCCAATGACTGCATTGCTACCTGTTCACGTCTACTGGATGGGAGGCCCACAATGTGACAGTGGAAGTGTTAACCAAAGATCTGCAAGGAGCTCCCTGGATAAGGAATGCATCTGTCATACTATACATTCACCAGTTGTATGTCGAAATTTTGGCTTCAACATGTCTTCCTAAGCTGGTGAGTGTTCACACGGGATCCCGCCACTTTGTGACAGTGTTATTCAAAGCACCTGTTTTCTGGCGCAGAATTTTGATTGGTGAAGGGTTGATTGGGTAAAAAAAAATCATAGAATATGCAGTATGAACAACGGACCACAAACTTCGGGTACTGCCACAACCGCTCAGCTCTTTCTGGCGGCCATATCATCGGATGCTCCTCGGCACATTGCAGAAAATTTTTTCTAGGTTACAGCAAAGGCAACTATGTTCACGTAGCTGTGCGAACTTGACCGCACAGTCCAAGCCCAGGGTCGACACCTAAATAGTACTTACCTATGCAGTAAATCGTTTGACTGCAGTCTGATTGAATGGATTCATGTCAAAGTTACATCTGCAAAACTACCCGAGGGAATGAGCAGGTTATACCTGCCTCCGTTTGGAAGTGACTTGTCGTAAGACTCGCTAAGACACCTGTTGGCCAATGAGAGGGCTCGCTCAAGTGCGAAAGAGCTGTTAACAGCCGCGTCGCGTAGCTGTTTTCCAGATGTAGTTTCGTCATTGTCTTCATGACCACGTATACTCCATAATTATACTGTATCGAAATGTCGATGCCCTCTGAAATGAAGGCCACATACGTGTAAACAACCAGAGCAACCTCGGCACTCTGTGCCAAGATTCATTTGCACTTGGCATACCACGATCCACGAGCATGTACGCACACAATTTTCGCACGCGACCCCAGGCTATTGTTGCATGTTCAACAAAAGGGTGTAATCCTGACAGAGATGGACTCACCTTTGCATATATGGAATGCCCACATGGTGAACAAAAGTGTCACCCTGGACCCGACCCCATGGAAGAGTGTAAATAGGCACCATGGAACAATGACTACGTCATCTGGCAAACGAACCTGGCGAATTCTGAGGCAAGGCGCAAGCCGTCGAGTGTATACGTTCGTTGACCTGTCGTGGTCGCTCTGGCTCTAAAATGACAGTATTCTTGTTTTCGTGAACCAAACTTTAGCATACCAATACACCCTTAGAACATTGTCGCTCATGCACCTGCAGTTCTATAGTGGCTCCGGACTACGCAGATTCTTTGTTTTTGCCCAGTCCGGCCCTTCATACAGTTGACATCCTTCCATCATAGAATATGGCGAATGATGGCAGTCGGAAACGATCACCGTCACCTGAGCAGAGAGTTAAAAAAAGCGCGAATCAGTCGTACAGGAGCAGAGCCTTCGGACATCGCCGGCACCATTTGCGGGTGCATGTCGTTCCTTTTCTATATACTTATAGAAGCAGTCTGGCCAGTCGGGAACCCGCGATGGTCCCGCTGAGCGCATGATGCGCAAATATTTTTCCGAATGAATATAACGAACGAAGGCTGGGAGAAATTATGTAACCTGAGGCAACCTCCACGGTACGTATTGTGTACGTAACGTTTATTATGCAACCTTTACGACGTCGACTTCGCGAGAAGGGCCCGAGCTTGGGAATAGTTGCCCAGCGGCACGCATTGGAGGTCGTCCAGAGGCCTATTGGGCCTACGATGTCCTTCCGTCTGAGGGCCTGAGTATGCCCACGGGTGAGTGGCTGCAAATTGTTCTGGCTTTGCCTGACCAGCCCAACGCCAGGTGGTTTGCGCGTGTCTCTCACATCATTGTCCGGTGATCAACAAGTGTCTAGACTTTAGACAGGACACAGCCCGTGCCTCCACTGACTATAATGTACCTTAGAACTACAGTATCAAGGTACCGATCGGGCTTAGCCATCGAACTGCCGAAGCAGCGTACTGGCAGCCGCATCTCATCGACATCTATCACATAACCAACAGGACCTCATAAGACCTCATAGGACCTGCCCCCCGGACTGCATATCTGCTAAAGTTTTACTCGATCGATGCACGTAAGTTTCAAGTGACATCGTGAACGTCTTCCCGGAAGACATGATGCCGGCCCTGACGGGTGGCCGCCGATGAGACGCCCCGCATATTATCCCAGTATGTCTGTCACTTCTCCTTCTGGTCCCCCCCACCTCTACCTCGCCCGGGTTCCACGTACCAGGTGTCTTCTCCCTTGTGCTGATCCTTTGCGACTTCCGACCGCACGGACGATATGCATTTCCTGTCACTCTTTGCTTCGTCATCAGCACTGTCAATCCTCATCGGTGCACTCGCTTTTCTGCCCCAGACAGTCGCTCAGGATCGCACTACTGAGGAGGGAGAGGCTCAGATTTCAGGTTTGTGATGGTTTTTCTTGACGAGTTCTTTTGAGAGTGGGTTGAGGGGACGACCTGGCTAGTTGGTGGTCGCGCACCTCATGTTCGTGGGTCACTTCTCGTCATCGCTGCGCCCTCGGTGATGTGGCTCCAGAACGAGTGGACGTATTTCTTGCCTTACCAGAACTCGTGCTCAATACGAATCGGATCCAAGTGCGGTGCTGCGCCTGATGATCACTCATAAGGACAGTTCGCCGTGATCGTGTATACGCTATGAGGCTGTGCGATATGCTGACAGAAATGTGTCCGCGCGTCGGTCTCACGCCATTACGTTTTTCAAATGGATTCTACCAGCTTATCGCTCACACTCCAACACTAGATCCCAACGTAGAATGTACCCCTTACACTTACCCGCCAGTTGCTCAAGCACAAAACCAGTTTCCCCCGACTTGGACGGTGGCCACCATCCTGCCCAATGATTCTGCGGCACAGAATCGGTACAACAGCATTCAGAGCCAGGTTCCAAACATCTCGCCGAAGGGAACTCAGCCACAGTCCCTTTCTGGCGACTTCGGTGGCTTTTCGTACCCTTCGAACGACCCAGACTGTTGGTGGACTTTTAGTCATTGTGTGACCCCAAAAATGGCAGGAATTCCGGATGATATCGTCACCGTTCCAGAGGTTAGTGTGTCTTATCGACGCAACTGGACACACAATTTAATTGCACGCGTGCCACAACCAGCCGGGTACTTTGGGCTACGGTTTTGACGACGGTCCATACTGTGGACACAACGGGTTCTATGACTTTTTGCAATCGCAGAACCAGACAGCTAGTGAGTTGCAACCCTTGGGGAAGATACGCCGTCTTCATGATAGTGTCATAGCTATGTTCTACATCGGTAGCAACATCATGAACGTACCCCTAGAAGCTCAACGTGGGTTAGCTGATGGTCACGAAATTTGCGTCCGTGAGTGCTTTTGTTAAGTTACATACGTATTTGCGCTGAAAGTGCACACAGATACTTGGTCCCACCGGTATAGTTCGTAAATCTAGATGCTTGCACGTGATGTTCCTTGACTCCGCCTTTATACAGTGACTGCATTGACGAATGAAGAGGCTTTCGCTGAACTCTATTACAGTAAGACATCGTTTTTGTTTGCACCATTGCTCAGTCTTACAATTTTAAGCTGTGCGGTATATGTATATGATTACTCCTGCGACGTCTGACATTGTTCCAGATGCAACTGATGGAGCTGGTTATTGGCGTAACGCCAACTTGCTGGAGGGTAAGGACTGCACGGTTGCTTGACGATTCGCTCACTGAAGTACGAGGCTACAGCCACCCTATGGCGATGTCGACGATCGCATTAGGGCAATTGCGGACGCTATGGGTTTACGAACTATCATTTGGCAGTATGATTCAAGTGACTGGCTTGGGAATGCCACAGTAACCGATGGCAATTACCAAGCCCTCGTCGACGCAGCGGCAAGCGGTACTTTCGATGATGTACGTGACCATTTTTTAACACCGCAAATGAATCTTATGCCCTCCACCTGTTCCATTCTGCAGGTTGGCACGATCTTCCTTACCCACGAACTATCGAACTTTACGATGTCTGAGGCAATCAAGTGGTATAGCAACCTAACATCCGTGTTCAAACACCTCGTTCCTGTAGGTGTGGCGCTCAACATAACCAAGCCATACGTCGAGGATGGGTACACCTTACCCACTTTTGCGCAATGTAAGTATTAGTTTTCAAATGGAATGCGTGTTTGTATCGACACGAACGTTCTTCCTCAGACGTCAACGGCACACATGTCGGGTCGATCACTGGGAGTGCCAATGGGACAGCGGGTGATAGCGCAAATACAACAGTTTCGACTGCCTCGCATACCGCAACTGCGACATCAAGCACTCCTACTGCAGGAACGAATGCTGCTCAAGTTGTTCCTGTCAAATCAGTGGGTTGGCTAGTCCTCACTGTCGCGTTAGTGGGCAGCATGCTTTGTGCATAATCCTAGAGAATACGCTGTATTGGCATCTCTGCGGCGATTGCAAGGTAATCGGGACCTGCGACCTTTGCTCATGCTCATGGATACGCCTCGTTACGGTACGTACTTTGTAGTTATGAACCATTATGCGTTTTGGACCACCCTTTTGGTCACGGACATACACCCTTTGGACTTCGCATTACATAGAAACCTACGTTTTGATTCTTGTGGATCTGCATCATTCTTCACCTTTACTTTATCATACATACCTTTCCACTAGGCACAGGACTCCGGGTTTGCTTGGGACACTTCCTCTTGGCTTTTCATTTCACGACCACATATCTGCTTAATGTTCTCTTTCATAGTCCATTCTTTCCAAACATAAATGAGCGCAAATTTGTGAAATCAAATTGCCACGTCTCCCCCGTTCAATGATGGGAAATACCGGCAACATCCCTAGAAGGAGTTAGACAGTCAAAGACTTTACCAACCTCTCACCCATGGGCAAACCTGGGCAGATATGTCAATTCAAAATTGCACTCCGAATGTAACGTTTGGCATACGCTGGGAAAGCGGGACTCGGACTTGCCCAAGTTATAACTACTACTGGTTCTAGTCTGGTGACTAGACTAGACAGCCACAGGGCAACGTCAGTTTGTCTGCAGTATATAGTATATCCGCCGGCATTAGTTGTAGACAGCATAACACAATACCACTGCAACCTTGGACGCTTGAACTCACTCACCACTGGTAAGCGTCCGAGGTTGCGGGTATATGGGGTTGTAAGTTAGCATTGTCAAATATTGACATTTCAATCATAGTAGTCCGAACCAGTAAACTGACGATATGTGCAACTAATACTTACCAAATGTTCTGCGGGGATGAAGGTGGTCGACCCTCAAAAGGGTTTAGAGCTTGCTTGGTGTGGAGCCGGCTGAAGTGATTAGCGTTCAGCGGCCGGACCAAAGTCCAAATGGGAACCGACGGCCCTCCGCGAGCCACTGTTCATAAGTTGACCTCCAACCAATACACACAAAACGAAGTTGGAGGCCCATTGTCGACGACCGGTGCAAGCTCCATCCTTCTCTCGCGTTATTGACAGGACATGGCATCTTTCCTGAAATTTTACAAGTCCGTCTGGTGCACACACATCGTGATTTGCTGTTTGAAATTTACTCCATCTTCAGTGCAGCGTTGATTCGCCGCCCCATGTTGGCACAGTGCGCAACTGCGGCCTTCCTGTTTGGCGCAGGGGACGTTATCGCACAACAAGCTATCGAACAAAGGGGGAAGAACCACGATGTAAGATTCCTCGCTTCCGGCGTCAGGCACTTCGACCGTTCTAACCAACACTTATGGATAGTTCATGCGGACTGCTAGACTCACCTTTTACGGAGGTCCGTACTCAAGCTACGTCTCGGCCGATGACAAATTAACTATTGGTGATATTAGGTGCCGTTTTTGGCCCCGCACTCACTAAATGGTACCAATTGCTCAATCGCATCAAATTCTCGAGCCCCACAAAAGCGGTTGTCTATCGTGTATGTAGTTGTTTCCGCCGTCTTCTCATCGGAGCCTTTAACGATACTGTTCGCAGGTATGGCTTGATCAGGCTATACTCACACCAGGTAGACATCCCCGGGCCTTGCCTCGTTTGAATCTATGATGTGATACTGATTGTTACACGTGGTAAAAGTTGCTGTGGCAGTCTTCTTTGGTACCATGAGCACCCTAGAGGGGCAGGGTCTTCCCGGTGCCGTGGAACGCCTCCGCACGGCAAGTCAAATCGTAGCTGAGCCGAGCTAAGAAAACACTCACGATTGACCAACAGGCCTATGAACCTACATTGATCCGTAACTGGTAAGCAAACATGTGAGGAACTCGGGGGCATTGTTACACTTCGCGTCACAGGATTGTGTTCATCCCAACCCAAATCATCAACTTCTCTATCGTGCCGCACCACCTGCGTTTTGTGGTGGTAAGCGTCGTCAGCTTGTTCTGGAGTAGGTTTGACATCAAGTTCAACTTGAACCGATGTACTCACGTTGCCTCTTAATGCAGATACCTATTTGAGTGCAGTTAATGCACGTAGCCAACGCCAATTAGAGTTCGCCACTAGTGAAAAGTCGGAAACAAAGCCAGCTCCCCAGGGAGACGTAGATTGATTGGATTGCTAACACTCATGATACCTTAGACCTGCAAATTACCTTGAACATTGCTTTCTCCGATCTGATGTGCATTCTTGTTTCCCTGCTTGATTCAGCATAGCCGGACCTTCAGCGCTTCAGCAACCTCCAACTGTCATCGAGCAACTGAACCAACTTCGCGGCCCGGGATGCCTCTTGTGCAAGGGATTCACAGAGCACTAGCATTCGTTAACTTCCAGTTTCTCTGCGCACGTGGCGCAATTGAACTCTAGGAAGGTTTGGAAAACCTATCTTGCCGAGATATTTGCACGAACTTGGTTTCCTTACCGCGTCAAATTACCAGCAGCGGGGAATACCCTCGTGGAGTTCGTGGAACAAGTAGATCTTAATAGTCGTGTGTGTTCTGAGTGACCACCCTCAGCTTCCCGCCTCTGGGCAGGGGGACGAGGTACGTGTACGTCCAAGTCACCAGCTCGGCGTGGAGAAGAGCGTTTGGCCGGAGGCAGGTAGGAGCGAACCATCCCTTTAGACCAGTTCTATGGATGTTCACCTGACACTTCAGAGATACGAGAGCCAGAAACCGGAAGTCCTCTGTACTTCAGTCCTGAACTTGGCTCCCCCCACCCCATATCGGGATGCGTTGGGAAGTCTGTTCTAACCCATCAACTTCCAACGTCACTTCGGGAGACATGACACCTAAGAAACTTGAGTGGCTTGGTGAAGACAGTATGGGAAGGTTCAACCTGGAAATGGCCCCAGTGATGCCTCTGCGGAGTAAGTCACCTTACTGTCGCTTCCATTCGAAGTGTTGTCCTTGTACATAGAAATGCTATCACACGACCTCGCCGTCTGGTGGTCCACTAGATACTCGATGTTTACGTAGATGAACCTTACCCGGTGCGTCCAGGTTGATGCCAATCCGCAATTGCACTTGCGGCGCCGTCCTATCCGAACGTGACTGTGCAACAACGTAAATGCTGGTTCGCGCTATCCACAGTGACGGTGATCTGAAGTCGATACATTCACAAGAGAAGACGGGACTGCCAAACCAAAGGAAGTTAGACAGCCTCGATAGAAAGATATACTTATGCGGATATCCTCTTCAATCGGATTTGGCCATGTCAAGGATACCAGCCGTTAGCTCGTTAATTGACAAGCGTCTCGGTGATTGTCTATATATGACGCTGCATCTGTAACATTTAAACAAACAAAAATAAAACAGCTGATTGCGCGACTTTTGCAGTAATGCGCAGAAAATTTGCAGGTGGCTGTGCCCACAGCTACTGACTAAGCAGGGCACGTGCACGGGGGAGCGAGTGAGTCAGGGCTACACGCACTCCTCGCCCGTTCCTCGGGACTCGTTTCGATGCTACTGTACATAACCCATGTAATAATGGGTATTTTGCCAAGAAATGGGCCCAAATTTGCTAGGCCAGTGATGACTTGTGGCGCGGAGTGCGGTCACATGAATTTGCAGGTGGCGATGCCATGGGAATTTCCCGAAGGAGCAATCCCGCCACCAGGCGGGAGGGGCGGGGGAGGGGGTCGATCGTTCGAGCGGGCCCTGTGGGGCATCACGGCCTCGTGGATTGGGCAGGATGACTGGAGAGGGTGCCGACGAACTGTGTTCACGTCCTGCCTATGTTTATCTATTTTATCTGCCCTCCTAGCTAGTGCAAAGTGGTACAAGGTGGCTGTGTTAAAAATTATGCAGGGGTAGTATAAAAAGTTGCGCAGGAGCAGTGCTGCAAAAGTCGCGCAATCAGCTGTTTTATTTTTGTTTGTTTAATGTTACAGATGCAGCGTCATATCTATAGGTATGTACTCAGAAATGAAATGTGCATTTTTATAGCACTAAGCAGAAAACATGCGATCATGACGAAAACTGTCCGACTGGAACTCATGGGTCACTATGAACACGTGTTCCTTATTAGTGACTAGTCTGGTCTCTCGCGACGGACACTACTTGGCGCTCGTGAACCTCACCTCATCGTCATTTGACGCGCGTCCCCCCAAATCGCTTCACGGACTATTAGCCTTGTCTCGCAGAGGAAAGCACTCCAGTGCAAGCGTAGTAGGTGGAGGGGTCTGTTGAACGTATGTCTTATCCATTATTCCGAGACATATCCATGACTTGGACAATTGGACGTCTTATAAATAAAAAGACAACGGTGAAACAGTATAATATTAATGTGGAGACGTTGTAAGACCGCGGTTGTCGGAAGTGTGTTCAGGCGTCTTTCTTATTTGGGCAATGTACCGCTTCAGGCCAATAAAAATGCGTTCACATCGCATGCACAGGAATACCCAAGGAATACACACGCCCTCCTGAGTCGGATCATTCTCCATACACATCGGAAATGGCCCCAAACGACAGACATCATCTAGCGGTGCTCACTAGGATACCCACGTTGCCAGCAGCCGTGGCACGAGTTTATAAAGCCCTAGACTTGGTTCGCGGAGCGCAACTCAATACCCTTACTCGTGCCAACATGGACTATCTCAGGTTGTGTGTCTTTCTGGTCTTCCTTGTTAATGCAGGCTCTTGGCCGTTCGTCTGGCATGGTACGTCTTCCAATCTTGTCCCCTAAGTCCGGCTAAACCGAACACCGCTTTCCCATTCGCAGTCCGCGTGTTCTGGCCCATCATCGTAGCAAGGATTCGGTTCCTCCTTCTACGAGCGAGTTTACTTTTCAAGTCATCCTCGGAACGGAACCGGATCGTCGCGGAGCGCGTGGAAGCACTTTGTCCTGTCGGGACCAATCCGTTCGAACTGGTGACGACTTACAGACGATGGGCAAGTGAGTTTGGTTTTGGCTCGCGTGACACAACTCGTGGTCCAACCTTGCGTGCTTCGTGAGGTTGCTCTTAGGGAACTTTCGACTGACTGGTAGAACAGGTATCGATGATGTGGACATGTTTGGGATGCATCTTAGCAATTCAAGCTATGCCAAGGTACGTTCGTCAGCGTTCCTGACTATACTGGCAAACGAGGATATTTTTTAACTATGAAAATGTATGAATTGCAGGCTCTAGATTCTGCACGTCTCAGAGTAATGTGGAAAGCGTTTCCAGCCTGGAGTGTCAGCCAGGGAGTTATCGCACTCGGGGGTAGGTCGGATTTAACACTTAGACCACCGGCGTGGTGATGAAGACCGACCGTTATAGCTACTCATTATCACTTTATACGTGAGATACCCATGTTTGCGCGATATGAGGTCAGGATATCCATTGCAGCCTGGGACCAGAAATGGGTAGGTGTTTCTCTCCATCATATAACTTAGTTGTATTTTGTTTGTGTATTCACCACCCATCATAGCTGTATGCCATTGCGCGTTTTGTCACGCCTCCCAAGCGTCGCCGTACCGGCGAAGCTATGTCCAACGGAGCCATTTCTACTCATGACCAATCGCCCGCCGACAGCGACACCAATACCAGCTCACCGAACCACTTGAACTTGAACGGCATCGCGACACTAAACACAGATGGCTTCATCAGTGACACTGACAAGCTCGAGAAGACCCTCAATGAAGCATTCGCTGCGACGAATAAACGCTCTCGTACCCCTATCGTCGAACCCGATGGTTCCGTCCTCCATTGCATCGCCGTTTCCCAGCTTTGCTTCAAGCAGGGCAGGATATCCGTCCCACCGGCTGTTGCACTCGCTTGCGAGGGTTTCTGCAAACCTCCGGTCGACTCTAGTGCCGAATCCGGGGCTGTGCCACGGAGGTACTCGGCATCTAACCCTCCACCGCATTGGGCCAAGGTTCGAGCTATGCGTGTCCCACCTACTGGATCTATGAAGCGGTTCAAAGAGTTCCTTGCGGGGGGATGGAAGACCAGTGCCGAAGAAACGGGCGACAAATGGTGGGAAGAAGCCCTCAGCGGACCTATCGAAGAGAAGAGGAAGAAAAACTTGGAGGTTCTCCATGCGCTCAGAGCGAGGATGGAGGGTGTAAGGGGTGTTTACTAATCTTATTCTCCGTGCATATCCACATGTAGTTTCTGGCCAGATATCAAACATAGAAATGTGTACGATATGTCATTCCATCTCTTAAGTTTTTACATCCATATAATGGGCATGCACGTCATGTATCGTGTATTATGACTTGAACATGACTACTTTGAATTATTGCGGTCGAAACGCTCTTCCGCAGTCGTGACCACAACAAATACATACTTGTCCATACGTGGCAGCGAAAAGAAAAATGCGTCGAAAATAGTTTGTGGTAAAGTCATACAAGAACAACACCAATGAAAATCTGTAAAATCCAAGTCATCCCTTTATCATGAATTTCGTAGTCCTGGGTAGGTAGGCGGTGGGGCCCTCAGACCCCCGGATAGTGGTTGATCCGCGGGCGAAGATCCATAGGGAGTCCGTTCAGGTTCTGCATACCGTGGTGGGGCGCCGACGCTATCATACACAGGGAGAGCTTCTTTCCTATATTCTCCAGGAGCATAGAATGAGTTGCGCCCGTTCCCGCCTGTTACCGCGGGTCTGTCAGAGGGGCGATGTGTCATCCCAATAGGCGAGAGGGGCATTGTTCTGTAAGGTTCATGCGAAGTGCCAGCGGAGTCGGGTCCCCCTGGCCTAGAACGAAGACCCCTGCGAATAACGAAAAAGTTGGAGAGAGGGCGACGAGACCTGCGGAGAGCGCACACCCTAGGTTGCGGGGGGAGGGAAAGGTAAGATACACGTGCAGAAATAAACAGATGCCCACCTGCACATCAGAAGCGGGATTAATAGGATTACCGCAACAGCGGCCACGATGAAATAAGCATTTTGATAGAATGGCTGGTAGGATGGGATGTTAGCCGGCCAATGATAGAGTTCCTATCATGAACTCCTTGCCTGGTTTGTCTGAGTGTCACCATTAATTAGTGCCCTTGGTCGTAGTAGTACTGAGCTCTGTGGTACGGGGGTCATTGGGGACGTCGAAGCCGTATGGACCCAGGATATCCTAGGTGGGTGTTTTTGTATGTAGGAGTACACAGCTTGTCACTCACCTATCCTGCAGAGTTTGGCTTATTACTGCCCCGCAGCGCAGCACCAAGTGACTTGTAAGCGCTTCCGACGTCATGGAACAAACAAGCACCAACAACAGCCCTCTACTATCCACAGCCCCACGAGTCCGACGGTCCACAGCCGTCGACAGTTGTCTGACATATCCTAGGTTCTCTGGATTTCCAGCTTAGAAGAGCCATTTCTGACTCAAGGCACTTGTCTGCCCTCGATGTCAACTGCACTTGCCGGAGTCCACTACACTGACTTATTCATTACGGGACCGAGATTACTAGTTTGCGGTTATACAGCCAACGAAAATCTGAGGCCGCGTGATAGAGTCATAAATTCCATGCCATCTCCCTATTGTGGGTTTCACGGGCCCTGGTATACTGGCGGTGGGTCCTCAGGTCCACGGAAAAGTCCCTTTCCTATTTTGACGGCGAACATAAAATGAATGGGGCCTGTTCTCGTTGGCATCTGTAACAGCAGATCGCACGGAAGAGCTGACATACACTCGCGTAGCCGAACGGGGAAGTTCACGCGACCTTCCAGCGGAACGTTCCTCTGGCAAAGAATTACGATCCTTGCGATGAAAGAAAAAATTGGACAGAGACCCAAAGAATGAATACAGGCTAGTTGGGGGGGAAAGGTCAGATGGCTTACAAGATACACGTGTCGTGAAAAAAAAAACGAAAATCAATACGGCGAACACACACCTGCATATCGGAAGTACAATGGTCGATAACATCGACCGGAGAGGAGTATATCGTGGCGAGGCATTGAAGTCATTATGCACCGGGAGTGTGTCTTTCGCATATACACTGGGAGCACAAAGTTACTTGAGACGGGACCCGCTCTCATTTGTAGTGGCAGATCATACCGGTCAGGGGCCGTGCGAAGCGAGAGTTTTTCCTAACGCTCAATGCTGGTTGTGGGGTGAGTGTGAATAAGATACAGATAGTCGATATTCCAAACGTACAGACTGAACATAAGCAGAAGTAGTGTGGTGAGGATCATCACTATCGCTCCAAGAACTATGCTGAAAATGAACCACAGTTCGTAGGATGACAATGGTGGATGAAAAAATATGTTAGCCGGTGAATGACAAAGTTGTTCAAATCCTTACTTTGCCTGTGTTAGAACCGAGCAGCTCGCCTTTAGTGGAATCTGAATCCATTGGAGAAGTCAAGGCTGTATGGTGGTCCGCAGAGAAGGAAGAGTGGCAGGAACGGGGGAGGGGAAGGGGGGATTGGGGCACTATATAATAATATAATACTAGGGAATAGGGGGCAATAGGGGGATGATACAAACTTGTAGTCATTACAATTCTGTCTGTGCCTCATGCAAATGCGAGGTTTCTTGTGAACCGAGCTTCAAGTGAGCTCTAGGTCGTATCATAGTCAGCCGTAAACAAAGGAGACATGATGCATGAAGTCAGAAGCTGTGTGAGAGGCAAGTTCAGGCAACGGGGGCCGTGTGCGAAGGACATTCTTCCTTCAACTCTTTTTTCTACGACCTACCTGGCTTTATTAACCTTTTGGGCGCGCCATGGCGGTTGGGTTGGGTGCCGTTGCTTAGCCTAGATAGTGTCTGTTGGTACTTACCCCATGCCAAGCACCGGCTTCCCTTCGTTCGGATGTGGTGACCTGTCCATGGTATGTGGACTCAACGCTACACATTTCTTTTGCAGATTACCGCACAGTGCAGCTCGCCAATCTGTGCGTCTGTCCCGCTGGATTGGACGCTGGGTGGTTGCATGTTTTGTGCACATTCGTCTATAGTTGTCGATTTATTGAGTCACTACTACTGGTTCTCACATGGTTGTACTTTCCATCTGGCGGAGTCTCTCACGCGGGGCTTACATAAATTCCACGCTTCTTTTACTATCACCATCATCCTGGTGTGCAGTAATACGGCGGGGAAAATGACTGTGCCGACAACACAGCTCACCATATCTCCTGTTGTATACGCGGACCCTCGCAGTGCTCGACGAGGTCGGTATTCTTCACCAGACGGAATGAAAACACCTATAAACGATCTCTGCTGGTCGACATACGACGCTGGTGTGCTGCACTTTGCAACACACATATCTTCAAGGTCAAGTCACCATATTCCGCTTCTCCGGCTTAACTAGTACGTATATATATATGCTCTCGGGGGTCGATTCGTCATACACTCGTAGCGCCCTACAGCCTTGCCATCCCCTATGTCTTTCTCCCTAAAGTCGATTTGACCCACTTCAAATTGGATAGATTGAATGCCATCAACCATTGTGGAACGTTGGGTGGGTACAGGATGGTGATATATTGTATATTGTGCCACTCGTACCTTTCTCGCTATCATTCCATCTACATTTTTAGCACCCGTTGATGCGGTAAGCAGGGATTTAACGAGTGTGCAACTGTCCAAGCGGCGGGCGGATGCCATTCCCCGAACGAGAACACTCCTGTGCCTAATACTGCACATGGTCATGTCGCAATGAATCAACTAGCCTAACACTGCCCCTTGTACCCGGCGGTCTGGTATCGGCGTATGTATTGGTTTCTATGGCTATATTTTACACACGCACTAACCGGGCTACTTGCAGGTTGCCGTACTATGTTCGCTGACATCGTCTTCAGCGATCCTAAATATAATATCTTGCCACCGTTTTACAAGTTCCCAGGTCAAACCTGCACTTCGCATACATAGGTAGGTCCATATAAACTTTGCTTCGTAGTCACTGGCAGTTTGAGGCGCAGAGTAGTAAGGTCTATATTGTGCTTCAAACTGCCACTGTTCTTCCTCAGGTGCCGTGGAGCGGGTATGTGGAATTTGTGGTGAGTTCACATGCAACACCGCACGCTATTGGATACCGGTACATACTTACATCCCCTGAACGATCGGATGCGGAACGCCCCCATCAGCGTCCGACTCATCATCCGAATCATTGACAGCCTTGTCTGCCTATCGGACAGATCGGGGCACGACTCATCACCACACAGGATAGGGATTGATAAGACCCTTCACTTTTGCCCAGCCTATCTGTTCGTTATCACCAGGGCGCTTGGCTACCTACCGATGTCGTGATAGCTCTCGAGTCGACGAGAGCGCACTAAATAATAATACACGTACGTTGTATCTACACTAAATACCCCAACTCTTCCAAGAAAAAAAGTCCGACCAAGCAGAGTCCATCTTCGTAATCGTCAGTCAAGTGTCCATGTTATATATATATCCGACGTCTCCTTCGATGGACCAATCTCCCCTCTTCCATCATCCCACACATGTTGCAGAAAGGGCGGATCGAAATAAACGGCATGTTTGGCACGCTGAACGAAACAGCCATGCTTGTTTGTGATGATCGGATTCGGCCCAGGCGAGGCACAGCCAAGTAGGCACAAGGGACGAGGAACAAGAAGGATGACATGGGCTGGTGATTTGTGAAGGATCAAAGCAGAGGGAAGAGGGTCGCCGGTCAAGGACCGAGGCAGTGTGGTGAAGAACGAAACACCAACGCGCCACTACTGAGACCGAGGCGCCTGTGGCTTTGGGAGGGAGGGATATGCATACTTACAAAACTCACGTCCATTTAAGAGAGCACAGTACGTTAAGCGTTAGAAGGGGTAGGTAGATCATAGCGTGATAGAAGAAGATGATAGCACTTGATCGAAAGTGGGGGATGAAAAGAAGAGCGAGCTCTTGAAAGGAAAAAAAAAATATACCATCGAAGTCGTAACGAGACATAGGCAAGGATGGCCTTTCCGCCTTTTTGTGGATAGATCGTGTTGCCATGCCCTGCTTGTCGTCTTGCTAGTGAAAGCATATACATTTCTTTAATGTCGTTCGTTCACCACCACCTTTTAGTGCTGTATTGAATCGTAGGAAGGCGGGATCTCTTGCGGCGCCTCTGCCTCTGCATCTGGAGCTCTTCCCGCATCCTGGTGCACAACAACCCCGGCGCCGCTCCCTCCTGAGGAGCCCAGCATAGAACCACTACCTTCCGGGGCTTCGTGCTGAGTTGCCAGGCCCAAACCATACGCGCTTCTTCCACCAGCAGCCTCACGTTCCTTGGCACTTCTCGAGCTTGCACTTGCACTGGGAACGGTGCTCGGCGGGGGAGATGAGCCCGGACGAGGAGCATGCCAATCTGCGGGGGCAGTGCCGTACATGAACGGCTGCTGCTGCTGATGTGGAGGCAGCATCGCTGCACCCGGCGGTGGGCGGACTGAGAGGGATTGTTGGGGGGAGTGCCCGCTAGCTGAACCTCCCGCGCCCTGATAGTAAGACTGGCCATCCGAGTAATGTGACGGCGAGCTCGGGGGAGGAGGCGAGTTAGGCATTTGATGCTGTGCCTGGACGCCCGCTACACCCATAGCCGAAGGGCCGCTGGCAAACGGTGATTGACCGTATTGCCGCATCCCTTGCTCCGCATCGGCGGCGTAGGCATTAAATGGCGTGATATTATTTGCTTCTTCTGCCAGATCGAGCTGTGGAAGGGTGCCGCCTCCTCCGGCTGAGCGGCTAACGACGCGATCTGGATCAAAGTCCCCATCAAACTCGTCTTTGGATGACCTTCTCCTGATGCAGTAGATCAAGAATGCGAGGGCAACGAGGGCAACGACGCCTCCAACAGCACCACCGACGATAGCGCCTATCGGAGTGCTACTTGATGCACTCGACTGAGTGCTGATCGTCGTCGTCGTCGGCACGGTGGTTGCAAACGTAGTTGTAATTACGACAGTCGATCCTGCAGCATCGGTAGATCTGCATCGTGGGCATGCGATGGTCAGGGCACGATGAAAGAGTGAGGATCAGAAATTTTATGGCTTACAAGTAAGTCGTAGGTACCGCGGACGTCACTGTCGTCTGCACCTCCGTAGACTGTGGAGTCGATGTAGTCGTAGCCGCAGCAGGGGCGGACGTCGCGGAGCTGCCTGCCTCTGAAGAGCCACCGCTGGACGTAGTACCCGATCCATTGGTGGTAGGGGAGCCTCCATTTGCAGATGAGGTAGGAGAAGTAGACGGAGAGGCGGACGTCGTTGGAGTTGTCGACGATGAAGTAGGGGTGGGGGAGGAGGAAGTCGTGGTAGTAGCTGGTGGAGTCGTGACGTTAGTAGTTGTACTTGTATCAGAGGTGGAAGACGAAGAGGAGGAAGAGGAGCTACCAGAGCTGGATGTCGGCGACACCGACGTCTGCGAAGACGGCGTCGGTGTGTCGCTTGGCGACGACGACATGACGGGGTGTCAGAGAGAAGAGAAAGAAGAAAAAGACGCTGGGATACACGACAAGACAAGACGAGACGTCTTAGTATGAATCCAGCAACGAGGCAAGCTGAGCCCAGCTAAGCTATCAGCCAGTCATGCAGTGCAGTGTGCACTAGTGAGGAAAGGTTCCCTCCGTCCCTTATAGACGCGGGTCCTACCGAACCGACAGTACATAAAACGGGGGACCAACCTGCTCCACTCCCGGACGAGGCCGCTTGTCGCTTTTCCACCATCATATCCCTCGTCGCCGCCGTTGCGTGCAGCAGAAGAAACAAAAAAAAAAAAAAAATGAAAAGAAAGTGGAAACTCTGCGCAGTCCGACGTCTGATGGCTTTATACGGCCCGTCGGACGGCATGTTGGTGCACACGCTGACCGTCCCCGAAACCGGAACAGAGTCAAGCCGGACAGGCTTCTTTTTGCTCCTCTCCTTTACTCCACTATTTTCATACGAGACTTCTCTGATCTGACAAAGACCAGGTATGTACAAACAGATCTTTGTATGCCCTTTAGTCCCCCAGGTTGGACGCACCCTTCCGTCGCAGAGGCGACGCCAGACAACCAGTCTGCTATATATGAAGTGCCGGCAGGGGCGGGTAATGAAATGTCCCACCGATATAGTGATACACGAGGATACACGAGGCAGAGTGACCTTAGTCACGCTGCGCAAGGCACACTCCACCGCGCGTGAGGCCTTCAAGCCCCATATGACTACTGACGCGACGCGATAGCTACCGAGTCCCATGACAAGTGGCAGTGGCACCTGCTACGTGTGAAGGCGCAAAGTCGTGCCACCCATTCCAACACAACACATGACAAGACGAATATTTGTTTCGGGGAGAGGGACAATGGAGTGACTATGGGGCGTGTCGGACAACACAAGGTCATACCGATCAGCCACTCTCGTCGTCCGTGCCTTGCATAATTGCAACCCATGTGTCGCAGGTGCATGTTTAGAACTGGCCTGTCACCGCTCCGTGACTGGAGTGGCCTTGGCATCTCCGACATCACCGTTTGGAGAACGTTCCCTTCGAAGAGGTCACACCGCCTCCTTTCAACAAATCTGATCCGACCTAGGCCTCCTATCACAAGGTACGTATGCCTTTCGTTACAGTTTGGTGCTAGACGTCACGATTATACTTTTGGCCATTAATCATACCATTCACAACACTGGTGATGCTGTGTGTATGTAGTATGGATGGTTGAGAGTTGCGGCCCCTCGGAGAATAACGAAAGTAAGTAGAAGTCGGTTTAATGTCCGCAATATCATTATATCGTTTTCGTTTCGCCGGCGTATGGGGGACGAAAACGTGCCGTGGACCACCATGCTGGATGTCCGGCAGACACGAGGGGAAAAAAGTTGGTGCAGCATTGCAAACTCTACGAGAGAGACTTTAGCAGTGTTCACGCTCCTGATCACTTCTGGAAAATGTCTTTTCAGTTACCTTCGCCACCAAATGCAGTTAACTCAGGTGGGGTCCATGGCTCATGCGGAGCTCACCGTGGTACGCATGTGCGTGGGTCATAGTGGAGCTGACCAAGTACCACTCAACGTTCCTGGACCACTCCGGCTCAGTTGGTGGAAAAATACCATCGTACGTTGACTGCATGGCGTTTTGAATTGTTCTTGTCCGCCGCTCCGCCCGTCCGATTGATGCCCAACGGTGTTCTGCCAGGTGCAAATATTTTTTCTTACGGGGATCCGCAGTTCGGGGCAAGCCGTCATCCAGCGGAATTCCTTGAACACATGTCCGACGACTTTGCTTCTGAGTTTAATCTTGGATAGTCAAGACGGCAATTGCGGGGTTGCGGTGGGTCACAGCGACACAGCAAATCAATAATGGGTTCCTCAAAACCATGTAGGAGGGGTGACCAAACTCATTTGCTAATACGAGATCAGCAACGGTAGTCGCAGCAGAACATAGGTGTACCGTACTCACTGCCTGACACAATCTATATACTTGTCTGCGCTCCATCGCGCATTTATCGGGAATAGCTTTCACTGGAAGAGGCGTTTCCACCCGCAAATGTCGTGAGGAAGACGGAAATAGGCAAAGGAATCCAGTACAGCGCAGATACTGCTAAGTATCATCGACATTGCATTTCAGACCCAGCGAAAATAGGAGTGTCAACGAAGTTTCCGAGTCCACATTTTCTGGGTACCGTTTTCGTTGCCACTAACAAGTCTCCGGAGAACATATGGCTATCTGACGGAATTGCTGCACCGTTGCAGGCCCGCCTGTCGTTACTGTGGGATGTGAGTCAATTAGCTGTACACCAAAGGCGGCGTGTTGCGTGCCCTCTGCGGATGACCGTAAGCTCCAACGAACATGTGGGGCAGGCACCGAGGTCATTAACTTATTCATCATTATGGCTTCCACGAAGGTTGTCGTCGCGCTTCTAACATTTCCATCAACGACAGAGCATACTGACCCTATCATTCCTAGGCTGAGCCATCCGTTCGTAACGGAGCCGATCGAATAGACTCTGAACGTTCAGCACCAGTGGCCACAGCTAATTGGAGAGATTCTGTTGGTACCTATGTTGAGTGTCCGACCACACGAACCTGTTTGTGGTTGTCCACCGGCCTGGAAAAGTCCTAGTATCCGTTTCAGTGTGGTCTGTATTTCATGATTTGTTATTTGACTTGGAAATGTAACCTTGATGCTCCAGCCTGGACATGGAGGGGCTGTCGCAGGGACTACGTGTCACGTGGTCACAGAAATTCACGAACTGTCACAGGATGTCACGTTTCTCAGCTTGCTCGTCATTCCCAAAAATTCAGTCTTGGGTGCACGCCAAGACACTCGTGTAAACGAGCAGGCCACAGCATCAACAGAGGTTTAGAAGTGGCGCTGGCGGAAATGGTAATGGATCAAGGGATCCAGTGCAGCGCTTAACACTACATATTCGTCAGCGTCATTGACGTCGCATTGCAAACTCAACGAACGAAAAAGAGCTTACGCCCTCCAATTTACCCTGACCGCCTTCCGGCGAAAACGCGTTCTTTTCAGTTAACTTCGTTGCCACAAAAATGCAAGTGATTCGGCAGGGGCATGTGGGCTCCCATCACTGGTTTCAAACCATGCAATTGTACATATGCCCAGAGCGCGCGTGTGGATAGATGGGTACTGGGCATGCCGGAATGCGATGACTGCAGGTTCGGATGAATTGTAGGTATGTATCCATTCTCCTTCTTATCAAGTTCCACGTGGGGTTATCTGTCGTTGCATCGTCGACGTTGCTGAATTACCATTGCTGCAGCAATTTCGCGATCGCCATCAACGACACGAATCTCAAGTGTGTTCGTGGCAGAGAGCCACAAACTGTATGTTTGGATCTTTAGGCCGAGATACTGCTCCGATGTTGGTCGGACACAGCCAGTGAACTCCCGCCAAACCGTGGAGTGGCCCTATGCATGTGTTGTGCGCCTGGCGTTCTGATCTGGATTTGTCTACCACTGCTTGCGATGGCCGAAATTCCAACAATGTTCAGTACACCGCCAAATAACTTTTCTGCGTTCGGACTGGGAAAAGGTTGGCATCCGGCACTGCATCGCCGTCTGAGCACGTGGCAGTCAGACTTTGTTTCGAAATGTGAACTTCACTATTAGGCGGTTATAGTGGCTCAGCCATACACCAAGCGGTTTTCTCTCTCTCGAAGATTGGCGACGCCACCAAACCCATTTGTCAGGGCTAGACCAGAATCAGTGACTACGGAAGAGATGGTATTGTCCTTCAATTTCTTGATCTCCACAGGAGAACATAGGCTGCTGCGTTTATTCTCCCTCTATCGTGGAACCCGGACGGCAAATGCAAGGCACTATCACTTGTGACCTAACTCTGTCTTCCACTGATTACTGCCTGTGATATAGGCGCAATGTATCCACCGTAGTAGCACTTCTCATATGAAGCTGTGCCCACTGGAAGAGGAGCTCCAATACGCCTCACTGATCGATCGCGATGGAACGTTGACTACCCCCGCGACGCAATTGACCTCCAGCGAATTTCCTGGCCGACCAGCTTCGGAAATGCGTTGCTCCTCACCGTCTGGAACTCATAAAAGGCTGTAGTGTCAACGATGATGCCCCAACTTCCCAATTCTAACATGTACATCCCCGAAGTCTCAGAAACGGTTCAGTCTCAGGCTCGGTCCCTGGCTGCAAATCCGTCCCCGTTCGCCCAGACAACGTTCGTTCTAAATAGTACAGGTGTGGCGGGCCTTCTAGGTGGAGAAGAAGCGATGTCCACAGTGGCATTGGCCCAAGTTTACGATAGTAGGAGGTGGTTGGGCTGGTACAACACTCCAGGTAGGAATTCCGTTTTCCTTTTGGCAGGATTGACTTACGAGGCTTCCGCAGGTGCATACATCATCGGAAAACGCTTTCGACGCCTTGCACATTCAATCGTCTCTGATTCGCACGTCAATTCCGGATCAGGTGTTGAGTCCGAAGTGGTGCACATTGACCCCGCCCTGTTGCTTCAGCATGAGGGCTGGCCCAAAGGCCCCGCCTTTAAAGGAATTTTCTCCGGGACCTCTTTGCAGGTAACCGGACCTCTAGCTTCTCTTCTCATGAAGAAATGCGTCAGGAAGCCTGGTGTCTCGATCACTGGCAGGACCACACAACCTGTGAATGTCACCATTGCTAGACTCGAGAAGGTTCCCGGTCTTAAACCACAAATGAAGTTTCACCATTCCCCACCTATCTGCGCCATTATCCCCATCGTCGTCAGCCTGGCCACATGTGCCATGTGTGGCCTGTACGGCGAGTGGTATGGGTTTTCCATGATCCTCCTCGGAATTCTTGCCAGGGGATTGACCTGCGTCTTTATCGGCTCCGGGGAACTACTTTTTGATCACCCGAAGTGCGCAGAAGGCTCTCCCCCTGGCGACGGCATCCTGGGCTGTGATCATGAACTGGTTCTGTTGAAAGGGGCCGAGAACGTGGTTAATGCTGTCACACGTGGAAGGTTTTTCTTTTCCTTCCGATCGAAGCACACTTGTCGCATGGTCGAACTGTGTTCCTTCCTGCTCATCGCTCAAGCAATCACGCAGTTGATCTGCGTCCCACAGAGCAATTTCTTTGGCCAGCTGATGTTTGCTTTTTCCATCGCCACATCTTGGGTGTATAACTTGTGGTTTGTGTCATTCGATAAGGAGGAAGTCCGGCAGAAGATATTTTGCGATGTTCTTGGCTCGCCCAAGCTCGACAAATTCGTTTTTCCCAATCGCTGTAGCGCAATAGTATCGCTTCTTCTCTTCTCTGGCGATAACCAGAAGCTTTCCGGTGATCCGAAAAAATTGATAAAGATAATGGATGGTCTCCTTCCGTCGGGTTCTTTGGTGTGGGGAATATGGAAAGAGATTGTTATCGAACACCTCACAGAGGAACTACCACTCCACTTTGATGATACTCACTGGAACCATCAGGATTTAACCTCGGAATCCGATAGGGTGCTATTGAAGACCCTATTGAAAGATGCTCAGACAGCTTACGACGCTTTCATCAGCAAGCGGTAATGTCATGGGTTCGGCTAGTACCATCATTCTATATACCTGCCCTTTTCTATTTATTCCGGCTTCTTCTCTCGCATACAGCATTTGTTTCTATGTCCTTACCACAGGGTCTGGTACCCATTATACCTATGATGGTTCAGTATGGCATTTGACACTGTAACTTATTGGCATGGATATGTATTATGAACGTTAAGGAATATTAAAGATGTGATGTATCAGCAGACGCATACAGTGGGAAACGCATATTTTCATCGACGTTCCGATGCGTCGCGGAAGCCACTGCGGCACTCACATTTCTCCTCTACACAGGTTCAACTTCCAATACCCCACGCGTCCAAGGTGGCAACACTCAAACAACTACATCCTTCGACTATGTGCAAAGGCTCTAATCGAGTAGGCGGGGCGGTACCCACCGTTGCACATGTACTTCTTAATATTTTTGTTTCGCGTGGAATGCGGAGGATTGGAAATCGTAGAGTGTGAAAGGATAAATGGTATAATGAACCACAGTAAACATACCACCCTGTTCGTCTGTGCACCAAGAGCTTTGTAAGGGATACACTGGAGCGCAAGAGCTGGAGATACCAGCAAAGAGGACATACAGCCGTGGGTCCAGAAATGTGAGATCGTTGTCAAAGGATCCGGTGCACCGCAAGACACCGCAATCATCGACGTCACACTATAAATCCAGCGGATCATCCTAGTGAGGTTTCCGGAAGCACAGCGTCCAGCTATCCTTCGTCATCAACATGTCTTGGTCGAAGTACGTATAGTTGTTCGCATCCCTGTCTGTCATTGCCATGGGGTTGGTGTCGGTAGTCGCTGAGAGCTGCGTGCAATGAACGTGGGTACCTCGTCGTGGGGTACTGATGTTATTAATTCATTCATCGGAACGGCTGCTACGAAGGTCATCGCTGGGCTTCTGACGTCGTCACATCGATAAATTGAACGCTAAAAGCATACCGGCCCACACACAAATCACATTCACCTTGCCGTACGCATGGCCACGAGTCCACGACTTATCATCCCTAGGTTGGAGCTGATAGACACAGCCAATTGTCAGAATGCAACATCGACGTAGTCACCTGCTACGATGCAAACGCTATGTGGTTCACCGCAAGGCTCTCCTCGGACTTGTTGAATATCCATCTCGGTCTCGTGCACCTGCTCTCACAGCTTGGTTGCTTCGTTTTGGGCAAGACCAAGAGCTTGCTTCGCTGCTGCTACGTCATACCGGAGAGCTTCCACCGGTATGCTGAATGTCTAGCAATAGGAGCCTGTTTTTGTTTGTCCACCACTGCGGCCACCTGCCGAAAGTCCAAAGGGTTGTTCCAGCGCAAATCCGGCAAACCGGCAAATGTGTTGTTTGCGTGAATCCCCGTATTTAGCCCGGAAGCGTGATCTACATGTGTGTTCCATTCAACATGGCCCGTGCGACGGGGTAGGGGTCACAGCAAGTGGATATATTTGCTGTGAGACTGTGGATTGGAAGCGGGTGAGGGGCAGCCACAGAAGCCTACGCAGACAGCCATGTGCACACCAACGTTCGTCGTGCTGGGCACTCGTGCAAACGAGCAGGCCGACATCCCATGCATGGAGCAGAAACTCTGGCGGTGGCGAAAAAAAGAACATGAACCTAGCTTGAAGAACCACCACTTACTGTGCACATGCCCGTCGCCCTTCAATTTACCCTGACTCCGTTCCGACGAAATCACGCCCTTTCGGTTGACTTCGTCACCACCAAAAATGCGAGTGACTCGGTCAAGGTACGCGGACATCCATAATCCATCAGGCCAACCAGTGGTGTGCGTGTCCACGCGTGTGTATAAATCGAGTGTTGGGTAGCCACATGCAACAGCTACAAGCTTTCATAAATGTAGGTGTTGATTCTTTAGTACTAGTTCGCTTTCCTATCAAGTTGTACGTGGGATTACCTGTCGTCGTACTGAGGTATGTCATTTCACTGCCTTGTGCGTCGACATTACTGAACTCCATCACCGCTGCGCTTTCGCGATCGCTATCGACAACACGGATGTCATGCATGCTAGTGGCAGGGAGCCACAAGCTGTATGGAACTCTACTTACAATGTAAGCTGGACACAGCCAGTGACTCCAGCACAGCCGGTGGAAAGATTCCATCCATACGTTGAATGTCTGGCATTCTGATCCCCGATTTTGCCTACCGCTGCGCGCGATCGTCGAAATTCTAACAGTATTCCGTACACCGTCATATGTCTTTTCTGCGGCTCGAGCTGGAAAAGGTCCGGCGCCGCACCATTGTGCGAACACGTGGTAAACTGTTTCTGCTTCGAAGTGTAAACCTGACCATCAGGGCGACAAAGTAGTGGTTGCGGTGACTCACAGCCATCCAGCAAACAGATGTGTTTTTCTTGAAATTCGGCGAGGTTACCAACTCTATTTGTCAAACTCAGACCAGAAGTGGTGATTCTGAAAGGAATGGTACGTCAATTGTCTTTCGGTTTTTCGATCTGCACTGGCGACACTAGGCTATGGTGCCCGTTCCCCTCCACCTTGGAATTGCAAATGCCTAAGTCGTGGTTTACGTGACCCGGATCCGAATCACTTTGTTTTCTATTGATTACTCTCTAGGTGTATTATACCCCCCGCAGAAACACGCCCCACATGAAGCTGTACCCACTAGAAGAGGAGCTTCAATATACCTCAGTGATCGATCACTATGGAACGTTGACCACTATCACAATTCATTCGTCCCGCAGCGAACTTCCTTGCCAACCGGCATCGGAAATGTGTTGCTCGCACACCATCTTGAGTACATACAAAGGCTCCAGTGTTGGTGAGATGATGCCCCAAATCGAACATGTACATCCCCCAAATGGTTCAGCTTCAGGCTCGGTCTCTGGTTACGGATCCATCCCCTCTCGCCAACACAAAGTTCATTCTCGATAGCACGAGTGTGGCGGGCCTTTTAGGTGGAGAAGAAGCGATGTCCACAGTGGCATTGGCCCAAATTTACGATAGAAGGAAATGGCTGGGTTGGTATAACACTCCAGGTGGGAATGTCAGCTCTCCTTTCCGCAGGAAGTGACTCAGTGCTTCCGCAGGTTCATACATCATCGGAAAACGCTTTCGACGCCTTGCGCACTTCAATCATCCCTGATTGGCATGTCAATCCTGGATCGGGTACCGGCTCTGAAACGGTTTCACATCGATCCCGCCCTGTTGCTCCAGCACTGACGGCTGGTCTAGAGGGCCTGGATTCCAAGGAATCTACTCTGGGACCTCCATGCAAAGTGACGGGTCCTTTAGCGTCTCTTCTCATGAAGAAATGTATCAGGATGTCTGGCACCGAGGTCGAAGGCAGAGCGACACAGGCTGTGAACGTCACCGTTGTCACACTTGACCAGAATCCTGATCTTCAACCGCGGATGAGGTTTCGCCATTCCCCGCCTCTCTGCGCCATCATACCCATCATTGTCAGCCTGGCCACATGTACTATGTGTGGCTTATACTGCGAGTGGTATGCGTTCTCCATGATCCTGCTCGGGATTCTTGCCAGGGGATTGACCTGCGTCTTTATTGGTTCTGGGGAACTTGTTTTTGACCACCCGAAGTCTGCAGAGGGCTCTCCTCCCGGTGACGGCATTCTGGGCTGCGACCACGAACTGGTTCTGTTAAAAGGGGACGAGTATGTGGTCAATGCTGTCACGCGTGGAAGGTTTTCCTTTCGCTTCCAGTCTCGGCACGCTTGTCACATGGTTGAATTGTGTTCCTTCTTGCTCATCGCCCAAGCGATTGCGCAATTGATCTGTGTTCCCCAGAGTAACCTCTTCGGCCAGTTGATGTTTGTTGTTTCCATTGCCACATCTTGGGTGTATAACCTGTGGTTCTTATCTTTCGATAAGGCAGGAATTCGACAGGAGATCTTTCGCAGCGTTCTAGGTTCGCCCAAGCTCGAAAAATTCGTCTTTCCCAATCGCTCCAGCGCGATAGTATCACTTCTCCTCTTGTCTGGCGATAACCAGAAGCTTTCTGGTGATTCGGAGAAATTGAAAAAGATAATGGATGCCCTCCTGCCGTCGGGTGCTTTGGTGTGGGAGACATGGAAAAAGATCATTATCCAACGTCTCCAAGATGGACTACCCCTCCGTTTTGAGGAAAGTGACTGGAACCGTCAGGGTTTGACCTTCGAACCCGATAGGTTGTTATTGGAGACTCTGTTGAAAGATGCTGAGGCGGCTTACGTCGCTCTCAGCAACGGCCAGTAATGTCGCTTGCTACCATCATCCTCTGTGCCTGTCTTCTTCTATTTATTCTAGCTCCCTTACATCCTGTATCTGTTTCTGTATTCTTACCGTAGGCTTGTACAGACGCTATGATATAGTGCAAAATGCACACTTCGTTGAGGTTCCGGCATATCATGGATGATACCGCAGCACCCATCTTCTTCACCCAGGTCCAACGCATCCAAGCCGGCACATCCTCCGGCCACGTGCATACTTGTATCGAGTAGGCAGCATCGTACAAGGCGCAGGAATGCCAATGTTGCACCTGTACGTTTCAGCGGTATTGTTTCGCGTCGAATACGAAAGGCTTTAGAAACCGTGAAGCGTGAAATGAAAACCGTAGATAACGGAATAATGGACCACGACGAATCTGTCGACCGGGACGCTAGACATATCGCAAAGACGACATACATGCGTAGGTTCCAATCGTTGTCAAGCAATTCGGGACGCCGAAAGACACACAATCATGGATGTCGCCAGCGTTTCAAAACGATTCACGCCCTCAGATTACCCTGGTAAGGTCTCCGAAAGCACCTGTTTCTAGCCATCTTTTGTCGTCACCAACATTTCTCGGTCGAAGTACATATAACTCTCCCGACAGACCACAAAGTTGTTCACATGCTCGTCTGTCGCTGCTGTGAAGTGGGATGCTGAGAGCTTGCGTGCCGCGTGTCCTCCGCGTATGGCTGTAAGCTCCGACCGCTCCGACGAATGCGGGTGCTCTTTCTGTCAGAAGATGCACAGCTGAGCCTGGCTGGCCCGTGCACAGCCACGAGTCAGAACTTCTTCGGGAGAGGCCTATTGTTGGTGTGACGGTACAATTTGTGAGTTCTTCATTTACTAGTTTCTCCTGAGCTCCTAATTTCTGCTCCGTGGATAGAATTCGTACGGGAAGTGTGTTCCCTGAAGTTTGTCAAGGCAGAAGAGCGGAACCATTACGGGGTTCGATGATCTACAACTTGCCAAGGCATCAGACGGTAATCTCATTCTCAGCCAACACATGGGCGACAGCAAGAAGCTGTAGGAACTTACAAATAAGTTATAGCACCACAGCAAGCCGGTACGCCTACCCTGACATGCGCAAGATTGCTGGTCTGGTTGGCTGGCTGGCATGAGGAGTGGCGTTTGGTCGGGGAGTCAATTTCCTTGGTCTGTATGAGGAACCCCGATAATTCCTGCCTTGCCTACAAACTCTTCGTCTCGACTTGGAGACGACCGCAGAGGTACGAGTCTGATTACCCTCGTGGTGAAACGCGCCTCGCTCTGTGACGCGTGCCAAACCGTGGACTAGGTGAGATGTATCCCATCTATGTATTTTCCTTGTACTCACTTCTTGTCAGCACAGCTATACTCCATTTCCCCCGGAAGCATGTCTGACGCACTCCCGTGCGTGCTTGAGTATGAATTTGTAAGAAGCTGTATTGCGCAGTGTTCGAAAGTAGATTGGGGGTAGCTTCCTCAACGTGTATGTGGCGCGATAACCTCCTCATTCCCGACAATTTAGTGGCATCTACTAATATCCAGAGTAGGAAAAAGTTATAAAAAGCCAGCGTGCCAAGTGCAATATACAACCTCTCACTCTCAACATGTCCGCCAATGAATCTTGGCAAGCGGTTCAACTCCAGGCCAAGTCGTTGGCCAACTGCCCACTTCCATTCGCCAACTCCACCTTCGTCTTGAATAGCACGGCTATGGCGGGCTTGCTAGGCGGAGAGGAAGCTACCTCTACGGTCGCTTTGACTCAAATTTACGACAGAAGAAAATGGTTGGGCTGGTACAACTCTCCAGGTAGGAATTACGATCTATCTTATGGGACCGCTAACTTATGGATACGGCCGTAGGCTCATATGTTATGGGAAAGCACTTTCGACGCCTGGCACGCTCGGCAAAGGTGGATATTGTATATGACAATGGTTCTGAATCGGGTACTGCGTCTGGGTCCCAAATGGTACACATAGATCCCACCCTGTTGTTCGAACACGAAGGCTGGTCCAAAGGTCCTGCGTTTAAAGGGATTTTCTCTGGCACTTCTATACACGCCACAGGACCCTTAGCCTCTCAGCTTATCAAGAAGGCCACCAAAGAGGACTGCCGAAAAGTCGATGGCAGGACTACTCAACCTGTAAACGTCACTGTCGCCATCCTAGAGCAGGTTGATAGTCTTCGTCAGCAGATGACGTTCAACCATCGCTCACCTCCCCTTGCCATCATACCCATTGTTGCCAGCCTGACGACGTGTCTCACATGTGGGTTATACCGCCAATGGTGGGCTTTCTCGATGATTCTTGTTGGCATCCTTGCCAGAGGATTTGCGTGCCTCCTTATTGGCTCTGGGAATCTAGTTTTTGACCACCCCAAGCCTGCGGAAGGTTCGCCTCCTGGTGATGGTGTCTTGGGCTCAGATCAGGACTTCGTTTTGTTGAAAGGAAACGAGTATGTTGTTAATGCTGTCACACGTGGAAGATTCTTCTTTCGCTTCCGGTCGAAATATGCTTGCTGCATGGTTGAATGGTGCTCCATCCTACTCATCGTCCAGGCCATTGCGCAGCTGGTCTTCATTCCCCAAAGTAAACTCTTCGGACAGCTGATGTTTGTCGTCTCTCTCGCCTTTTCTTGGGCGTACGACCTCTGGTTTTCCTCCTTTGATAAGGGGGAGGTTCAAGAAGCTATCTTCCAACAGGTTCTTGGTAAACCTAGTCTCATCAAATTCGTGCTCCCCAACCGTGTCAGTGCGGTGGTATTCCTTCTTCTTGTCTCGAACGACAACCCCAGAACTTCAGGCAATCCGAGAAAATTGAAAAAGATATTGGACATTTTTCTGCCGTCGAACTCTGAAGTGTGGGAGACATGGAAGGATACTATTACCGAGCGACTGAAGAACAGACAAGCACTCCAGTTCAGCGATACCCACTGGAACCGTGAGGAATTACCTCTGGAAGACGATCGGAAGTTGTTGAAGACCCTGTTCGGGGATGCCAAAGACGCTGAGAAGGCTTATGCTATTTTCAAGAATCCACGATGCAGGAACAATCGCTTGATGAAGGGACCGAACTCCATGGATTGCTAGCTTAGCGATGTCTTGGTTAGATGTTGCTATGATTCCCTGTATACGTGCATCTTTAGGTTTCGGGTCTCCTGGTTGTCTCCACCTACTTACCCCGTTTCTCTAGAACCTGGCATCCGTACTTAGATGTTTGTGTTCGTCACCACTACACATCATAGTAACACAGTAATGCCCCCCTCCCTCAGTATCGCACCGGATCTACCGGCTCTAAGTACATCAAGTTGCAACAAGCAGTCGTTGTACCTCCTTCACATGATCTTACTGGAAGGAGGTACGTTCTAAATATCGGGAACACTCCGGGTTGAAGAACTACAGTCCGTTTAACCCCTCTGTTGCATCTGGCCATCTGAAGGGTGCATAAACTGGTAAGGCACATCACCACTAACAATCAGAACCTTCCCTATGCCCCCCCCTTCTACTCTACCCCTTCAAAGGACTCTGTTGCCGCGGACTTCACTATGCTTGGTATGTATCAGCATGCCTGAACCCGGACTCTCGGGCTCCGGGAAGGCAGCTTGTGCAGTACACAACCTATTTGGGCGTTATGGACATCCCCGCCCATTAGAATCCGGCAATTCGAGAAGTTGTTTCAGGAGAATAACAACCCCATTGGCACCTAAGCAGATTCGATGGACATTTTCGGTAGTTGTGGGTTTGTAAGTTGACACTTGCCATAGAATGTTAGGTGACCAACATTTAAATAGATGCATTCAATACTAACTTACAGTGGACAAGAGCCCTCGTACCCATTTACCGCTTCGAAGCACATAACTTGCAACAAGCAAGTAGTAAGGGCACTGCAAGTAGAAGAATTGCAGGTCCGTCTAATCCTTGTGTGGATTCGAGCATTCTAAGTGTCTGGTGTTGTGAGTGGCGGTCGTCCGAAGGGTGAATGAGCTAGTAAGATACCGCATCGCTGCCAAGAACCCTCCCTCGGGCAACTGCGGGTTGCAGCCGGGCCACTTGCAAGGACATAGTACTATCTTCGCCACTACTCCTTGAACCTGTTCTCATTCTGGGTGGACCGATCATTGAAGTGATCGGAGATGCTTCATCCTCTGCTTTCCACCATCACACCCTCCATTAAAAATGACATCCCGAGACATCTCGTTGAGTAAATCAGTCCACAGTAGGTATGGCAATTTGTACATAGACTACATAAATTTGCAGCTGTATGACAACCGAGACAGATGCATCCGCGATTAGTCTTAACAAGGACTCACTCAGTCAAGTGTTAGAGCCCTCGAAGTTACCACCATCAACATCATGATCCTCTTGTACAGGTTGAACTTCGTCAAACGATTCCACCCCCACTATCCGGTGTTTGCTGAACAATCGATCTGGAGGGTGGTTCAGGGCTTGTGCTCGAAGCAGTCTCTTGGGTACCAACAGTATAATTGTTATTGTCTCTGGACAACACAGTTTGCCCTGCAGCACGGGCAGCAAGCCATGATTCATATTTCGATATACCTGCGCGCGCATCCAGCATGATCCTGGAACAATTTGTATTTAGCAATTCATGTAGACACCGTAAGCCAAACGACATCACTTACCGCTGCAGGTGGGCCATATCGTCATCCAGTTCTACACGTGGCGTTCTTTTAATAATCTCTGCAATTTCGCGCGCACCCTCGCGAGTAGGGACATCCAACGTCACCTCGGAGCTTGCGACCTGAACAATGTCAGATGACACAGGCAGATGCAAGTGTTGGCTTACTGTAGCTAATCGTTGGCTCACTTCTGAGTAGATTCCACGCCAATGTAGCCACAGGATCTATAATCAACGAACAATCAGATTCCAGGGGTTGTGACTTGGGGGTGGTCTTGCCTTTCCTGTTATGTCCTCCTCCAGCGCTAGTTGTTCATCTTCGTCCTCTGTTGTTTGGAGTGTCGCTTGGAGTGCCTCTATTTCTTGTACTGAGGAAGGGACGCCAGCCTTTCTGCGGTGTCGGGAGGTGAGCCCCAGAACGACAGAAGGTGGTACCAACCATGTCGTAAGTAATGGGGTCCACTTGACCTGTTTGCCTAGAACCAGGACACAAGGAAAGCAAGGGTGAAATGCAAAAAATGCGAGGAAAAAGTACTCACTGAATGCCCTCGGACACATCAAGGAGGGTGGCACGGATGTGTTCAAGTAACTTATATGTAGTCATTAACGTCGGCCACGGCTTCTTCCGGCTGAGGGTGAAACTTACCCCAAAGCTAAGAGTCCGTGATATATCCTTTACCTCACTTTGAGTCTGTCGCTTGTCGTAAAGGGAGCCTCCGCCAAGTTTTGTGCACTTCTTGAGCAAAGGGGTTGCTCGCCGGCTTCCCATCGCCGAAGGGAGCCTTTCGAATAACGTTATCTTGCCAAGCTGTATTTCGGACCGTATAAACAAGCTCAGTATCAAAAAAAAACAGCGTTCGCGCACCCAGTTTTTCAGGGGCTCTAAGCCAAATATGTCCCAGATAATCTGAGTTGCCCAATTGTCCACAGGTATGCGATGAGCTCCAGTTCCTGCGAAACGATACTGCGGGGTTAGTCAGAAAAGTCCAGTGCTAGCAATGTGAGTGAAGGAGCAGGTACCAGAACAGAGTCGAAAAAGTGTACCCTAGATTCAGAAAACAGTACAACTCAGTGACACTACCCAGATTTACGAAGGAATCACCTGATCTCGTTGAATTGTTTCCTTCTTTGTTCGCAAGCCGGTTCTCTATGCCAAGCTAGCGGTTTCGCAATGATGCAAAAGGGGATGAAGGAGCTTTGGTCTGCGGGCTGATTGCCATCCTTTGATGGTGAGTCTAGCCCCTAAGGTCGACACAAACATAGTAACCATCCTTTGGGTAAACTTACCACTTCCCACGTCCCTCCGTCCCCGTCCCCGTCTCCACTTCCACCTCCACTTCCACTTCAACCACGATCTCCGCTTCCGCTGCAATGTTTCCTTGCCATCGTCTTTGTCGAATGCTGAGCATTCTATGACTGTTGTTACGAGAAGTTTGCCTGCAAGGCGGGTGGACAAGGCGTTCAATAGTAGCCGAATTCCTTCAGTATTCGGAAGCGAGAGTCCACTCGGTTGATGCAGCATCATGGGCATACTTCCAGGGTCAGTTGAGCTGGGATGGTAGGACACGTAAGAGACGAATGGGCGATAAACGCAATCTGTGGGATCGAAACCAAGTTCCCGCATATGCTCAAATATGTTGCCGCAACGTTTGAAATTGCCATAGGAAGAGTCGCCATAATCACCTAGCTGTTTGCGTCGGGCTCACCACAGGCCCAAGGAGATGTGTAGTGACTCACCGCAATCTCTTGACCAGAACATTTATCAAACTCTGTGTCTTTCCCGTCTATTGTCAACGTATGTGAAGCAACACGTTTCGATCTCCACGGAAGCCATGGTTTGTCGGCCACCTATGTGGATGGTTAGATCCGAATGAACACACGGGAGAAAGTACCGACAGACGTATAAGTGCATTCAAGTGGCCCAGTACAACAACCAGGGCATTGCACTATATCAATCATCACATCTGTGAAGGTAAGGCTACCGGTACTGCGGCTGCAGACAACCCTTGCATTCCAAATGGATTGGGAAAGATGAGCATCGTTAACGATAGGATTGCGAGTTGCGTAATTGCCCTCGCTGATAGGTACATCCCACAGGATGCCATATACTTGTCTGGCGAAATCGGCCCACGATAACCACGGCTCTTGCTTCGCAGAGGATTCATCACAAACAACACGTGTCCATACTTTACCAAGGGAGCATCCAAGTCCAACTGCAAAGCGACATTTGGCGTTGTCATTGGCGTAGACTAAGATGATGAGATTGTTTCCTTGCGAGAGTTTGACAATACTATCTGTAATCTCGCACGGGAAGGTGCCATGACGGATGAAGCCATACCGCAAGGCGCACGTGTCATCGAGCCTAAGGTCGCGGTAGCTCTCCTCGTTGCCTCGAATGTAAGCAAGGTAAAGCGACGTAAACCGAGGTTCTGAGTTATTATTAACGCGTACAGTCTCGAAAGACCTGCCGTGGTTAAGTCCACGGGATACCAGGTTGAGGGTGATCAAGTTTCCAGAACGATCAAGGCATGGTAACATGGCCTTGGAGAATTGGGATTGGGAGCGGAAAGGGAGAGGGGGTGAGACGGGAGGTGGAGGGGAAGGTGAAGCACGGGTACTAGTAGGGGTAGTTGAGGGGGATATAGGCGAGGGGGGGACAACAAGTGCCGGCGGGGGGGTAATGGGCAAGGGGGGGATAATAGGCGAGGGAGAAATAATAGGCGAAAGGGGGGGAGTAGGCGAGGGGGGGGGAGTAGGCGAGGCGAGGGTACTAACAGGGGAGAGGGGCAAGATAAATGGGCGGGGAGAATAGATATCGGAAGCGGAATCGGGATTGGGACCGAAATTGGACTGGAGGACGACAGGCAACGACACTTGGATGCCCACGTTCGTAACATTGAACATGGAAAGTTTAAGGAAGTCCACTGCCCACTCTCTGGTATGAGTCCGCCTTCTGCCAATATTCCATCTTCTGGTATTCCGCCTTCCGTTATCCAACTCGTCGTTCTTGCGCATATACACGTTTACTTCCTCGACTAACCTGGAAGAATCCACTCTTTCGATGTCGTGACGGCCCTGAAAGCAGCTCGGGTCAGCTGCCAGGACACTCGACCACTCCCCAAGCTGTCTGTTGGGATTCCATGCAAATATACTGTGATCGCTAGATACCCGGATAATTTCCAGCTGAAGCCGCTGAAATGCTTTTGAGCCCTCGCCATACAGCATCGGCATGTTCACATCAAACAAGCCCATCAGCGAATACGCTCGATCTTCAATTCGTGTCGTCCTCCGGTCAGCGGCCCACGACATGATGTGAGCAACGAGCGGGCGTTCCCCGGAGGTGGTACTTCCCGAAACCAAAACCCCTGCATCTTTCAACACTTCCTCTGGAATTTGTGTGATGTCCTTTAACGCGGCTGTCAGGTCCTGTTTCCTCCCTATGGACACCCAGTTCTTGTTGAAGAATTCGAGTGCCGCCGGAGCGATGAGCTCCTGAAGTGTCCAGCCCCGCGAGAACCACTCGGGCCAACCGTTGACCCAACCAGGCCTGGTGAAGTCTTGTTTTGTAGGAAAGGCTGAGTCGTCGACATCACCGAGGTACACGTAGCACCTCTGCGAGTTTTGGTACCACCGATACATTGAATTGATTGCCTCCGACAGTTCCGCGCTGCTACGCTTGTCAATGCAACACGTATCGACCCACAACCACATGTAACCGTCTTTCTTGGCCTGTTCACAGCTCCTGATGATCTTCTGGTAGCCGTCGCGCCCCCTGACCTCCTCCCTGTCTTGCTCGTCCATCTTCATGAGTCCAGTCATGTCATCGTAATCAACCTCCGTTCCCCAACGATGTGACAGTATCACATATTTTGCAGTCCTGTCATCAAGTTCTTCCAAAACCTTGGTCTTGGGTCCAGCTTGTTGGATATTCTTTTCTCGATGGAGAACGGCTCTTATATTTAACACTCGCATTTTCCTATGAGATGAACAAAAAATCAACAATAGATCAATAGTTGTAGGTCATTGTACGTACTACCTGAACGCCCGTGACTAGACTCTTCAAGCGGTGAGCATTACGCGTATGGCGAAGGACAAATGGAACAACGTAATACCAGATCGCAGGTGTTAGAAAAAGGCGTCAGTTCTCATTGGGCAGCCAAAGTAAGCGCAGTTTAGAAGCGGACTCACGTTCCTGGGCGCCTGTTACGTATCGAGTCCGTCGTTAAGGCTACTCCACGTGCATCTGGATTGCAGACGTGGAGATGGGGACCAGGACAGGACGAGGTTGTTCCTTGGCCAGTCCTGACTACTTCGGTTGCCGCACAAGTCCCTCAGGTCATCGCAGTCCTCTCTCGTAGACCGACGAGCAGCAATGCGTAGATATATGTCCGGTACGAGACTAGAATAATGAAGAGCATGGGTGTATTATGCCGATAGACGGTACCAGCGAGGAATCGATGAAAGCTCAGTCACAAATGTAATTGCTAGGTGACACCATGAGGATAGGAGAATAAAATGTGTATCGTGCTCCGCGTCATTGTACGCACAACAGAATGAAGGAGATGCTTGCTATCGTGAAACCCGCCATAGTACTGACGCCGCGTCCGCTCGTTCCACCAAGGTTTATGCTTTTACCCAGGTCCGATACCCCACACCTCCAAACCAACACACTCAAACGATACATCTTTCTTCCCCATGCCTGCACCCGCATGTGAGGGCGGTCGTGCACATAACACGGGATTGTCGAACGTTGGACAAGGTGCTGAAGATCCTTCAAGAAGTGATGAATCGATATACAGGCCGTAGTGGCCATCTCTGTGTGTAGCGGAATAAGAGTCAGATTTATGGTCGTAGAGCAAGGAAGGGGGCGATGAAAAACACCTACCCTCCTCCAAACGAGATGAAATCAGGATCGCACAATACCACGTAGTCGTTCTTTCCTGACCACTTGTACACCTCAAGCGGCGGAGACGCATCTGTGCGATATCGCCAGAGGAAGCTGGATACGGCAACGGCACATCCGCGTGCAAGTATTTGGCCATGAAAGAGGCGCAAACGGTCAAGGAGAGAAGGGAGGAAGGACAAAAAATACTCACGCTTCGCCACTCCCGTAAAACCCGTTCTGTCCCTTTATGATCCCTTCCCCGACCCATGCACCAAACAAGCCATCCAAGCTGTCTTTCACCACCAATAACGCGCCACAGGGTGGATTCGGCTCCGCCTTGCTGCGTGTGCGCGGCTCAGAGCGACTGTACAAAGTGTTGAGAGAGATACCGTGTTGGTCGATAGAGTAGAGTAACGTCCAGTTGCGGGAGAGTCGTACGAGAGCGGGTAGGTGTATCCGGAGCTGTAGGGGTGTGAATGCGTGTATTCGGACACAAAGGGCGACCGTACCGAATTTGCAACATCTTCAGTGAGCACCTGTAATGTGCCTTCGCGCCTCCCGCACAAACTTAAACCCTTCACTTTTACCGTCCCTCTCGTACTCTTCAACCTCCCTGGTGTATCCCCGATGCTCCCGCTTCTCCTCAACGCACCGCTGCCGGTACCAAATTCGTCCTTCCGAAACCCGCTCAAAAGATCCGAACTGCCTTCATGACTACCATCACCATTAGCACACTCTAACTCGCCGCCAAGTCCAGTGATGTCCACAGCGCCGCTCTCTCTGTCCCTTTGAAGGGCCTCAAAGAAACCCCTGTCCCAATTTCTGTCACCTGTAAACCCAGGAGCACCTGATGGCGGCACAAATGGTGTGGAGACGAAAGGCGAGCCACGATGCGTTATTGAAGCGGATGAGGAACGATCTGAGAAGCTACTAGAGTGAACTGGAAAGGAAGAAGAGAGGGTTCCAGAGTTACTTGATGAGGAAGAAATGGTGTTGTTCCGCTGCATGTTTTGATGTTCCTGACAAAAAGGCAGATACAAGGTTTGAAGAAATCCTCGATAGCGTTGCTTGTGAGGGCGATGCCGATTGGCGTTCTCTGTTTATTTCTACTTCTTTCACTCTTCTTTCCTCATCACCACTTCCCTGTACCTTATCCAGTCCGAGATTTAGGGGTAACGACACCCCAGATGCGCTTGGTGACGACGCAGAAGGAGGAGAGGCATTTCCACTTAAATGGGGTGGTAGCGGTGAACCTGTGGGGGGCAAGCCGGCCAGACTTTGTTTGCGCGTGAGAGTAAGAACAGGTGATCTATTGCGTGGATGAGTGTGGGGTGCATGCGGAGGTGAATGGTTGAGTGGATGGTTTTTGGATGACATATCAAGCTCAGAAGCAAGAGCATCTGCGATCGATTCGTGTGGTGAGAGGATGGGGGCACGACCTGGTGCGTTTCCTTGCGACGTAGACATAGCATTTCCCAGTAATTCCGGTTCTTCTTCTGGTAACAGATCCAGTGTCGTCGATTGGTGGAAGGATGGAGGATCATCCACCTGAGCGGCCAAGAAGTACAAAGGATCATCCTGATGCTCTAACAACTCGTCCAGTACACCCTTCCTGTTTCGCTCTGACGCGACTTTGGCGGTAGTCGTAAACTGCCCGAAATAATCGAGACTCACGTTCCTCGCCTTAACCGACGCTGTTACCTGCGAGGTTTCTGCCGTATCGACCACCGAGCTAGATTCCGCAGGTGGTACTGTAACGTCAGGAGGAGAGGTCAACGGATCTTGATGGGGTGGGACCGACACGAATGGACCGAAATCGGAATCTGTGGAATTCTCTGTGTATGTGCGGCGGTGCTGAGTTGTCCATGACAACGACTGGGATAGACGCTTTGACAACGATTGTTCGTTAGTATCGACGGTTCGTGTCGGTGTAGCAGGCGGAGTTGCCGGAGCGAAGAGCATCGCAAAACGATCGATGTCGGATTCGTCAAGGTGATGTCGGGGAGGTGGAGGAGGATGACGTTGAGGTGCCCTAATTGGGGCTCGTGATGGTGGTGAATGAGACTTCGGGCGAATGGGATGCAATGATTGCGTGGTAGCTGAAGATGATGACATTGATACAAATGAGGGAAGTGGAGAATTGAAATCGATGAGAGGGGGAATAGATGGTTGCTGGTGCTGGCTCAGTTGTGAATGCGGTGATATAGGCATGGTTCGTAGGTATTCCAGGCGTGATAGACAGGTTGGAGGTGACGCGCTACGATGTTTGCAAACGGGGCCGCAATTTGTCTTTTCGATGAACGACGTTGGAGACCTTGGTGATTAGGCTTTAGTCTGCAAACAGTGGGCCATTGGTATGAGCTACCACAAATTGAAGGACATTCAAACCGACATTCGTTAGTAACTTCCAGAACACGTTGTCAGAGCCTGGGTCGAGGACGTGCACCTAGTAGCTACGGCGTCCCAGCTCTGGTACAACCAAAGCTGTAGTGATGGATCTGCTCAAATGCAGAGAGACTCACTTGAAAGCGTCCTGCAGTGCGTAGGATGTACTTGGAGAGGTTTTCGTACATATACACGTGTGTTCGATGTCCAGGCAACGACACAGCTACTCACCGACTGACACAACGGTGCCACAAGCAACAACCACTGGAATAAGCACACCACAAATGTGAAGATGTCAGGCAATATGGAATAGCGGAAGCCCGGTTGAATGACAAGGGTCACTGCGGCATTTGTCAGTGGTAGGCAAGCCGTACAGCCACCGGCAGCGGTAAGGGTCTACTGCAAAATTGTCTCTGCAACTCCCAGCACCGAACTGCATTGTACTATAACGGTACCGTGAAACTGCTAAGTCTCAGGCATTCTGAGACCGGTACTCCATTCAGATCCAGGCTTTATCACCTTCCAACCTGAAGCGCGAGAGCCGACCTCCAAACCGACGACGAGGTGCCAAGCCGTGGCGACTGGAGGGTTCATGGTCCCAAGGGTTTGTAAACGAATTCCCGAGTCTTCTGCGGTCCCATGGGTGTTGCACGTCCAGCCAGATCGGGACCAGTACTTACATATGAGTTTCTAACAGGAAAAATGGCAACTGACCTCGTCCCTCACTCCTAAGAATCGCAGGTGAGGTCAGAAGTCCCATCGCATCAACCCAGCTTGCAATGTTACGCGCCATCAACACTGTCATCATTTCTAGGCATGAGAAGATGTCTCCCCGTGAAACACTACTAGGACATCTATGACCGGCAAGGCGTAGGACTGAACATCGTGGACTAACATACAACTCCGTGGGGTGAGAATTTACTTGACGACACTACCTCAAGTCTCCGATGCAATGTTGACCTCCTCTCGACGCCTCGTTATCTGCACGCCGGAGGCGTGGGCGAACGAAATGGCGCTCGGCTTCTCACACCTGACTGTAACAGCGTCGACTTGGGGAGATGTCATGCGGAAACAGGCACGGATGAGCTCGAGGACGAGTTTTTCCAGGGTTAAATAGGAAGTAGAATTGATGAACTGTAATGATTATACGTATCTGTATGCATATAGTCATCACACGTGGGACAGGCAGACGTACCTCGTATAAGAGTTGTAGTACCATCGTATAATCTACTTCGTTTGCTTGGGGTTGGGATACGGTAGCCTTCGAAGTAGACTCTGAGGTGGTGCAAGGACGCTCGTAGAATGTGATGTTGGTAATGACACGTTGGCGAGCCAGTCGCTCTGGTGGGTTGACACCGATGAGGACGGGCAGAACGAGGTCCCTGACACAGATTGTCGCGGATGCGGGGAAGTTCCTGTCACCGCACCCGCCCTCACCGGCCTTTGCTCGGGGTGTCGTCACGTCGACAGAGAACCCCGACGCAAGCAAGATCTGCTTTGGAAGATCGACGACAACCCGCACTGCAATGGCATTCTGTTCTGCAAGCTCAAAGGCAACGCGGGTAATGTCCTGGATAAGAGCATGAACACCAGTGTAAGGCGTGTCTGTGCGTTCCCTCTCTCCAACGATTGCCGATACTGCTTTGGCGAGATGGCCGTAGTGCACCGAATCTTTGACATCATCCGAAGTCCCACATGCATCCAGGAAAGATGAATGCAGGTAGAGGTAGACGCTGGCGAGTACAGGCTGCGGTTTTGGTCGACGCCAACAATCCGAGCCGATTGCAGCGGTGAATTGAATGGAATCGAGAAAGACAGCGTCGGTTGTGGGCACTTGGCTTGATTGCGACAGAACGTTGGCAGTCATCGTCGTCGCGTTCTCGTGAGAGCACTCAGCCTGCTCACAGCGTTCATCGCCTCCGACGTACCCGACTCATCTGAAGTGTTTCGAGTCCTTCAAACGCCGGAGGGTTAACACCGCCTAACACGGATGGATTGAATACGCGACTGACACTGAATGTACAAGGGGAGGTAGCTAAATATTTAAGGAAAGTGAGTTGTTTTAAGGTCTATGTAAGTCCTGTATGTACGCTACGGTAGACATTAAGTTAACCGTTGCCTTGGTCCGATTGGGACACCCCTCAATGACAGTCGAGCTGCAGCCACAGCCCGCCTTAAAGATACCAAAAGAGATTTTCCTAACCGCTGCTGCCCAATAAATAAATACACGCGGAACGCATGTGGTCTGTGAGGAGTGACCAGCAACGCGCTATCGATCCACCACCACATCAAACAAGTCCAGAGTATAGCAATTTGCGAACGAAATTTAGAGAATACGGAAATAGTGAAGAGCCAGATCAATGGCTATCGAAGGAGTGTGACCAGAGATGAAATCAATTGGGGGTTTGATACAATTGAGATGGAGGGTCGCGAATAAAGATGAGAAAACGGAGAGATGATGATGATGGGAGATTTAACAGAGGTTTCGCAAAGAGGAGAGGTGACTGGGGAGGGAAAGTAAGATATCGTTTTATTGGAAGGGCGAATAGAAAGACCTACTCGATGGCAATGGCCCATAGAGTCTGTCATGCAATGACACAGTAGGCGAAACCATTGCTTGATTGATATTCCTCGTCAACCGGTATTTGTGATTTCTCGGCCTCATCAGAGACCTTCTCAGGTGCTCCCGAGAAGGAGATGGTGAAGAAAGAGTCCATCGAATTGTGTGCGGGGAGTGGGATGGAGGTATCACTCGAAGTGCTTGTCTCAGAGGTTAACGAAGAAGGGTGCTTTGGATTACGAGGACGTCGCTGAGAAACCTGGTAATTGCGGGCTCGCCGTACCAACACCGCGTATATATATACGTTTCCGTCATATTGCGCAGAACAATTGAGAAGGGAAACGTGCTTCATATCAGTTACGGTCCTGAACTGCCGCTGCGTCACGATGGTCATACCGCCGGATCCGTGCCTAATCCTCGGAGCTTCTTATTGTGTAAGCGCCATTCGTATGCTTGGACATGCTTTGCCCTGCCAACGCGGTCAACGGAGAGCCAGAGCGGTTCCATTTGCATGGGTTCCCCAATCACAAAAGCGTAAAGACCGCACACCATATCTAAAGTGCAGTGTATTGGAACATACCAATAAGTATCAAGGTTTCATTCATGTCTGAAACGGTCCTTTGAAACCAACTCGTCATGCGAGTAGGCAAGGGAAGGCAGGAGGATGACCAGAGTCCGCCGAGCAATCTAGAACAATTACAAATCAAGGGATATTGGAGACACGCCATACCATCCAATGGAGAGAAATGAGATATTAACGTACCACGAAATCATGCCGGTGGGATGGACGCATCCTCGGGTTTCTCATCTTTTTGTCTAGTCAGACCGAAACAGGCAGACCAACACAATTGCGTCGGTGACAAGTCGGGTGCACCGCCACAGCTGCAAACCACGACACCTGCCTTTTCTGGCAATCACATGGCCATAGCTGTGGTCCCTGGAGGTCGTCGCCATTCTCATTCTTTCTGTGCCTCCCGTCAGGCCTGTTTCCTTGCTTTTTTTTTTCAAGGTGACATTTGACGTCGTGGCCCATGCCCCTGGTGTCATATTTTCACTCTCTTGTTCTCACTTATTCGTCAGCAAGGTCCGGGAGGTGGATCATGAATTTTTTTCGAATGTATGCCGGTGATTCGGGGCCATTGGAAGGCCGGGAACGATCATATCTTTTCGTAACAATAAGAATCGATGTTGTCGGACCGACAGATGCCACGAACTATTCTAACTCCTGGACGAAGGAACGCTTCATTTCAACAGGTGCAGCAAATGACCGCGAGGTGCAGTGAGCCACGAAAGCTTAAATTCGGCGTTCAACAAATCACGATTAGATCGCAATGAAGGAGGAAGTAACGGGTATTTTCAAACGAGGCCGACAATAGCCTGCAATGAGTGGGTCGTATAGCTTTTCACAACAATATTGACAGACGGGATGATAACAAACGAACCAAAGGCCCACGTTGTCCGAGGGAAATCCGATGCGTCAGCTCCACCAGCCATGATAATCCGGAAGGGGCGGTGATGGAGCTGCGGATATCACAAGGGTACTCGGATTTTCAGACTGGACCCCCGCCGCGCACTCCCACAAAAGCGTCAGTTTTGCACAGCGCGCCAACTGTGACTGTGATGTTCTAACCAGATGCCACGCCCCCGTTTCCGGCTGGTTCTGTATCAGGCTTGTATTGTGCTTGATGAGCCGGGGCTGTGTGTCTGGAACCCATGTATCTGGGGTGGCTCCCAATGCCGTCGTACACCGGAAGTCCTTCTTTTCCGTCCAACGTAGGATCATCTGGTCTGCCATCCGAGTCGATTCCCATTTCCATCCGTACCGGCAGCGTGCACATGATAGCGATTCGAGAGTCTAAGTCATATACTGCCGCTATCCAGTGTTTCCCGAGCAGTTGATATGGAGGGCACTTGAGGTCCTATGCTCGAGGCACTCTCTTGGGTACCGAGAATAAGGTTGCCCCTCCCAAAACTCTTGCAAATTTTGCTTTCTCTACAGCCTGGGCCGTGAGCAATAGTTCATGTCTCGATACGCCTGCGCCTGCATCGAGCATGACCCTTGCTGATGGCCCCGTCCGAACGTGATTCACGACCTGAACCATGTGTACGGTGGCTCTTGTCCGTTGTAAGTTAGTATTGAATGCATCTATTCGTTCCTGAGTAAATGTTGGTCACCTCACATTCTATGGTAAGCGTCAACTTACAAAGCCACAGCTACCGAAAATGTCTTCGCCACAATCTGCACTGAGGATAGAAGTCTTTGGGTCACTCTAGGTGAGGTTGTTATTCCTCCGAAGCGATCTCTCGAATTCCCGGACTCTAATGGGCCAGGATGTCCCAGACGCCCAAATAGTTTGTGTACCGCACGAGCTGCCTTCCCGGAGCCCAGGAGTCCGTGTTCAGGGATGCTGGTACATACCAAGCGTGGCAGAGCCCACGGAAATAGAGTCCTTTGAAGGGGTGAAGTAGAGAGGGCGCACAGGGAAGGCTCTAATTGGTAGTGGTCATGTGCCTTGCCAGTTTATGCGCCCTTCAGATGAACAAACACAACAGAGAGGTTAGATGGACTGTAGTTCACCGACCACGCAGGGTCCCGACATTTCAGAACGTACCTTCCTCCAGCAAGATTATGCGAAGAAAGTACAACGACTGCTTGTTGCAACTTGATGCACTTAGAGCCGGTAGACCTAATGCGATACTGAGGGGAGGGCATCACGCTGACGAAGGGTGGGCCCTAAAGCTTACCTGGATTTTGAGACAGAGAATCAGCTCGCTGTGTACTATAATGTGTAACGACGACGAACACACAAACATCTAAACATTTGGCGTATATGGATGGACACGGATACCACGTTCTAGAGAAACTGGGTAAGTACGTGGAGACAACCAGGAGACTCGAAACATAAACATGCACGTATACAGAGAATCATAGTAACATCTAACCAAGACGTTGCTGAGCTAGAAGTTCATGGAGGACTGTTGGTTCATCCCGCGTCGTGGTTGTCGAAAATAGCATGAGCCTTCTCAGCGTCTTTGGCATCCCCGAACAGAGTCTTCAATAACTTCCGACCGTCTTCCAAAGTTAATTCCTCGTGATTCCACTGAGTATCGCTGAACTAGAGTGCTTGTCTGCTCTTTAGTCGCTCGGTAATACTCTCCTCACATATCTCCCACACTTGAGAGTCCGACGGGGAAAAAATGTCCACGATCTCTTTCGATCTTCTCGGATCGCCTGAAGTTCTTGGGCTGTTGTTCGCGACGAGAAGAAGAAATACCACCGCACTGACACGGTTGGGGTTGGGAAACACGAACTTGATGAGACTAGGTTTACCGAGAACCTGTTGGAAGATAGCTTCTTGAACCTCCCCCTTATCAAAGGAGGAAAACCAGAGGTCGTGCGCCCAAGAAAAGGCGAGAGAGATGACAAAAATCAGCTGTCCAAAGAGTTTACTATGAGAAATGAAGACCAGCTGCGCAATGGCCTGGACGATGAGTAGGATGGAACACCATTCAACCTTGCGGCAAGCATATTTCGACCGGAAGCGAAAGAAGGATCTTCCGCGTGTGACAGCATTGACAACATACTCATCTCCTTTCAACAAAACGAGGTCCTGATCAAAGCCCAAGAAACTATCACCGGGAGGCGAGCCTCCGCAGCTTGAGGTGATCACAAACTAGATTCCCAGAACCAATAAGGACACAAACAAATCCTCTGGAAAGGATGCCAACAAGAATCATCGAGAAAGCGTACCATTGACGGTACAACCCACACGCGAGAGACACGTCGTCAGGCTGACAACAATGGATATGATGGCGAGCGGAGGTGAGCGATGGCCGAACGTCATCCGCTGGTGAAGACTATCAACCTGCTCTAGGATGGGGTGACGTTCACAGGTTCAGTAGTCCTGTTGTCGATTTTTTGGCAGTCTTCTTTGACGGCCTTCTTCATAAGCTGAGAGGCTAAAGGTCCCACGGCGTGCATGAAAGCGCCAGAGTAAATCCCTTTAAACGTAGGACATATGGACCAGCCTTCATGTTCGAACAGCAGAGTGGGATCGATGTTGTACTATTTGAGACCCGGACGCGGTATCCAATTGTCATATACAACATCCACCTTTGCTGAGCGTGCCAGGTGTCGAAAGTGCTTTCCCATGACATATGAGCCTACGGCCGTATCCATAAGTCAGTTGTCCCGTAAGGTAGATCGTAACTCCTACCTGGACAGCTGTACCAGCCCAACCATCTTCTTCTGTCGTAAATTTGAGTCAAAGCGGCCGTGGAGGTGGCTTCCTCTCCGCCTAGCAAGCCCGCCACAACCGTACTATTCGAGACGAAGGTGGAGTTGGCGAGTGGAAGTGGGCCGTTGACAAATGACCTGGCCTGGCCAGTGTAGTTAGAAAAAGCGAACTAGCAGAAGTCGCAAGCCGTCCCCACTCCAAGGCGGTGTGACTACAACGGCCGGCGGGAACGGCGGACTGGTGGGGAGCCGAAGGCTCTGCCACCAGGGCATTCACACGCTTGTGGGGTTCAGGCGGGCCGCAGGGGGCCCTAGTTAGATCGCTTTACGATAGAATAGTATGACGCTGCATCTGTAACATTAAACAAACAAAAATAAAACAGCTGATTGTGCGACTTTTGCAGTACTGCTCCTGCACAACTTTTTATACTACCCCTGCATAATTTTTGATACAGCCACTTTGCACCACTTTGCACTAGCTAGGAGGGCAGATAAAATAGATAAACGTAGGCAGGGCATGAACACAGTTCGTCGGCACCCTCCCCAGTCATCCCGCCCAATCCACGAGGCCGTGATGCTCCACAGGGCCCGCTCGAACGCTCAACCCCCTCCCCCGCCCCTCCCGCCTGGTGGCGGTAAATTCCCACGGCATCGCCACCTGCAAATTCATGTGACCACACTCCGCGCCACAAGTCATCACTGGCCTAGCGAACTTGGGCCCGTTTCTTGGCAAAATACCCATTATTACATGGGTTATGTACAGTAGCATCGAAACGAGTCCCGAGGAACGGGCGAGGAATGCGTGTAGCCCTGACTCGCTCGCTCCCCCGTGCACGTGCCATGCTTAGTCAGTAGCTGTGGGCACAGCCACCTGCAAATTTTCTGCGCATTACTGCAAAAGTCGCGCAATCAGCTGTTTTGTTTTTATTTGTTTAATGTTACAGATACAGCGTCATATGCCTGAAGTTGATCCGCTTCCCAAATTTGGTTGGCAGACACGCTGAGGATGAGAGGTTGTTATCACAATTAGCACGCTGGCTTTTTCCCACTCCAGATATCAGTGGATGCCACGATAATATCCGAAATGAGGAGGTTATCGCACCATATACATGTTGAAGAAGCTGCCAGCAATCTAACTGGCCAATGCATTGCGCGCAATTGGTAGAGTGATCGTAACCTTACGCTAATACAGCTTCTTACAAATTCACGCCCAAGCATACACGGGAGTGCATCTAGACGTACTTCCGGGGGAAGAGGAATATGGCTATGCTGACAAGAAAAGTCGGTACGAGGAAAATATATAGTTAGGACACATCTCACCTAATCCACGCTTTAGCACGCATCACAGAGCGAGGAGCGTTAAAGTCAAGACGAAAAGTCTGTAGGCGAGGCAAGAATTATCGGGGTCCCTTTCACAGACCAAGGAAATTAACTCCCGCCTAAACGCCACCCCTCGTGTCAGCCAGCCAACGAGATCAGAAATCTCGCGCATGTCGGCGCGTTCGCAACTCCTGATGTCTTTTTTGGTAGCCGTCGCGCTGCCTGACATGGAGCTTATCCTGCTCGGCCATCTTCACGAGCCCGGTCATTTCGTCGTAATCCACCTCCTTTTCCGAGCAATGTGATAGTATCGCATATTCCACAGTCTTGTCATCACTTCTTCCAAAACTTTAGTTTTGGGTCCAGCTCGCTGGATTTCCCTTTCCCAGTCGGGAACGGCTTTTGAGTCTAGTAACCGCATCTTGCTAAAGGGTAGACGGGAAGCTCGAGGTTAGACCAACAAGTACACATACTTCCTAGGCGTCCCATCACTACGGAGCGGTGCTCTCCACGCCCCTGGTGAAGAACAAACCGAGGGCTTGAACAATGTGATTCACGCTCGTCGCATGTCGTGGGTTTCAAGGAAAAGCGTACGCACCGGGCACGGCCCTCAGCCCCGTTGTCACCTGGAAGCCGCAGGAAGAAAGCAGTAAATCAATAGTGTTCGAGAACTAATTTCCACCAAGGTGCGCGCTGATATACGACCCAGATAGATCTTCCACATCGACCAACGTGGTATCCGTCCGCATTTAGAGAAACACAAAGTTACAATCAGCCTCATTGCTTACGAGGAGTGCCCCAACCCAAGCTGACCTCGTTGCACTTCGTGAAGCTCCTTATGATTAAGTCGGCGCGTATGTGCTGCTGGTATGGACTCGCATGGCAGACTGTGGCGGCAGGTGACACTAAGTGGGATGAAAAGATGCTCTTCCGGCATGTGGCAACAGTTGGGGGCCCACCTTGCAGCAGTTTGCGAAAACCTTGTCAGTAGCAAATATTTGCGAGTCGCGAGGTGGCTCAGCTGCTACCTACGGAAGCCGGACGACCGCGCCCTTGCAGTGAAAAATAAACAGAGCCGAACAAGTGTTTTGTTGACGCGTCGATGCAAAATCCAGACTGTTCGACAGTCGACTGCCACAGGTTCCTAAGGCGACCTGCATGATGACAGGGCTCCGAATCGTGCTGTATCTTTCATTTGAGTTTCCGTTTCTTATAGTTTGCACGCAGGTCCCGCAAGAAATGTTTTACTCAGGAGTGTGATCTTGGCACGCTGGTAATGGAGAACTTGGCTTGCCCATACACACGAAAATTTGAACCTGCACATTTATTAGTCGCGTCCATCATCAAATCCAAGAGCTCCTGCAAATACTATACATAGCCCACATATGTACTAGCACAGTGTCAAGGGGTTGCGCTGAAAAGATAGGCAAAACAATGAAGGTACAGGTACACAGAGTATCAGAGTAATATCTGGCCAAAACATTGCTGAGGTAGTGGTCCACGAAATATCATTCCTCTTCGATTAGGGGACCGTCGCCGCTGCGCTGCTCACGAAAATGGCATAAGCCTTCTCTGCATCTTCGGCGTCCCCAAACAGGGTTTCCAACAACCTCTGGTCTTTTGAAGTCAATATTTTGCAGTTCCAGTCGGTCTTGTTAAAACGGAGTGCTTTCCTGCTCTCTAGTCGTTTGATAATAGTCTGTTTCCATATCTCCCACACTTGAGAGCCTGATGGCAGAAAACTATCCATGATCTCTTTCAATATTCCGGGATCACTGGAGGGTCTGGAATTGCTGGAGGGCTTCGGATCGCCAGAAGGTCTGTGGTCGCTGGGAGGTTCGGGATCACTAGAGGGTTTGGAATCACCGGAGGGTTCAGGATCACTAGAGGGTTTGGGATCACCGGAGGGTTCGGGATCACTGGAGAGTCTGAAGTCATTCGAGACGAGAAGCAGGAATACTACCGCACTGACACGGTTGGGGAAGGCGAGCTTAGTGAGACAAGGGTCACCAAGAACATCTTTAAAGATAGCTCCTTCAACCTCTGCCTTGTCAACGGAGGAGAACCAGAAGTTGTAAACCCAAGATGTGGCGACAGAAACAACAAACATCAATTGGCCGAAGAATTCGCTCTGGGGGACGCAGATCAACTGCACGATAGCTTGGGTAATGAGAAAGAAGGAACATAGTTTGACCATGCGGAAATCATGCTTCGACCGGAAGCAGAAGAAAAATCTTCCGCGTGTGACGGCATTGACGACATACTCGTCCCCTTTCAAAAGAACCAGTTCATGGTCAGAGCTCAGGATCCCGTTACCAGGAGGGGAGCCTTCCGCAGGTTTGGGGTGATCAAAAATTAAATCCCCCGAGCCAATAAGGAGGCAGGAAAACCCTCTGGAGAGCATGCCGAGGAGGATCATTGAGGACGCATGCCATTGGCCACACAGGCCACATATAACGCACGTGGCCAGGCTAACGATAATTGGGATAATGGCGAAGGTAGGTGTGTGATGGTCAAACGTCATCTGCGGGCGAATACTATTGGCCTGTTCCAGCACGGTGACGGTAATGTTCACAGGTTGCGTCTTCCTGCCCTCGATTTTTTGGCAGCGTGCCTTGTCAACCTTCTTCATAAGCCAAGAGGCTAAAGGCCCTGTATTTTGGATAGAAGTACCAGAGTAGATCCCTTTGAATGCAGGTCCTTCGGACCAGCCTTCGTGCTCGAACAACGCGCGGGGATCGATGTGTATGGTTTCGCCCCCAGACGTGGCACCTGATTTAGGGTCACTGTCAAATACAGCATCCACCTTCGCTGAGCGAATCAAGCGGCGAAAACGTTTGCCAGTGACATATGAGCCTGTAGTCGTATCCTCGAGTCATTTGCCTGGCAAGGTAGACCGTTGCTCTTACCTGGTGAGTTGTACCAGCCCAGCCATCTTCTTCTGGCATAAATTTGGGTCAAAGCCACTGTGGACGAGGCTTCGTCTCCACCTAGCAAGCCTGCAACAGCCGTGCCACTCAAAGTGAAGTTGATGTTGGCAAATGGGAGTTTGATCAACGACCTGGCCTGGAGTTGGACTGCTTCCAAGGATTTGTGGGCAGACATGATGGGGATGGGAAAGTGTATATCGCAGCTGTGATGTTTATAAACTTCGACCACTCTGGATATTAGTAGGTACTACGACCATTTCCCAGGTAGGGGATTGAAGAAGTTCACCACACCAGAAACATGGTTAGAAGGCTGCCAGTTTGATTGATTCGAAGCCACTGGCCAACGCATTGCGGGCAATCAATAAATTGGCTGAAATTTATTTCAACACGGCTTCTGATAAGATCCACATTCAAGCGCAAGAGAACGTGCATTCCAGGGTGGGTGCAACGTGTTTACTGAAAAGGAAGTCAGTTCAAGGCAAGTAGTTAGAACGAGTCTCACCTGATCCATGGTTTCGCACATATCACAGTGCGAGGGGGGTTCACTACAAAATAATCAGTCTTGCGCCTTCTGGGGTCATCTCCACTTTTGGATAAAGACCCTGAAGGCGAGGCAGGAATCTTCTAGGGTATCACACACTGACAAAAAATTAATTCCTCGCCCAAACGCCACTCCTCATGCAAGCCAGCCAACAAGACTGGCAACCTGACAGATATCGGGAAGGGTATGCCGGCTTTCTGTGGCCCACATATTACTGTAATTGAGATCAGCGCCAAAACTATGGATCATCAAATCCTGCTCGGGGCATGCAATGATTCCGTTCTTCTGCCACGTGAACTGCAGGGGCGATGCAGACTTCTCAAGAGAATTTGATCCGTAGAACAGTCAGGAATCCAAAAAGCTCACACAAAGGTGCATAGTAACTTACGTTCTCTGCCACCGAACCTTCATCTCGGAAACGGAACGACAACCGAGGGAAAAGTAATGAACGATGTCCACAATGGCTTAAAACGAGTGTGGTGCAGCTCTTTGACAATGATATTGACAGAGAAGATGATAACACATGAACCCAAAACCACAGTTATCCCCGAATAGTCTGAAATGCCAACTCCTCTGTCATGATAAGCCAGAGGGGCGGGAATGAATGGCAGAAACCGCAGAGGTGTTTAGACGTGGATCCCCAACCCCATACTTACATAACCAGCTGGTTGCGCACCACACCAACAATGCACTTTGAGGAGCTAAAACAGTATCCCAAGACTCCATGTATTGGAGGGACTCCCAACGCCGTCGTATGCCGGAAGAGATAATCATTTCCGTCCCATATATTGAATCACCTGGCCTGCCATCCAGGTTGATGCCCGTCTTCATTTGCAGTGCATACATGGCGGAGATTCAATCGATACACAGCTTCAACGAGGCTGTTAACGGGGATCGAGGGCACTCCCAGTGAACACTTAAAATCTGCGACGACAACAGAATCAGGTTGTTCAAGCCCTCTGTCCAGGCGTGTAAAGCTCACCATTTGAACAGTAGTCCCAGATACCTAGGAGGTATGTGTGACGACCTATAATTTTGATCTAGCCTTGACTGGTTTGCTCCTTAGGAAGATGAGGTTTTTGAATGTAGAGGCTGTGCTCAACACAGACAAATGCACCCGACAAGCTGGACACGAAACTGACAAGACGACTGATTATGGGGTCAACCCTGATGTCGAAATCCTGAAGGGACTCGGCCACCAGTTTACAAGTTATGCTATACTGTCGCATTGTTGGGGAGACGAGAAGGATGAGGTCAAGTTCGAGGAGATGAATGGTCTTGCAGTAATGGAGACACATAAGAAGGATGATGTCAAGGGGCGCAATGGCTACAAAAAGATCATCAAGAGTTGTGAGCAGGCCATGAAGGACGGTTACAGGTGGTTATGGATCGATACGTGTTGCATCGACAAGCGGAGCAGCGCAGAACTCACCGAGGCAATCAACTCAATGTATCGATGGTACCGCGACTCGCAAATGTGCTACGTTTATCTCAACGATGTCGATGACTCAGCCCTCCCTACGAAACAAGATTTCAGCAAGCCTGGCTGGGTAAATGGTTGGCCAAAGTGGTTTTCGCGAGGCTGGACACTCCAGGAACTCATCGCTCCCAGGGAAGCGATATTCTTCAACAAACGCTGGGAGTCCATAGGCACGAAAGGGGACCTGACATTCGTGTTAAAGGGGATTACGCGGATTCCGGATAACGTACTGAGGTATGAGTGGGTTTTGAGGAGTATCGGCACTGATCGTCCACTCATCGCTCACATCATGTCATGGGCCGCTGACCGGGAGACGACGCGAGTAGAAGATAGGGCGTATTCGCTGCTGGGCTTGTTTGACGTGAACATGCCAATGCTGTATGGGGAGGGCTTGAAAGCATTCCAGCGCCTGCAGCTGGAGATAATCCGGGTATCCAGCGATCACAGTATATTTGCGTGGAATCCCAAGGGACGGCTTGGAAAGAACAGAAGTGTCCTTGCGGATGACCCGAGCTGCTTCCGAGAATGCCATGACACTGAAACAGAGGATCTCAGTTGGTTCGCTGAGGAAGCACGGCAAGACATACGGTGGGATTGGTGGCGCAGTGTGGACCCCACTCGACTTCTCAGGTTTGATGTTACCAATCTGGGCATCCAACTGTCGTTGCCAGTCTTCCCAAACTACAGTGACTCTTCATCCAAATCCAAATTCACGGATGATTCTTCCACTATACCCGAAGACGACGAAACTGAAGTTAAATACTACACGGCCATGTTGCCTTGTCGCGACGGTAATAGAAACCTGATTACCATCGACCTGCAACGTGACGGATACAAGTGGTGCTCTAGCAGGTCTTTCTGGCCACCACGCATTCCCAACCGTGCCACACGTCCGGAGTTTAGGTCACTTTATCTTAATTGCTTGCAGCACGCCGAGGAAAGTTACCGCAGTTTCAGGTTCCATGACAAGCGCACCTCGTACTATGGCTTCAGCCGTTGTGGTGCCTTCCCTCAGAAGATCACGGACGACACTGTCACAGTCTCCCAAGGAAAAAATCTCTTCATCTTAGTCTACGCCAGGGACAAACCCAAATCTCGCTTCGCCGTTGGCCTTGGATACTACCTCGGTGAAGTGTGGGCACGCATTGTCTGCGACGAGTCCTCTGCATATCAAGAGGTCTGGTCATTGGGGGCAGACGAATTTGCCAAGCAAGTATATAATATCCTGTGGAAAGCACCTATCAAGGACCACCCGCTGCTGTATATTCGCCAACTCACAGTTCTTAAGAATGCTCACATTACTACGAATGCCCACCTTCCTGGAACCATTTGGAATGCAACCATCGTCCATACTACTGAAGATAAGGGCACTGATATAGTGGTTGGTATTGAGCAATGCCCTGGTTGTTGTATTGGGCCACGTGAACTTCACAGCGCGTTTGTCAGTACTTTCTCCATATATGCATTTCGGATCTAACCATCCATGTCACAACAGCCGTATGAACTAACGTGGATTTCATCAACAATTGGTTTTCATGAGTTGGAACTTGAAGGGAAACGCGTAAGGTTTGACGAGTGTTTTCATCAAAAAATTACAGTGAGTTGTAACGGAGTTCTTGGGAACTGTGGCAGGCTGACACAAACAGCCGGGCGATTATGGTCACTTTTCCCATGGCAAATTCGAACGCGATGGCAACATACTGCAGGACCTTGGTATTGATTCCGCAGACGGGTATCCAATGCTGAAAGATGAGGACATGGTTGTGACGAGTGGTATCAATTGCAACAACCTGGTGCTGTATCAACCTCAGGTTCTCCCGCTTCCGGACCAAAACAGGTTCCACCTGTTGTTGAAAGCCAAGTTACCTGATCTTGAAGGCAAATCTCTTGTGACGACTGTCATACAATGCTCAGGATTCTGGAAAGTTGATAACGAGGGAAGGCAGATTGACGTGGGAGGAAGTGCGTTTTCCTGAAGAATGGTTCCTGCCTTTGTTTTCACCTTCGGTGTCAGACATAACATCCAAGGGTGATAAGCAGTCCGCAGACCCACACACCTTCACCCCCCTATGCATCGTCATAAGAAATCTAACTTGGGATAGAGCTTGCGATAGAGTAGAAGCCCATGCCGAGAGAAGGCAACAATTCAAAAGTATTAGGTGATTCCTTCGCCAATTATGCTGTGGAACGTTATTGATAATACATTCGGAACGTATGTAGGGAACACTTCTACGCCTTGACAAATCTGGTACGTGCTCCTAATACCATCAGCCAGACTGCAAGTGGGTTTATCTGACTAATGTTATTATCTGCAGCATCATCTTATAGGAACCGAAACTTGCCGTGAGTCTGCGGTGCGTTGGGTAACTGCGTGAAACCCTCGAGTGCGTGCTTATGTTGACAACAGAACAGACGGATGAATTCCGCAGTGATCGACTGCAAGAGCGTATTTGGTTTAGAATACCTGAGACATCATGTGCGTGTTCATGGTTTCAAGTTATGTCAGCCCGTTATACTGTTGAAATTCAGGTTGGCGAGATAACATTCTTCGAACGGCTCCCTTCGACAATGAAAACTCAGCCAGTTAGCGAGGATGCTGTAGTCATGGCACGAAGTCAGCACGTCACGCCAAGGATGTTCTCCGGAAAACTTACATCGCACCCTAGGAAATGCTTTATCGGTGCAATCACTCGTCAAGTTGACGGGGGTATGGAATATATTCCCAGAGTCACCCAATAAGTGGACGCAGGATGATGTGCAGTCCATATCAAAAACTCTTGGCATCCAGGTAAGGTATCACCATCAGTCAGAAGAAGTCGAGGCCGATTCTAGTGACAAAAAGCTACTCAAACACATCTGTACCTCCCTCCTCGGTACTTCTGGAGACAATCAGTAAGTACTTAAATTTTCTCGTGCTTTGTCTGCATTCTACCGTTCTTTGCCTCATAGTTCCAGACGAAGTGGTCAAGTAAGCCACGTTGATAACGATACGGTTGGTCCCACCTTTGACGTTCTGTAGTCCACCTCCTGATACTGAAAACAGGTCAATGTCCATTCCTCTGTACGAGAGATAGAGGCACTCCAAGCGAAACTTCATTCAACACATGACGAAGATGAACAGCGAGCACTGGAGGAGGATATCACAGGAAAGGTGAGGATGTCATCGAGGTATAACTTCTTCAGACTGATCGTTTGTTCGTCGTAGATCCTATGGTTCTATTTCCGTGGAATCTGTTCAGAAGTGGAGCAAAGATTTGTGAAAGTAAGCCAATGCTCGTGTCCACACGTGTTATCTTCTCAAGTGACATCGGATGTCCCCACTCGTAAGGATGTGCGCGAGATTGCAGGGATTATCGAGAGAACCCCTCGTATAGAACCAAGTGACGATATGGCCCACTTCCAGCGGTAACGTTATCCTTTGCTTACCGTTTCTATGTGAATTGCTGAATATATGTTGTTTCAGGGTCATGCTCGATGCGCGTGCAGGCATATCGAGACATGAATTATGGCTTGCCTCCCGGGCTGCAAGTCAAATCAAGGCCGGATTGTCAGGAGCTTCAAGAAGCGACCCCACTCTTGGCACCCAAGCGGCTGCTTCGAGCACAAGCTCCGATACGCCCTGCACACATATTCGGCAAACACTCTACCAGGCGGAGACTTTGACTTCGTCTGAGTAGGTTCAACCTATACTTACATGGTGATCGTGACCTTGACAGGCATTATGTAGTAGTCAAGACGTATGGTAACTTCTGGAGACGGAGGGCGGAATACATCTGTATTGGCCGTCGCACTGTTTCACTACGCATTTGTAGTCTCACTTTACACTGCTGTTTACTCATATTTGATGAATTTGCAATGGGAAACCAATAGTTGTCGAACCACTAATTCCTGACCTTCTTTCTCTGATCGGGCCGATTCGAACTGACATTCTCGGCAGAAGGAGTGGCGCCAAAAGCCGATAACGGGGCCAATGCCGCAGCGTGGGGTGGCAGAAATGGTCATCATAGAGATGATGAACGATTAGTCCGCGAGGGAACTGGGCTGTAGGAGCAGGCGACTTAGACGGACATCGCTTTCTTGCGAGGGGCATGACCACCTTACAATGCGAGGTCCGAGTTGTTCGAGCGAAGGTGTTTGACAGCTATGTCCCTTCTTGCTGGCCGCACGAACTGTAACGCCCCACGTTACCTTGACGGCCAATGAATTTTGCACTGGAACATCAGTAGTCAATTTATCGGTCTGTGCAAGGTGCGCACTGAAATGCTGTCCCCAAGGCCAGCGTGGCGGCAGCGTGAGGCAGCGGAGGCGGCGGATCCGGGTGATGGAGAAGGCGAAGCATCTCCGGCAAGTTCAATGATCGATCCACGCAGAACAGGTTCAGGGAACGAAGGGACTAGTCTCATAGGCACAAGCAGCTTGGACTGATATTGTTTCCTTGCATTGGTTCAACTCCGGGTTGTTCGGTGAAAGGTTCTCGATCATGGTGCTTTTCTTTCAGACTAGCTCATGCTGGCAGCGCCCAGGTGACCGTTGACTGACTCTCGATTACATAAGCAGAACATCACAGAAAAGTCACAGCACGTGATGTACGCCTATCTCACAACGACCACGTTGTTTCGAAACTGTCCGTATACTCATCCCCAGGCACATAAAGCTTGCAATCTGAAGAACTACATTGTAGTCTCTGGATACCTAGTAGTATGTGTGACGCACATAAAACTTTGATGCAGCCTTGACTTGTCTGCCCCTTAGGAATATGAAGCTGTTGAACGTGAAAGCTGTGCTCGACAGAGACAAAGGCATGCAACTAACCGGACACGATGCTGAGGTCATGAAGATTCTTGGCTACGATGAAGTCCTGAAGGACCTCGATGACAAGAGTACAAGTTATGCGATACTCTCCCATCGCTGGGTAACTGAGGTCAATTACGAGGAGATGATCGGTCTGGCAGTGATGGAACCACGAACGAAGGACAGAATCAGGGGGCGCTCCGGCTACATGAAGATCATCAAGAGTTGTGAACAGGCCATGAAGGACGGCTACACGTGGTTGTGGATTGATACGTGTTGCATTGACAAGCGCAGCAGCGCAGAACTCACAGAGGCAATCAACTCAATGTATCGATGGTACCGCGACTCGCAAATGTGCTACGTTTTTCTCAACGATGTCGACGACTGGGCCTTTCCTGCGAAACAAGACTTCAGTAGGCTTGGTTGGGTCAACGGTTGGCCGGAGTGGTTCTCGCGAGGTTGGACGCTCCAGGAGCTTATCGCTCCGAGGAAAGCCGAATTCTTTAACAAGCGCTGGGAGTCCATCGGCACTAAAGAGGACCTGGCGTCCGTGTTAGAGGAAATTACACGAATTCCTGAAAGCGTTTTGAGAGATGGTCGGGTTTTGAGGAGTATCGCTTCCTCAGAGCGTCCATGCGTCGCACAAATTATGTCGTGGGCCGCCGACCGGAAGACGACGCGAGTCGAAGATCGAGCGTATTCACTGTTGGGCTTGTTTGGCGTGAACATGCCAATGCTGTACGGCGAGGGCCCAAAAGCATTCCAGCGACTGCAGCTGGAAATCATCCGGGCATCCAGCGATCACAGCATACTTGCATGGAGTCCCAAGGGGCGGTTTGGGATGCATAAAAGTGTCCTTGCAGACAACCCGAGTTGCTTCAGAGGCTATCACGACATCCAAGAACTGGAACCCCATCGGTTTATCGCAGAACTAGAGCACGGTATACGGTGGCTAGGGCTTGACGCAGCCACAAATTTATCCAGGCTTATGGGGTTGCAGCGCGGTGCAGACTCCTCTCAACTTTTTAGATTCGATGTTACCAATCTGGGTATTCAAATGTCGTTACCCGTCTGTCCCCAACAAGATCAAGACGCTCTAAGCACCAAATACTTCAAGGCCATGTTGCCATTTCACGATCATTATGGAAATCTGGTTACCATCGACCTGCAATGTCGCGGACATAGCTTTTGCAGGTATTTCGGCGCTGCACCCATTCCCGATATGGCAAGCGTAGAATTCACGACACTTTATCTTGATTGTTCTCAAGACGATGAGGAGTGGTGCCACCATTTCAGGCTTCATGACAAGCGTACCTCGTACTATGGCTTCACCCGCTGTGGCACCTGTCCGAACGAGATCTCCGGCGATACTGTCAAACTCTCGTCCCAAGGCAGCACTCTTAATGTGATAGTCTATGCCAATGACCATGCCAGATTTGCAGTTGGACTTGGATACTACCTTGGTCACGTATGGGTACACGTCGTCTGTGGTGAATGCCTTACAAATCAAGATGTCTGGTCATCGCGGACAGAACAATTTGCCAAGCAAGCATATGATATCCTGTGGAATGCTATCGATGATCCCCCACCTTATAGTTGTCTCAACGTTGTCAAGGATGCTCACCTTCCTGGAACCATTTGGGATGCGAGGATTGTCTATTCCAGCGACAATAAGGGTACCGATGTGATGATTGACATTGAGGTGTGCCCCGGTTGTTGTACTGGGCCACGTCAATGCACGAATACGTTGGTCGGTACTTTATTCTGCATATGCACTCAGATCTAACCATCCACATAACCATAGCTCGTGTGCGAACCATGGCTTCCGTCAACGTACGCATTTGACGGTTCTCATGAGTTGGAACTTGATGGGAAACTCGCAAAGTTCGACGAGTGTTCTGGTCTGGAGATTGCAGTGAGCGATAACGCATTCCTCGGGACCTGTAGTGAGTCTGACATAAAAAGCTGGGCGATTATGGCGACTTTACCCGTGGCAATTTCCAATATTGCGGTAATATATTCAAGGACGTGCGGGAACATGACATGGATTCGATTTATGGCCCTGTCGAATCTCGTGTATCTAGCTGCGAAGATGTGGTGCGTCGCGTGTAAACTCGGCATGTCCCCATGACGCGGGGTATCAAATGCGACAACCTGGCAGTGCATGAACCCAAGTGTTTCTCACTTCCGAACAACAAAGAATTCCAGCTGCTGTTGAAAGCTCTGCACCTTGAAGATAGAGCTTTCGTAACAACGGTCATACAATGCCTAGACTTCTACAAGGTTGATGACAAGGGAAGACGGATAGACATGGGATGTCGTGAGTTTATCCGAAAGCTGGTTCCTACTTTTCTTTTGACCTTGGGGTGTCAGACTCAGCATCGAAGGGCGATAAGCAGTCTGCAGTCCCAGTCACCTCCAAGGTCCCCCTATGCATCATTGTAAGAAGATTATCTTGGGATAGGAACCCAACTTGTACTCAGAGAAGAGGAAAATTTGAAAACATTAGGTGATTCTTTTCCAGATCATGTCGTGTAAAGTTGCTGACAAGACACCGGAACGTAGAGAAACCTTTTACGCCTTGGAAAATCTGGTACAGTACCTGCTCTTGTCATTCAGGCTGCGGGTTTATCTGACTAATCCTATTGTCCGTAGCATCACCTTGCAGGAACCGAAGCCCGTCATGAGTCTGCGGTGCGTTGGGCAACTGCGTGAAACCTACGAACACACCCTCATGATGCCAGTAGAACAGACGGATGATGAACGAAGTGATCGACTACTTCGGTTTAGAATACCTGAAAAATTACGTGCGTGTTCGTTGATTCGATAGTTCAGCGTGTTATACTGCTGAAACACAGATTGGCGAGATAACGTTCTTCGGAAGGCTCCCTTCGATAATGGAAACCCGGTCACTCAGCGGAGGTTCCGTAGTCAGAGCGGGAGGTCAGCACGTCTCACCGAGCATGTTCGTTGGAACTTACGTCGCAACATAGGAAACACTCTATCGGCGCACTCACCAGATCCGTCACCCGTTTGTAGCGCGAAGATATGGGATCTGCTGCGAATCTGTCTTCAACCCGTCACAGGGCCGAACCCACGCCGTGAGGTAGCGGTACCCCTTCTGCTCCAGAAATTCAAAAGCCTTGGCGATAGGTCCGTTCAAAGGAAACGAGAGACGCAATATGAAGTGCAGTCCATATCACAAACTCTTAGCATTGAGGTAAGTGTTACCATCAGCTAAAAGGAGTCGAGGCTGATTCTAACGACAAAAAGTTACTTGAACACGTCTGTACCTCCCTCCTCCGTGCGTCCGAAGGCAATCAGTAAGTCTTACATTTCCTCAGATTTTATCTGCACTCTACCGTTCTTTGTCTCCTAGTTCCGGACGAAGAGGTCAAGCAGGCGCTAGTGATTACGATATGGTGCGCACCACTTTTTGGCGCTCCGTAATCCTCCTCCTGACATTGCAAAAAGGCTGATGTCCATTCCACGGTACGGGAGATAAAGGCCCTCCAAGCGAAACTCCAAGTAACACGGCACGAAGATGAACGACGGGCACTGGAGGAGGATGTAACAGGAAAAGTAAGGATATCGATATCTTCAGGTTATAACGTCTTGGAGCTGATCGATCCTTCGTCACAGATCCTGTGGTTCTATTGGCGCGGAATCTGGGCAGAAGTGGACCAACTGTTAGCCAAGGTAAGCTAACACTCGTCTTCATAGATGTTGTTTGACGTGGTCCAGGTAGTGAATGAAATTCGGAATGAATTGAATGCCAGCTTGGTGCCTCGGCCACATGATGCTCATCCGGGTTTGCTCGAGATTACAAAGTTTATTAAGGGAGCTCGACGTATGGGAGTGGGCGACGATATAGCTCACCTGCGGCGGTGAGTCATTTGGCTTACGACATTGGTATGAATTACTGAACATCCACTGTTCCAGGATCATGCGCGATGCAGGCGCAGGCATATCGAAACATGGATTATGGCTTGCTGCCCAGGCTGATGAACAAGCCAGATTGTCAAGTGTACTTGTTTCGAGAAACAACCCAATTACCAGTACCCGAGAGACTGCCTCGAGTACAAGTTCACTGGATACTGAACCGGAAGGCTCTGCTTCGAGCGGAAGTCCACTGTTAACCGAAACGGAGCTTTGACTTGTCTGCCTGAGTGAGTTCGTCCTGTAGACGAGGATCAGGATTCGATGGTCCCTCAGGACTTCGGCCCAACTTATCATAATCCCCTACAGTGCGTCTCTCTTTAGCGCGCGAGGAGGGTACAACCAGCGCCTGGAGCAGCTTGATGGACTTGAAGCAGGCAGATCGAAAGCAACGCTGCAGTGGCCCGCTGTAAGCTACTGCCTCACCGTCCACACCTCTGTAGCGTATTAGGTTTATAATGTGGACAAAGAAACATCACGGTATAGTTTCCTCGATCTTCACCACTACCCGAACTAAGAACCAAGACTGGACTCACATGGTTATGACTTTCAAGAACGATTTCCTCAGCGAAGGTCACCTGCAGCTGACGCTGGTTGTAATATTCAGCGTGTTGATATCGAGTACAATAGCTCTCGTAATTCTGGGATGACTAGTCACAACGCTAGGGAGCGATATCAGGAAATGGACGTTCAGACGGCAAGGGTGCACTTGCGTAGTTTGATAGACGTTAGTGACATGAAACTGCTATCTTCACAAGCAGCCAACCATACAAACGGAACAAAACGTGCCAGTCAAAATAAGTATCCTACAAATGAATGTTTTATTGTATACCCATATACCCCTACCAGTTGACGACACCAGAAGAGGTTCCAAGCGGTGTATGAATGACAACCATTCTACACAATGCTGTTCCGTGCTTCAAGGTCGTAAAGATTGGTTCTGACTCGACTCCCTAGCTAGTTGAACATTGCCTTCGTTATACGGCAAATCTTTCTTGACTGAAAAATGATACTTAAACCAATAGACATCTCTCGGGAGTGGACATACACACATCGTTCGCAGTGCACCTTTGAGGAGATATTACTCTTCCATTCTGGGGGCAGGAGAAAACCGTGAGAGCGGCCCAAGGTAGCGGGACGCTCGGCAGGATCATGACGCGGAAGTCATAAGAAACTGGTTACCGTTAGCAAACTGCCACATCAGCATAAACAAAGAAACGTACACCGTTTTTGGCGTGCTTGCGAGTCTCCGTACGAACCCCCAATTTGACAAGTGAAACAAACCGGCATCACTGCGAGAGAAGAATTGAAGAATTAGGTCCACAACGGTCTAGAACGAGTGGGTCATGAAGTGCTTCACAGTAACACCAACAGAGAGGTGTAATTATACGCGAACCGGGGATCCAGCTTAACATTCTGATACGTCAGCTCATCGGGTCATAATAAGCCGGAAGGAACGGGAACAGAGCCACCGAAACCACAAGGGTGCCCAGACATGGATATCAGCATAATGCCAACTACAGTACGTCCACTTCCAGGATGCGGAATAACTGTGCGGTTTTCGCCAGGTGCCACACTTGCAACATCTCCGTTACCGGCTGGTCGCCCGGAGTGCTGGTAGTGGGTTTGAGGACCAAAGCGGTGTATCCAGAAGTCCATGTATATACGTACGTCGGAAGAGCATCTTACCCGTCCCGCATAGGGCCACCGCCGAGTCGATGTGTCTCCATCCGCATCAGCGGCGCGTACACGGCCAAGAGCGTCTGCCACTTCATTCGTGTGGTAGGAAGGGAGGTATGTGATATGGTATCTGTTCTTGCGAAGGAGTTGAGGACGATGATGGGATTCGTAGGTGGCGTAGACGTAGCACAGTTTCACTGTGAGTCTAATTCTTCTTCCGGTAAGGATTCGGGGCCGGAGCGAGGTGGAGACCTGTGACTAGTCCGCCTGTGCGGTCATGAAGTACAAAGGATCACGCCGATACTCTAACAATGGACCGGAATCTGCGGAACTTCTGTTGGGTGTACGACGGCGCTGAGTTGGCCGTGACGTCATTTGGAATAGATACTTCAACACAGATTGTTCGCTAGGTTCGATGTTTTGCGTCGGCGCACGTAGCGGGTGGAGTCGTAGGAGAAAGGGGTTAGTCAAATTCGTCAAGGTGACATTGAGGAGGCGGGAGATGTGGTTAGATGTCCATTGCAGGGCTTCTGAGGAAATCAATCAGGAGCGTAGACGGTTGCTGTTGACTTTAGGGCGGTTGGCGTGGCTGGTATGACGAGTTGTCTCCTCGGGAGCGACGTTGCCTTTTCGGTGAACGGAATCCGTCAACCGTCCAGGAAGGCACACAAGGAGTTGGGAATTGCCTTTTGGCTGCCGCGTGGGCTGCTGAACACGATGGAGCCTACATATAATACCGAGACCACGTGCCACTGCCATGTCATGCATGTTTCCAAGCCAGTTTCAACGCACCCGACGTGTGTTCGTCGCTAGAAACATAAAGCCCGTCATCTGAAGAACCATCCAGTATGTGCGACAGGCTATAATACTATGATTCCCTCAGTTTTTCTTTATTCATTCTTTGTCAAGATGCGCCTATTGGATGTAAAAGCCGTTCTCGACCGAGAAAACCATGTCCAAGGAGTCGACCCCGAAATCGAGGTCCTGAAAGACCACGACGACACGACTGCAATATATGCCATACTTTCACACCGCTGGGGGACTGAGGTCAATTATGATGAGATGACCGGACTCATGAAGATGGACGAGCAAGACAGGAGTAAGGTCAGACAACGCTACGGCTACCAGAAGATTATCAAGAGTTGCGAACTGGCGATGAGGGACGGTTATACGTGGTTGTGGATCGATACGTGTTGCATTGACAAGCGGAGCAGCGCAGAGCTCTCCGAGGCGATCAACTCAATGTATCGATGGTACCGCAACTCGCAAATGTGCTACGTTTACCTCAACGATGTTGACGAGCTGGCCTTTCCTACTGAAGCAAGATTTCAATAGGTTTAGCAGGTCCAACGGTTGGCCGGAGTGGTTCTCGCGAGGCTGGACACTCCAAGAACTTGTCGCTCCGAAGGAGGCTGAATTCTTCAACAAGAGCTGGGTGTCTATCGGCATCAAACAGGACCTGACATCCTTATTAGAGGACATCACGCGAATTCCGGAGAAGGTTTTAAGAGATGAACAGGTTTTGAGAAGTACCGACTCATCAGAGCGTCCGCGCAGTCGCTCACATTATGTCTTGGGCCGCTGACAGGAAGACGACGCGAGTAGAAGATCGGGCGTATTCGTTGCTGGGCTTGTTTGGCGTCAACATGCCGATGCTGTACGGAGAGGGCTCGAAAGCGTTTCAGCGCCTGCAGCTGGAAATTATCCGCATGTACTAGCGATCACAGTATATTTGCATGGAATCCAAAAGGGACAAGCTGGGAGAGCACGGAGGTGTCCTTGCAGGTAGGCCCAGGCTGCTTCCTGGGACCTGTCACGACTATCGAAAACAGTGGATCCCCACGAGTTCTACTATGAACTTGCGGCGTATACCAGACTCGATATAGACAGAGGATGGAGCAAGCATATGCTGTTGGATACCAGGGTGAACGAGAATTCCCTTCAACTTTCTATATTCAATGTTACCAATGTGGGCATCCAACTGTCATTGCCTGTCATACCCGATCGTCACAACTCCAATCAATGCTTCAAAGCCGTATTGCCCTGTCGCGACCGTTACGGGCGTCTGGTTACCATCAAACTAGCATCCCGAGGGCTTAGCTCTTACAGGTCTTTGGGCCCTATCACGTGGATCCCTAACGAAGTGCCGGAGTTTAGGTCACTTCATCTTGCTTACACTAATGACGCTGCGGAGAGCCACAGCAACTTCAGCATCGATGACAGGCGCGCCTCATGGTATGGTTTCACCCGTTGCGGCACCTTGCCGTGCGGGATCACTGGCAATACTGTCACATTCTCATCGCAGGGAAACACTCTCATTGTTTTGGTCTATGCCAACAGTGATACTGGATCCCGCTTTGCAGTTGGACTTGGATACTACCTTGGTCAAGTATGGTCTCGCATCGTCTGTGATGAATACCCTGCAAAGCAAGATGCATTGTTGTCGTGGTTAGACTTTGCCAAGCAAATACATGATGACCTATGGAATACGCCTATCCACGAGTCCCATTTTCACAACACTTCCGACACCGTTAGGGATACCCATCTTCCCGGAACCATTTGGGACGCAAGGGTTTTCTGTCGCAGCAATGATAGGAGCTACCTCAACGTGATGATTGGCATCGAGCAGTGCCCTGGTTGTTGCATCGGGCCACGTGAACACACGTGCATGCTTGTCGGTGTTCTCTCCCATATAGGCACTCAGATCCAAATCTAACCGTCCACATGACCGTAGGAGAGCTACGAACTATGGCTCCCGTGGATATCAAAAAGTTATGGTTCTCATCAGCTGCGATTGGATGGAGAACCCGCAAAATTTGATTTGTGTCGTGATAAAGAGATTGCAGGTGAGTCGTAACACATTTTTCGGGGCATGTGGAAAGCCTGACACAAACAGCTGGGCGATTATGGAGACTCTTCTAATGGCAATTTCGAACGGTGCGGTAACATGTTCGACGATATGCAGAGACTTGGTATCGATCCCACGCATTCGCCTTATCGCCCAGTCGTCTCTCGTGTATCCAGCTACAAAAGGGGGTTGCGTCGTGTGCAGACTCAGGACGACATTGTCGTAACATCTTCCTCGGGCGAAAGCATGGTACTGCATCAACCAAAGGGCCTGTCAGCTTCCGAACAATGAAGAAATCGAAGCTATTGTTGAAAGCCCTGTCTACCCGTCTTGCAGGCAAGCACCTCGTGACAACAATCGTGCAGTGCTCACGATTCTACGAAATCGATCATGAGGAGAAGCAGAGGAACTTGGGAGGTGGTAAGTTAGCGCAAAAAAATGGGTTATACGTTTGTGTTGACCTTGGATAGCAGAGTCAGTGTTAACGGGCCGTAATCGCTCCACAGACCCAGGCATCTTCACCCCCCTATGTGTCATTGCAAGACCACTGGCTTGGCATAGAGAACCGGCTTGTTCATCGAGAAGGGAACGATTCAAACATATTAGGTGACTCCTCTGTAGATCATGTTGCGTAATATCACTGATGCTACGTTCGGCACACAGGGAACACTTTTATGTCCTAGCAAATCTGGTACCTACCCTTATCAGCCAGGCTATGAGCGCTGGATTTATCTGAATAATTATTTGCAGCATCACACTGTAGGAGCCGGAGCTCTTGACGACTCTGCAGTAAGTTAGAAAACTGCGTAAAACTCACAGATACACCCTCATGAAGACAGCAGGATAAACAGAAGACAAGTGGAGTGGTCGACTTCTCGGCCATATTCGGTTTACAATACCTGGACAATTTCGTGCGTGCTCGTTCTTTAATACCTCGGCCTGTTTATACCGTCGAAATGTAGGTTGGCGAGATAACATTCTTCGAAAGGCTCCCTTCGATAATGGAAACTCAATTTCGCTGCGAGGCCTCCGTAGATGCAGCAGACAGTAGTGTGTTACAGCAAGTGTGCTCATCGGCAACCTTACATAATAGCATAGGAGATGGTATATCAGCGCGCCCATGCCCATCGAATCCATCATTCGTCAGTTGCGTGGTGACACGAAATCCGTCTGTGCTAACCCAAGCGTTGCAGAATCCACACTGTGCACCTCTTTTACTGAAGAAGTGTAAAGGTCTTGACCAGCCTTGGTCGATTGGTGAACGTCGAAACACACAAAATGATGTAAGGTCCATATCACAAACTCTCAGCGTTGGGGTGAGTGTTACTATTAGCGAAAAAGGAGTCGAGGCTGATTCTAGTCACAAAAAGCTACTCGATCGCATCTGTTCTTCCTTCCTCGGAGAGTCCAAGGACAAACAGTCAGTACTTATTTTTCTCGTATTTTTTCTGTGTTCGACCGTACTTCGTGTCCTGGTTTCAGACGGATAGGTCGAGTCGGTTGCACTGATTACGATACGGTTGGCACCGTTTTTAACGCTCGTTAGCTCAACTCCTGGACACTGCAGACAGGTTAATGTCCATTCCATGGTACAAGAGATAACATCTCTTCAAGCGAAACTCGAAGCAACACATGACGAAGATGAACAACGAGCGCTGGAGGAGGATATAACGGGAAAGGCAAGAATATCTTCGAGTCATAATCCCTTGAAGCTGATGATTCGTCGTTTACTACAGATTCTATTGCTCTATTGGTGTGGAATCAGCTCAGAAGTGGACCAATTATTACCAAAGGCAAGATAATCCTCGCCTTCATGAATTTTATTTCACTTAGTTCAGGTCGTGGAATACATTCGAATGGAACGCGATTCCGACGCGCGCCCCTCGGGTTTACGTGAGATAGCAGAGATTATCAAGGGAACCCCGTATATAAGCCCGGACGACGATATAGCTCACTTGCGAAGGTAAGCGACGACGTTAGGCTTATGGGTCGGTATGAATAGCCGAACTTCAATTGTTTCAGGGTTATGCTTGATGCGGGCGCAGACATATCGAAATATAAACTGTGGCTTGCTGCCCAGGCTGCAGAGCGAGCGAGGTGTCCAGGTGTACTTGTTTCAGGCGACAACCCATTTCCTGGCACCCAAGAAATTACTCCGGGTGCGAGCCCTGAAGTGCCCACTGGTACGGCGTCTAAGCATGCCAGCCTGCAGACGAGGATCGTGACATTGTTGATGGGGATCAAGCAGTCGGCTCGTAACCTCTCGCGCAGCGGCCAACGTCAAGTAAGTCCTAGATGAAACCAAGGACAAACGCACGTACCCCAGCTGTCACACCGATAACTGCATATGTACTTTATGTACAAACCGCCGCCCCCCACTGCAAACTGACCTTAGGACAAATTTTGTATTATTGCGAAATCAGAATTCATAACGCTAGTACTTCCTAACTTTTTTTCTTCGGACACGACTCGAATTACCAACCTTAATGGAAGGTGTAACACCAAAACGCCGCCACGTTCAAGAACCGGAGTCGCAGTACTAGTCTGGATATTAGATCTGTCTTATGTTTCCAGGGGACGTACAATCAGTTGACCGGGACTGACCGTGATAGTGTTGAGAGCGTGCCTGCGAAAGATGCGTCTTTATCTGTGTCTGTGCAACAAATAAACGAGTTTGATTTCGGATTGATTGCATGGTTTTGGATCAGATACTCGATTCCACAGTGTCCCAACACTTCATAATGTGTCTCTTTCCAGTAAAACTGTGTGAAGAGGGTTCGACCAGAGCTTGTCGCAGTCTCAGATGTTTAGAGCCGGCAGATCTAATACAGCGCTGGGATGATTGGTGTCTTCGGCTGTTGTAGGTGGCGCATGGTGGCTGAGGTCCATTGTAGCTGCTGCTTCATTATATAGACCACTGTAGCAGAGCAGTTCAGAACGCCAGTAAAAAGACGGCACAAACAGCTTACCCGATAATCCATCTCACAACGTCGAGACCCCAGTCTTCGCCACTACCCGAACTAAGGGCCAGGATGGGACTCAAATGGTCGTGACCTTCCAGAACGAATTCCTCGATAGTACCTCCCCTGCTCTTGAATTCCCGAGTAAATGTTTGCATCGAAACCGATATCGCACGTGGTTCGCTTCCCGCCATGACGTTCCAGAACGGAGGGAGTGAAAGGATGTGTGATTCATATGCCCGACGAAGCAGGCTCAGCGGATAATTGGCCGCAACCTTTCTGGCATTTCCGTAATACGTTTGCGCGACGGAGTAGAATTGAGGACGAGATGGCGAGATCTCACAAGGGACGCCCATCAGTATGACACCACGTACACAACCGAGTGCAGAAGAAGACAGGAATAGAGAGGGTAGGAGCAAATAAGAGGCCAAGTGCAAGCCACCCGCAGAGTGACCGAGAAGAAACACACGGTTTGAGTCACCCTCAGCAACATTTTTGATTGTCCATTCAATTGCGTCGCGCACATCTTCTGAGCCCTGAGGAAAGGTGATCCCAGGAACAAAACGGTAGTCGGGAATCACGACGAGAATGCCTCTGGACGCAAAGAAGGCACCAAGGTTGTTATGTACAAGGTTAGAAGGCGGGGAGGAGCGTGCTCCACGAACTAGTCCACCACCATAAAAAAAGATAAGGATCGGTGGAAGCCCGTCGCCAGATCCTGACAACGAGGGGTAGTAAACGTCAAGCTAAGCATCTGTCAACGCACTCTCCCAGCAACACAGAACATGAAGCACACCTTGTGAACATCTGACGACCCATACGTGAAAGTTACACGTCTGATAGACTCTATAGTTGAGCGGTTGGCCTCAAGTAAAGGGTAAGCTAGACACACATGGAGTCCTGTTGACGGAGATCAGAGGTGTCACGCACTAGGGTCAATTATCTCTCTTGTACGCGGCCGCACTGGGGTCCTGGGTGCGCCAGTACAAGCCATCACAGGCGGTGGATTATCATATGTTGACTTGCAGCAGAACTTTTGCAGTTCAGTCTAGAGCGCACTGATTTCGCCCAAATTTCGCCATCCACTTGGTACTCGGTGGTCGTTCGAGTCTTTTCATTCCCACGGTGAAACGTTCACTGACCCGTCGCATGCGTCTGACTCTCTGGCGAAGAATTCAAATATTTTTCGAACAATGAGTCCTATCGCCCACATCCGCTGTGATTTCCTACATCTGGAAAAGTAAGAGACAGACCGGCGTGGTCATCCTGAATACAGTTGGAATGCCTCCCACTGAGTGCCCCCGTCCAGTACTGCTGTGCACGGTACTTAAGTTCTGCTGCTGCGGCTGCCGCATAAAGCAAGAGCTGATCCTCATGCATCATGTTCGACACGTGTGCCTTTCCCTAAACCCTGCGAGGTGTGTTATCTCAAGCCTTTTCAAGCCCCCCGTTCGTTCTTCTCCAGACGCATCAAGCTCACCGGCTGAGGAACGATCGTGTAGTCTCGGACACCTAGGCAGTACGTGTGACGACCTATGCCTGTTGGACCAGCCTCGAGCTCTCCCTTTGAATCTTTGAAAGATGCGGTTATTAGATGTAAGAGCCGTTCTTGACCGGGAGAAGGATATCCGTAGAGTGGACCCCGAAATCGAGGTCTTGAAGGAACTCGACGATAACAGGGCAAGCTATGCCATTCTTTCGCATCGCTGGGGAACTGAAGTCACTTACGATGAGATGACTGGTCTCGCGGTAATGGGGACACGACAGAGGGACAAAATTAGGCAGCGCGACGGTTACCAGAAGATCATCAAGAGTTGCGAACAGGCCAACAACGACGGTTACTCATGGTTGTGGATCGATACGTGTTGCATTGACAAGCGAAGCAGTGCAGAACTCTCAGAAGCAATCAATTCAATGTATCGATGGTACCGCAATTCACAGATGTGCTACGTGTACCTCAACGATGTCGACGACTCAGCCTTTCCTACTGAACCGGATTTTGGCAAGTTTTGCAGGTCCAGTGGCTGACCAGAGTGGTTCTCGCGAGGCTGGACACTCCAGGAGCTCATTGCTCCGAGGGAACTCGAATTTTTCAACAAAAGCTGGGTACCCATAGGGAACAAACAGGATCTGACATCCACCTTAGAAGGCATTGCGCGAATTCCGGAGAAGGTATTGAGGAGCGAACAGGTTTTGAGGTCTTGGGAACGTCCAAGCGTCGCTCAGATTATGTCTTGGGCCGCTGACCGGAGAACGACACGAATGGAAGATCGAGCGTATTCACTGATGGGACTATTTGGCGTGAATATGCCAATGCTGTACGGAGAGGGTTTGAAAGCATTTCAGCGGTTACAACTAGAAATCATCCGGACGGCGTCGAGCGATTGCAGCATATTTGCATGGAACCTCAAGGGACAGTTTGAGTTGCATAAAAGTGTTCTTGCAGATGACCCGAGCTGCTTCCGGGGCTGTCGCGACATCGAAAAAGTGGATCCCCGTTGGTTCGTTAATGAACTAGAGGAATATTTGCGCCAGAACAGACTTAACGTGGATGCCAATCGGGTCGAACTCGAATCATTGCTTCGTGATGTGTGTTCCCCTCTACTTTCCAAATTCGATGTCAGCAATCTAGGCATCCAAGTATCGTTGCCAGTCGTACCCATTGACCACGGTGACTCTGACTCTTACCTCACGGCCGTATTGCCATGTCGCGACCGCTATGGAGACTTGTGGCGAGCCTCAGAAAAACAGCTGGGCGATTATTGTGGCGAACATTTCGTTTTCGAACGTCGCGGGAACATATTCGAAGATATGCGGGAACTCGGTATCGACCCCACGGATTCACTTTACTGCCCAGTCGTCTCTTGTGTATCCAGTTGCAAACGTCGGCCGCGTCGCATGCAGATTCAGGATGACGCTGCCGTGTCACGCAACGCCATGGGCAAAAATCTGGCCCTGTATCAACCCAAGAGTCTCTCGCTTCCGAACAACGAAGCATTCGAGCTGCTGCTGAGAGCCTTGTCGGCACGTCTTGCAGGCAACCGTCTCGTGACAACAGTTATACAATGCTCAGATTTCTACGAAGTGGATGATGAGGGAAGACGGTGGGGCTTGAAAGGTGGTGAGTTTGCCCAAAGGATGGTGCTTGCTTTTGTTTTGACCTTGAGTATATCACACTCAGCATCGCAGGGCGATAGTCGGTCCGCAGAACCAGATACCTTCACCCCCCTACGCATCATTTCAAGACCACTAGCGTGGCATAGGGAACCGGCTTGTGCCCGGAGAAGGCAGCAATTCAAAAACATCAGGTGATCCATTTGCGGTGTTGTGTAATGTCACTGATAATATGTTCGAAATGTAGTGAACATTTTTACACCTTAGCGAATCTGGTACTTGCTCCTATCAGCCAGGCTGCGAACGCTGAATTTTGTCTAACCCATCTTATTATTTGCAGCATCGCCTTTCGGGAGCCGAAGCTCGTGACCAGTCTGCAGTGCGTGAGACAACTGCATGAGATCCACAAGCCCACCTTTATGATGACAGCAGCATAGACAGATGATAAATGAAATAATATACCATTACCCGGCCGTGTTCGGTTTAGAGTACCTGAAAAATTTCGTGCGTATTCGTTGTTTCGATACTTCAGCTTGTTCATATTGTCGAATTGTAGGTTGGCGAGATAATGTCTTCGAAAGGCTCCCTTCGATGATGGAAACTCAGTTACGCAGCGAGGCTTCCGCTGGCCCGGCGGGAGGTTGCGTGTCACGCCAAGCGTGTTCGTCGGAAAACTTATGTGACAGCATAGAAAATCGTTTATCAGAGCAGCCGTCAAAACGATCATTCCGAAGTTGGGTGGTGACGCGGGATCTTTTCAAATGCAGGCTCCGATCTAAGGCGCGGCAGAATTCCGCTGTAGAGCGGAACCCACGCCATGAAGTGGCGATACCCCTTTTGGTCGAGAAGTGGAAAGCTCTTGGCAAAGGGAATAATCTGATTCACGACGCAAAGCGAGAACTTTGGCGCAAAGTAACGTCTATTTCACAATTCTGGGCGTTGGGGTAAGTGATTCTATCAGCCACGTGAGGCTGAGGCTGATTCAAGTCACAAAAGCTTTTTGAACATATCTGTGCTACCCTCCGTGCATCCGAGGACAGGCAGTGAGTAGTCATCTCTCTACATATTTTTTCTGCATTCTAGCATCCCTTGTGTTCTGGTTCCAGAGGCATAAGCCAAGTAGGCCACACTGCTTACGACGTTAGTACCATTTTTTGAGGTTTAGTAGCGCACGTCCTCACGCTGGAGATAGGCTAATGTCCGTTCCACGGTACAAGAGATAGATGCGCTCCAAGTGAAACTACAAGCAGCAGATGACGAAGATGAACAGCGAGCGCTGGAGGAGAACGTAACAGGGAAGGCAAGGATATCTTTAGGTTATAATCTCTTGAAGTTGATTATTCGTTCGTTGTAGATTCTGTGGTTCTATTGGTTTGGAATCCGTTCAGAGGTGGACCAACTATTGGCAAAGGTAAGCCAACGCTCTTGTCCGTACGTGTCATTTGACATCGTTCAGGCCGTGAACTATACTCGGACGAATTCGAATAGCCTTTTATCGGTATTCTATCGACAGGGTGTGGATGAGATTGCAGATATTGTTAGGCGAGTCCCACGTGTGAACCTCGTTGACGATATGGCTCACTTGCAGCGGTAAGTAAGCCACTTCATCGGTTTATGGCATTAATATGAGGGCTGAACACCCGCTGTTCTAGGATCATGCTTGATGCAGGCACAGGCATATTGAGACATGAATTATGGCTTGCTGCCCGGGCTGCAGAGAAAGCTAGGTGGTCAAGAGTTTTGGGAGGTGACCCCATTATGGGCCCCCAAGAGACTGCATCGAGTACAAATTCCAAGGCGCCCTCCACATCAGTTGTTCAGCAAACATTGGACGGTGGCAATGGAAGACTTTGACTTTTCCTGGGTAGGTTCAACTTGTACACGGGGATCATGATTATCGCAGTTGGGGATCAGTCAAGAGTGACCTCTCATGCTGGGCTGGGCGAGTCCTATGTAGATGAGACTGAGGACAAACCCATGCGACGCATGCGTATTAGGTTGCTACAGGATTAACTGCATATCTGTAGTCCATCTATAAATTGCTCACACTGTGAACTGACCTTTGATGGATTCCATTCTTAGCGGAAGTTGTGATGCCAAAATGCCGATACCACAGTGTTGCGGCGCGAGGTAGCGGAAATGGTGAGGATGGAGAAGATGAAGTCCAGCCTAAGTTCAACCCCTTTGGAACTGCCGACGATTTTTTGGAAGAAGTTCATAGCCGCTGTGATCGCACTTATGCACGATCAGGCAGACGATTGACATTTGCAACGAGCATGCTTTGTTCTGACTGGTTAATTACAAACCCCCAGTGGCACCTTTGTCTGTGCGAAGCGGAAGATAGAATGCGATACTGAACAGCAAAATAGTTGAGCGAGGATAAATTCACGGGATAATTGATAATACACAGGGATTAGTGCAATTCTTGGGCGTGCAAGGTCCTAACGTTTCATAACGTGTTATCTTCCACTGAAACCATGCGAAGGGGGTACAACACTGGTACAACTGGTGCTTGTGGTCCATTGTAGCTAATGTTTCATTGTCCACGCCTCTGTAGTGTATCAGTTTATAAAACCCACAAAAACGACGGTGCAGACAAGTTACCCGATGATCCATCTCACAATATTGTGACCCCAATCTTCACCACTACCCGAGCTAAGGGCCAAGATGGGACTCAAATGCTTATGACCTTCAAGAACGAATTCCGCGATAGTACTTCCCCTGCTCTTGAATTCCCGAGCAGATGTTTGGATCGAAACCGATATCGTACGTGTTTCGCTTCCCGCCATGACATTCCGGGTCGGAGGGAGCGAAAGGATGTGTGAGTCATCTGCCCGACGAAGCAAGCTCAGCGGATGATTTACCGCAACCTTTCATAACACGTTTGCGTGACAGCGTAGAACTGAGGGCGAGACCACAAAATCTCGCATGGAACGCCAATCAGTATGACACTACGTACACAGCCGAATGCAGAAGAAGATAGGAATAGAGAGGGCAGGAGCAAATAAGAGGCCAAGTGCAAACCACCCGCAGAGTGACCGAGAAGAAACACACGGTTTGAGTCACCCTCAGCAACACTTCCGATCGTCTATTCAACTGTGTCGCGCACATCTTCTGAGCCCCGAGGAAAGGTGATCTCAGGAGCGGGACGATAGTCTGGAATCACGACCAGAATGGATGCAAAGAAAGCGCAAGGGTCGTTGTGTACGAGGTTAGCAGGCGAGGACGAGCGTGCTCCATGAACTAGTCCGCCACCATAGAGAAAGATAAGGATCGGTGGAAGCCCGTTGTCGGATCCTGGTAGCGGGGAGTAGTAAACGTCCAGCTAATATCTGTCAACAGACTCTCCCAAACAACGTGGGAACATCAAACACACCTGTGAACGTCTGAGGACCCGTACGTGAAAGTTTCACGTCTGATGGATTCAATAGCTGAGCGGTTGGCCTCAAGCAAAGGGTAAGCTGAACACAGGGACCAAGGATCGCTGTTGTTGTGGATTGAAGTTATCACGCACTAGGGTCAATTATCTCCCTTGTACGTGGTCTGCTTGGGGTCTTGGATGAGCCAGCACAAGCCATTAGGCAGTGGATTATTGATCGTTGGCTTGCAGCGATATTTTTGGAATGATTTCGCCCAAATTTTGCCATCCATCTGGTCGTTCGATTCTTCATTCCCGAGGATGAAACGTCCACCAACCGTCGCATGCGTTTGGCTTTTTAGCGGAGAATCCAACTATGTTTCGAGAAATCGGTTCTATGGCCCACGTCCGCTGTGGTTTCTTACATCTGGCAAAGTAAGCTGTTCCTGCTAATATGTACAGACAGGTAACGCGGATGTATTTATTGCGAAGGAACCTTGGATCCTTATATTTGCATCAAGCAAACCCGTATTGCCTACGGGGATTTGGAATGGGGCAAGGCTCTGCGATACCAGATGCCGTCTTTATATTCATGGAAAGGGCTGCTGGAGAGTCTCTAGATATCCAGACCTGGCTTTCCCTCGACGGTCTCGCGCGGGACTCGGGATCATTGTCCAACTCCATAATTATATCTTGCAAATCAGGGCGCTAAAACTCCCTGTTGGCACCTTGATCGGTTCTGTCACTAGTCAGCCTGTCTCCGACGACAGATTTGCATAGGGTTGGCCTGCCGATAAGCAGGCTGGAGTCAGCGGGTCATACGCGGACGAAGCGGACATGAACTTGGCCCTTCGTCGACAGCACGACCTATCCGAGTTTCCACCAAACGTTGTGGGGTCACTCTCGCGATCATACCCCCTAGTATTTAAACACGGTGACATTGATTGATTGGGAGCCCTCGGGGTGGTTTCCCGCTCACTGGAAATGTTTGAAAGCACACTGGGTACCAGCTGTGCATAACCAGGAACATGAGTGGGAAGACCGAATAAAGGAGATTGTAACCCCATACGAAATGGAGCGCGAGGCAGACAAGGATGTGGTACTGCATGTCACGGACGGGCTCAGATGGCACTAAGTAAATCCCCTCACGCAGAACCGAATTTGACGGAACGGTCCTTTCACGGGTGGATCGCGACTCGTGATATTAAATTAAGATCTCTCTTCTAATCATTTCTGCTTTGGTTCTGTCTACTAATTTCAGGTTCATGCAGTTCACTTGCAGTACCTGGGGGATGTATCGAGGACTACCTCCTGAAAGCCACAGCACTGATTATGAAACGAGCATCCGAGTAGCTACCTTATTGACTACACCACATTACATGCGTACAGTAAATCATAAATATCCACCCCGGCTGGGTGGTGAATGACAACTTACGAGTGCGAAGTAACCAGAAGATTTAAATCTGCTTCAGTCCTTTGGCATGCACCTCCTAGCTTCGCTTCGTCAAAGTACACGGAGGAATGGCCGTATCATGGATTATGATACGCTGGGGGTGGTGTCGACGGCACTGCATCATCCTTGGGCAGTGGTCCATCGGAATGACCTTGGCACATTGGATCGTTGGAAATACAGTTAGTAGATCCGGGACTGCCGACCATAGCAGGCACACGATTTCTCGTTGGCCGCATGTATGATGAATTCCGAGGTCCACCAGATTCACTTCCCATGGCGTTTGCGTTGCTCACCGCAACAAAGTAAGTCGCCGACCTGCGTCTCCTCCGAATTATACAACTGCACCACAGCCAGTTAGAGTTGCGCACGGAGCTGTGGTCCAAAGACATACCAAAGCACTGCAAAAAGCACGAATACTAGGGCTAATCCACCAACGATCCAAGGCCAGGCCCCAACAACAGCTGGCTGTTGACATGTTATCATCAGCTCCAAATCCCCTGGTTTCATGTTTGACTTTACCGGCCATGTTCATTGCTAAGGCCCTAGAGGCACGAAGTCGTCGCTGGACGGGAGCCATGGGGTAGTCTGACCTTGGAATTGGGCGCAAGGAAGTTGAGCATGTTCTTAAGTAGGTTCTCCTTACGGTCGGTGCCGGTGGACCAATGACCACAGGAGGGCCGGGTTTTCCCGGGTAAATGTATATGTTCTTTGAGTATCTGTAGTTGGGCGAGTTCATGTAGTTGTCATGCGGCTTACCTAGGTCCAGATGACCGGTGTATGTACAGCCGTAGATGCCAGTACTGCTGCCATTTGGTGTGGCAATCTGGCTCCCTTGCGGTTGGTATGCCGGCGTGCCATGCTGCAAACCGGTGTAGGGGAACCAAGGTGGAGGTGCGTAAGCAGGTCCCTTCTGCTCTTTTTCACAGCAAACTGCCCTACCAGATATGCTGCAGATTGGATATGTAGGCACCATGTAACCGTATCCAATCTGCAACGTAGCATCTGGGCTGGTGGCCATCGAATCCAGCCTTCCATTGGCCTCCAATTGTTTTCGTTCTTGCCACGGGAAAAAAGATATGTGAGTATCATTAATGCGTCACCCAAAACTTAGGTACGGTGCACCTCTTAGCAACACTTACGATCTATAGAAGTAGCATTGCCATTGCCTGGACACTTCGGAAACGGCAACAGTGGGCTTTGGTTTCCTTACATATCACGCTCCTGTGGTTCAGCTAAAAACACAGTAGGCACTGCCCCATTACTGTCCGTGTTCATTAATGAGGGTACTTGTTGACTATCCAGTCTGCTTCAATTAGCATCCGCCGCTCGCCGAATGTTCTTTACCGAAGGGTTCAGTGAGAGTTCTGTCGGAACAACGCAGAGTCTTAGACAGTCAGAGGCGTTCATATGGAGCGGGCTTTCAGGTACTGACGAGTCTATCAACTTGGGTGGCTGTGAGCTATGTCACCAAGTCAGTCGACTGCGGACACTGTGCAGCGGCTCCTGTTGTCCCTGGCACCGCAGCGCACCTCCACTTGAGGTAAATAGAGACGGCCTGTCCATCGTCAGTTTTGTGTTCTGCACAAAATTTAATACACGAGCTGGCATACAACATCCAAAGTAAGACATGTAGATGATACGACTGTCGACAGTAATTGACAGATGTGGTTACGTGGTACAAACTGAAGAAACAAAAAACAAGAAACCTGATAGTATGTAACAGAACAACTTAGCCAGATGTCTCAACTGCGTGGGTCAAGATACGCCGGTGGAGGTGACTTCAGTACGTCACGGTCTAATGCATTGTGTGAACATGTTGTTGTACACGTGCATCAACGAAGTAGAAAACAAGCAAGCATACCTCTGTTCTGAGAGTTATCTGCACCACCCTCTGGAACGGTATGCAGTGGTGGCATATTATACGGTAGTTCCTGGGACCCCTGGTACAAGGGTTGTAGATATCTTGGTGGACCTCCAGACTTGTCGTAAGCTGGAAGTTCGTCCTTTCTATTTGGGCCAGAGGCTCCTAGGGAACTGAGTCGGCGTCCACCGGCATCTGTATCAGCGGCTCGGACCTGGCGGTTCGGACGGTGTGCGTCATCGATCGGGGGGACCATGGGAACTCTGTATGGTTGGTAGGAGGAGCCACGAGTTCGTTCCCATGATTGGGAACCGGAATTCCGGAGAGGAGGGATGAGACTAGGAGAAGAACGATTAATTCTGCGGAGGATATAGAATCTAGTTTCGAAGGGTTAATGAGAGGTGGCCGGGGTGATGGTGGTCGTTTGCTTACCTCCATAGTATAAGCAGAAAAATCACAACGACGATAGCGATAGCGGCAACAGTAACCATGTAATAGATGAGGTACTAGGGATGCTGTGAGGCATTGTGTAGTCGGTAGAAGCTGGAACCCCTGACCTTGCCACCCTGACTGAGTGCCCTGACACTGATATTCTGTGCGATGGGGGTCATTGGAGTGGATTTAATCTGGGACGTTAACCTTACCCACTCAGACGCTGGTGGCTGGCTCCGTTAATAATGCACAACTATAGTGTGAAAATCAATGATGGCTTGTAGGCAGTGGGATTGGTTGCGTCTGCCGCGCGGCCCGCTTGGAGTATCCAAACAAACACCAACAAACGGCTGTCTGTTCTTGGAAGGTGTGCTGGGAGAGGTTATGGACGATGAGTTGGACGAATTCCTCGTCGCCGTCGCCATCGCTGACAACGACTACGACAGCAACTTCTGGCAGGGGTGTTCCAGTCACGCCAGCGATGGCCGGCTCACGGTTCTTCCCAAAGTCTTCTGCCACAAGTAATATCTTATCACCCACCTTTCCGAGTCAGATCAACTCAGGGGATCCTGTCCGTGCGTCGGTCGCACATCTCCTCGTTCGGGCGTACACCCTTCCATGCTCGACCGCGGCCCAGGCATTCTCGCAACTTGTCCAGCCAACTGCTCGGTTTCAGCTGGCCCTCGATGCATTACTTCCCCTTCTCAATTCTTCCGTCGAGGTAAAGCCATGTTCTCGCTTGTGGTTCGCTTCTTGATATATCTACCTCCCCGCTTCGTTCGCAGCTCGCTCAACGGATTTTGGTCTCGTTTATTTTGTATTCTATGTACGCTCCTTACCCGATTTCACTCAACCCTTTCAAGTCCGCTCTGTATGCCACGTTCGTCAAGGAGAGAGGTCACGCTACCCAAGTTGCCACCGAGGGTGGTTTTAGTGAGAATGAACAATTGGTTTGGGTCCTTTGGAAAATCTTGAAAGGCGATGGAAATGATGTATTGATATTCTTGCTACGTTACCATTCTGGAAGGCGCTGACCAACCATCAGATCGGACCTTATTCTCCTAGCACGTTGACCAGGTCTCCGCTGCTTCCTGAACTTAGAGCGTCCAATCTCTTTTTGGAAGAGGAAAGCTCTTTGGACTCAAATCTAACTGAAGCGTATGTAGTACTAGTCATATCCGGGTAGCGACATTTGATTTTCTCCAGGGGTATTTCCGATCTTCCCCAACAGGGTACCACCCAAGAAGCCCGGATTCTTGATCTTAAGGGCTCTTCTGCGGGCCAATCATTGACCGTAAACGCCGAGTTACATGTCTCTCCTGAGGAAGACGAACAGAATGAACGCATTGCCCACGGAATGAAGCTACTTTTAGCTGCTCGTGATCGGACACTTACCCTCACGGAACAAAGGGTAACCTTTTTCACGCCATCAATACACGTGCAAATTATAATTCATAATCCGTACCTGCAGATCCTGACCCCCTTGATACCCAGTTTGACGTCACCCCCTGTGATCACATCCATGGACCTGCCTCCTATTGTCGCTCATAATCCTAACATAGCCTATCAACTTGTTTTGGCATTGCTGACATCCAACCCGCTTAATGCCCAGCCTCATGGCCCTTCTGCATACATAGACGCTTTAAAGCAACTTCCTCCCACTTTGCCTTCCTTTGACCTGCTGGTCCGACTTCTGCAGGATACGACGATCTTGATTGACTCCTCTACTGGTGGGAAGACGACCGTCGCTGACGTAATCTATACGGAAGTACTCGGTCGTTTCATCCACGAGAGTATAAAATGGCTCGAAAATGCCGAACGCGAAGAGCGCGAAGGACTCATCAGCGATGATCGGTTCGCGAAGGGTGTTCAAAATGTGAGACCATACGACACCAACCTGACCTTGGCTCGGAAACATTCTGATTTCGATGTTTAGTTCTGCCGCTTTTACGCATCTCTCATCCGGCTGTCTGTCGTGGACACGACGTCGGACGCGGACACCACCGAAATGATCCATTTTACACTGCGTAACGCTAGGTTCGAGGAAGCCAACACTCTCTACCGCATCTTGGCCGCTGGAAGGTTCTGAACGAACCTTTTCCACTTGTTTCTTTATACAACCCCATTTTTTTTCGCCCTCAGCATTCAACATCATATGCATCCATTCATCCATAGAAACTTCTCTGACCACGACCGGCACGATGTCTCATCCTTTCTGCACGTCAATTAGGGGTCTATATCTGAAAGTCCATGTTGATTCCATCCATGCCTTTCACATTATCGTGTATGTAGTTACTTATATGTATGCAAGAAACTTATGGTCTCTTTTGGTGTATGTCGTTATGGCCCACTTTTATCGTAACACGTCTTTCCGTCTGTACAAATGTGTTTATGTAGGTACTTGTTTGAGTTTCTATCATACGAATCTCTCATGATCAATTGAATTCAGGGCTTGTTCTCATTCAAAATTCTATGTTCTAGCTCGCCACTTATATATGGCGGCCTTTATGTAAATCTCAAGGTTATTACAACAATTTCATTGCTAGGCAACTAAGGAGAAATATCAACATGAATGATTGAAAAAACCAAAAAGAAAAGAAAAGAAAAGAAGTGCGGAGGTGGGTTGCGAAAAACGGGAACCAGTATCGTAGTCACATCCAACATCCATAGACTGTCCTGACAAACAGGGAAGACGGACGGGCGTGGTAGTTATGTATCGGCTAGAGGAAACCAGTTCGTTGTAGTGCTGCCCAGCGTGCGGAAGATAAGGGTGTATTACAAGGAGAAAGAAAAAAAGATACCACATGGGTCAGGTCAGGGGAGAAAATAGATTACATTGCAAGAGAATCGAATCAATCGAATCGAGAGAGGGGTAACCTATCACGATGCTGCTTGCGGCTTTGTCTTAAATCGTAACAGAGACGCTAGACCGGACGGTGCGCAGGCCTTCTTCATAAACTCGTGCTACAGCAGATAACGTATCAGAACCAGGGACTTCTACCGATGATCACAAGTAAACGACTGACATTTAACAACTCGCTCGAATTGGCCCGGCTCCGTACGTCGACGCAAAGACACACGCTAAGGAAGCTCTTCAGTTCTTTGCTTAATGCTTCCGGCTTTTTGAGCGTCGGCGTCCCGTTTGTAGCGATCAAGTAGAGCGCCTTCAACGGCTCTTCGTCCAGATATGGCGGTTCGTTTTCAATCATCTCGATGGCCATAATACCAAGCGACCAAATGTCAACTTTAGCACCGTACTCTTTCTGTTTGACAACTTCGGGTGCCATCCAGTAAGGGGTGCCCACCATGGTAGCACGTTTAGACTTTTGGTCGGTGAGCTTGGCGCAAAAACCGAAGTCGGCTGAAGATCGATATTACATCAGCCACCGTTATGAAAAAGACTTGAAATGCATACTGATCTTGACCCGACCCTGGGCATCCAGCAATACGTTATCGGATTTAATATCGCGGTGAATGATGGATTGACTGTGTAGATGACACAGGCCCTGGCAAGTCTGTACGAGGGGGTTAGGGTGGATATTGCATTGTACCAGAACCAGCTTTACCTCCAAGCATATACTCGAGATCTGATCTTCTTCTAGCGTGTTGTTTTCTATGACATCAGTGAGGGCACCTCCTTCCATGAACTCCATAACAACCCAAAGTTCCGTATTCTTGACAAGGTAAGCATCGAGGAAGTTGACAATATTGGGGTGTTGCGACTCCTTCATGACGAGAATCTCGTTTACGATAAGTTCCTTCCGTGGCTGGTGAGAGAGATCCATTTCCTTGATAGCGACTTTCTTTCCGTTTGCCAGTGTTTTGGCAACGTAGACATGACCAGATGCCCTGTTGAAGAACGGTGAACAATCGCTGGACCAGAGATGTAGTCACGACTTACCCTTGTCCGACTTTCTTGATCTTACTGTACAGTGTCTTCGGGTCGTCCTCCGAAACGACGGACCGGAGTTTCTCCATAATCTGGGCTTCTGTCATCGTGCTTATGCGCTTCTCTTTCTCCTTGGGCTTCTCATTCAGCTTCCGCGCAGCCTCCGCGACGGCGGGGTCCTCGCCTTCCGTAGCAGTGACAGTGACCTCAGGTGTGGGAACATCCTTCTTCTTAATGGGTTGCAGTGGTTTCACGGGTGGCGGGCCAACAGTTGCACCTGCAGGCCCGGCGGCGGGGTGTGTGGCGGGCTGAGAACCAGCCGGTGAAGTTTTGGCAGGTGGTAAAGCAGGTCTTTGCTGTTGTCCATCGCCTTGTTCCTTTAGCTGTCTCTCGCGTTCTCGCTCCTTCTCCTTCTCCCGCTCCCGTTCTTTCTCTCTTTCCCTCTCCCGTTCCTCGCGCCTTCGTTGCTCTCTCTGCTCGCGCTCTTTTTGGGCGAGAGCGTCGACAGTTGGCGCTTTGTCCAAAGAAGGCTTTGGTGCACCCTGCTCAGGGACATTGCGAGCCTGGGCCCGTGCACGTAAGTCCACTGAGGAGGGCGTGTGAGCGGGCACCACTGGCTTCGGTGCGGCTGGTGCGGGGCGCGTAGCTGTCAGAAGTGGGCGAGGGGGTGCGGGGCGCGTAGCTTGTAAGGGGTTTGATCCCTGGAGTATCGCTGGGATTGGCGGACGTGCACTGCCTCCCTGACTTGATGACAACGAGCTCGTGTGTTGGGTATGGGAGCTGTTCACGAGCTCCGCGGCCCTAGCGGCAGCAAGTGCGGTGGAAGCGAAGCCATTCTGGGAGGGGGCCGGAGGGGCACTCATTTCCGCCGGCGCGGAGTCCTGGCGTTTCATTGCGGGAGGCCGAGTGTCCAGTTTCGCAAGGGTAGTCCCGCCAAGGCCGGTGCCGGCGTTAAACCGTGGGGGTGCGGAGGGGCCATCCGCGGTGTACGGTGAGAGTGTGCCGACTGAATTACCCGATAGGGAACGCGTGACGGGAGGCATGCCCATGCCCATTTCTTCCAGCTCACGCTTCTGGTGGTCAGTATAGAACTCAAGTACATCGAGGACAGCCTGGGGATCCTTTGCATAGTCCTCCCGAGTGATAGCGGATTTCGTGAGCAGTTTGCTCCATTGCTCAGGCATACCCTGTTCCGGAGAGTTCCGTCAACTGAATCTTCGGACAACAAAACTGTCGTAACGCACGGTAAAGGCCCCGGTGATTGGATCAAAGCCAACGTGTACTTTGTGTACGAAGTTGGTTGGGTTGCTCACGCCCATCAACGGAGAGCGAGAATAGATATCGTCTTGCCAACCGTAAAGCTCTTCGTCGTTCTTAAGAGACAGATGATATCGTTTATCTTTTGTTTCGAGCAGTAGACAGTACGGCTTCAAGTCGACTCGTTCGATGTTCGTGATATCCTTGAGTGGGATTACGCTCTGCTGAGGTGCAGACTAGGACGATAGCCGATCAGTTGGTACTCGCCCGAGGGCGCAGCTGAACACAGAGATATCCTGTAGACATCGCTCACCTCGTTTTTATGTATCGATAACGTCTCTTCCCTGAGCAGGAGCCATTTTCTCAGAAACATGAAGCTGGCGAAGCCCTCCTCCTTCAAGCTGACCATCCCGTACCGAATCACATTGGAACAGAGAGTGCTGTCTGGATGCCGAAGAGGGGAGCCCCCGATACCAGTATAGTCTGGAGAATAAGAGGAGCCGGATGAGAAGGTGGCACTGTAACCAGTGTTCTGTAAGGTATGATTATAAGAAGGCGTGGTATCGGTTGTTCGTCGTACAGGTGCCTGGGGAGCGGGTCTGGAAGGAGTTAGATTGGTTGCAGTGATTTGACTGAAGGCCATTATCGATAGTTGAAATAAGAGCAAGAATTGAGGGAACTGTCGTCGTCGGGTATGAGCTAGTGGCGAGGAAAAGGCAAAGCTGCTGGCAACGAGGCAGATGTGGAGCCCTGGTGGTGATTAGCCGTCGTAATACGATCGTCGACGTCGTCCGCAGGAGCGGCAACGCGGTATGAGTTGGGTGTGGTTGTGAGATGGCTGATAATAATAATGCTATGAGGCGTCGTCGTCGTCCCCCCAGTTTCACGCTCAGGACCTTCTTCCGCTTTCGGATCTACCCGCCACTACGGCGATGCTATTCCACGAAAACATTACACTACGTACGGCTGAATACCCTACGTCTTGCTACCACAACCGCAAGTAAATTCCAGCTCCATAGATAAGAGGGATCATCTGTTCTTCGTCATGCTGTACCCGACGTCAATTTTTGTCAAGGTGAAGTATGGCAGGGAATCACATACCGATAGACGAACCGCTTCTTCGTATGAGCAAACTCACCCAGTTTATGACCCACCATGTCCTGGGTGACAGTGACAGGAATGTAGTCTTTACCATTATGGACCATGAAACGAATTCTGTACCCGGCCAACATTCAGCATGACCCTCTCAAAATGACGTCTGCCCTCACCCGACGAAATTAGGAAGGATGGTGCACGAACGTTCCTGCGTTCTTATCGGAACGTGGTCCTCCAAGGCCTGCTTCAAGTTTGGAAAAGCGACGAAGTACGGACCTGGGGGAAGTAGAAAAACTTGAATAAAGGACGGAATGTCACTCCCATGCACTCACCCTTCCAAGCGGACCTTCCAGACCTCACAATCAAGGATGGTTGCATATGTGCTAATATGACAGCGTATTAGGAATGAGACCTCGGGCACATTTTGTCTAGTGCTTAAGTAATATATGATATACCAAAACGGGCGCTCCTGGACGCTACAAGTACAAACACGAGTAGAGAAGTAAAACAGACGGTGCGGTCACGGCTGAGTCAGGACCCCATCACAGCGTGACGGATCCGAAACGAGTACGGTGGGAAAGAGCGGGCAGAAGTAGTTTCACGAGAGATAACCCCAGTGCGTCATGTCACAGGAGGCCATGTATGGCTAGAGAAAGACGTAGTCTAACAGGAGTGCTTGCATATATTGCAACTACGAGAAGTAGGCAGTGCCATTGAGTACAACTTACATATGCGCAGCAGACAACGCACAAGTCTTTACACCTGGCAGCCTTAGGTTCCCAGCTACGATAGTGGACGTGGCGGAACAGAACGAGATAGAACTTCTGGGATGATATATGTCTTCTGAATTTAACACGGACAATCCCTATTAATAAGCTATCGAGATCATACGTGTGAAGATGACACCACGAAGGATCGTATAAGATGGAGGAGAAGAGATTACAGTTAGAGTTTCGAGTGCTCAGCAATGTCAGCATAAAAAAAAATATGATGACCTTGCTTGGTATTGCATGAGAGGTTGCATGCTGACTACGTGACCCTGCCAGCAACGTCATGATCCTTATCAAAGTGTTTCACTTCCGGTGTCTAGTGTTTCCTGCACAATTGACACTTCGAGGCTTGCACTCGAAGCACTCTCTTGGGTGCCCAGAATTCTTACAATCTAACATGTTCTGCAGCCCGGACAGCAAGCCATAAGTCGTACCTCGATATGCCTGCACCCGCATCAAACATAATCCTAGAACGAACGATGTATATTCAGCAACTCATATCGACACAGTACCTCGCTTACCGCTGCAAGTGAGCTACATCGTCGTCCAGGTCCATGCGTCGGGGTCCCTCAATAATTTCTACAATCGACCGGAAACCCAAGGTACAGGGACGGCCATTGCGAGACTGTGCCATCCGAATGTATCTCACGACCTGAACTAAGTGAAGTAACATTCACGGGGACAAGAGTTCGCTTGCCTTTGGTAGTAGTTGGTTCACTTCTGAACGAATTCCACACCAATAGAACCACAGAATCTGTAATGAACGAACAGTCAGCTTCAAGAAGTCATGATCTGAAGGACAAACTTACCTTTCCAGTTATATCCTCCTCCAGCGCTCGCTGTTCATCTTCGTCTTCTGTTGCTTCGAGTTTCACTTGGAGCGCATGCAGCTCTAGTACCGTGGAATGAACATTGCCCTGACTATGATGTCCAGGAGCTGGGTTACCGAGCATCAAAGGATGGAACCAACCGTATCGTAATCACTGTGGTCTGCTTGATCTGATCTCCTGGAATGAGAATACAAAAAGAATGCCAGAATGCAGAAAGCATACGAAGAGAAATAAGTACTTACTGCTCACCCTCAGCTGCGTCGAGGAGGGTGGTACGAATGCATTCGAGCAGCTTTTCGTGACTAGAATCAGTCCCAAGTCCTTTAGGTTAAACAGTAGCACGTACCCCAACACCAAGGGTTTGCGAAATAGACTCCACCTCACGCTGCGTCTTTCGTTTCTCGGTAGGCGATCGGCGGCCAAGAGCTTCGCACTTGTTGAGGAAAAGAGGTACCGCACCTTCACAGTATGGGTTCTGCCATGTCTCAAGTCAGTATCTGAATGGATTCCGTGTCACCACCAGACCGACCAGTGACGGATACCATGGGTAGGTTAGTAAATCATTTCCTATGCTGTAATGTAAGTCTGCAGTGAACACACTTCGTATGACGTGCTGACCTCCCACCGTGCCTACAGGAGCCTCGATGCATAGCTGAGTTTCCACAGTTGAAGGGAGCCTTATGAAGGAGGTTATCTCGCCAACAGTCGAAGGGAGCCTTTCGAAGAAGGTTATCTCGCCAACCTACATTTCGATAATGTCAGCAGGCTGAGGATAAAGCAATCAACCCATACATAATTTTTCAGGTACTCTAGACCGAACATGGCCGAGAGGTCGACCACCCCGTTCACCATCTGTCTATGCTGCTGTCATAATGAGGGTGCGCTTGTTGGCTGTATGCAGCTGTTCGACGTACCGCGGACTCAGTTCCTGCAGAGTCATGCTGCAGATAATAGGATTAGTTAGATAAACCGAAAGCTCCCCGTCTGACTGACAGGAGTAGATACCAGATTCGTTAAAGCGTAAAAGTGCTCCCTATGTTCCGAACATGGTATGATCAGTGACATTACGCAACGTGATCTGAGCGAAAGGATCACCTGATGATACTGAGCTGCTCCCTTCTCCGTGTACAAGCTGGTTCTCTATGCCAAGCTAGTGGTCTTCCAATGACGCACAGAGTGGTGAAGATATCTGGGTCTGCGAGCCGATTATCACCCTTCGATACTGAGCCAGACACACAAGGTCAAAGCAGAAGTAAGAACCATCCATTGAGTAAACCTACCATCTCCTACCTCTATCCGTCTTCCCTCATGATCAAGGTGGCAGAATTCTGAGCATTGAATAACTGTTGTGACAAGACATTTGCCTGAAAGACGGGTAGACCAGGCTTTCAGCAGCAGCTCGAATTCTTCGTTTTTCGGAAGCGAGACGCCCTTTGGTTGATACAGCGCCAGATTGTAGTTCCTATTGGATAACGTTACAGCATCATGCTGAGTCTGCACTCGACGTGGCACAAGTTTACAGCTGGATACGCGAGAGACGACTGGACGATAAATTGAAGTCATGGGATCGATACCATGTTGCTGCATATCTTCGAATATGTTGCCGCAACGTCTGAAATCGTGACAAGTAGAGGAGTCGCCATAATCACCCAGCTGTTTATGTCAGGCTCGCCACGAGCCCATGAGATACGCGTTACGACTCACCACAATCTCTTGACCAGAACACTTGTCAAGCCGCACAGATTGGCCACCTAATTCCAGCTCATGCAGACCAAATCTACTTGATGCCCACGGCAGCCATAGTGCGTCGGCTATCTATGGTTATCTGAGTGGTTAGATTCGAATAAAAGTGCATGTGAGAGAAGGTACTGACAGAGGTGCATTGACGTGGTCCAGTACAGCTGCCGGGGCATAGCTCGATGTCAATCATCATACTGGTGTAGTCCATGTAGTCGCCACCATAGACAATCCTGGCATCCCAATTGGACCGGGGAACGTGAGCATCCTTAATGGTGACGAAATTGCTGGGAAAGTCGGACTTGTCGATGGGTGTATTCCACAGCATGTCATATACTTTCTCAGCAAAGTCTGCCCACAATGACCAGACCTCTTGCTCCGCAGGGCATTCATCACAGACAACGCGTGCCCATATATTACCGAGGTAGTATCCAAGTCCGACTGCAAAGCGAGATCTGGCATCATTGTTGGCGTAGACTAAGACAACGAGAGTGTTTCCTGATGAGAATGTGATAGTATCGCCTGCTACTTCAAGCGGAAAGGCGCTACGGCGGGTGAAGCCGTTCCATGAGGCACGCTTGTCATGGAGCCTAAGATCGTGGAAGTTCTCATCATCGTCTTGAGAACAATCAAGATAAACTGGGGTAAACATTGGGTATGCGTGCGGAAACCGTGTAGCGGGATGCCGAGACCTCCAGTAGCCAAGTCCATGGGATTCCATGTTGATGGTGATCAAGTTTCCATAACGGTCACGACATGGCAATATGGCTTCGATATAACGAGGGTCGTCGGGATCAACTGTAACAGGCCAGAGTACTTGGATGCCCAGATTGGTGACATCAAATCTGAAAAGTTGGGGGGACTCTGCACCCCAACGTAACAGATCAAGTATGCGCCAGTCTACAGCCACGTCGAATGTATCGTGGCGCACGTATGCCTCTAGTTCTTTGAAGAACACTTTGGGTTCCACATTCTTGATGTTGTGACAACCCCGGAAGCAGCTCGGATCGTCTGCTAGAACACCGCCAAGCGGGTCAAATCGACCCTTTGGATTCCATGCAAATATGCTGTGATCACTGGATACGCGGATGATTTCCAGCTGTAGACGCTGAAATGCTTTCGAGCGCTCTCCATACAGCATGGGCATGTTTACACCAAATAAACCCATCAGTGAATACGCTCTATCTTCCTCTCGCGTCGTCTTCCGGTCGGCAGCCCAAGACAGGATGTGAGCGACAAGAGGACGCTCCGGAGAGTAGGTACTCCTCAATACCCGTTCGTCCCTCAAGACCTTCTGCGGAATACGTGTAATGTCCTCTAAGGTGGATGCCAACTCCTGTTTGGTGCCAATGGATACCCAGTTCCTGTTGAAAAATTCGACTTCCCCAGGAGCAATGAGCTCCTGGAGTGTCCAGCCTCGTGAGAACCACTCGGGCCAACCGTTGTACAGGCCGAACTTGCTCGAGTCTTGTTTAGTAGGAAAGACCGAGTCATCGACGTCATTGAGGTACACGTAGCACATTTGCGAGTTGCGGTACCATCGATACATTGAATTGATCGCCTCTGAGAGTTCCGTGCTGCTTCGCTTGTCAATGCAACACGTATCAATCCATAACCACATGTAACCATCCTTCATGGCCTGTTCGCAGCTCTTGATAATCTTCTGGTACCCGTCACGCTGCCTGATCTCGTCCTTGTCTTGCTCGTTCATCTTCATGAGTCTAGTCATCTCATCGTAATCAACCTCCGTTCCCCAGCGATGTGAAAGTATCACATATTTCGTAGTCTTGTCATTAAGTTGTTCCAAGACCTTGGATTTGAGTCCAGCTTGCTGGATGCCCCTTTCCCAGTCGAGAAAAGCGTTCACGTCTAATAACCGCATCTTCCTAATGGGTAAACGGCAAAAACTTGAGGCTGCACCAACGCCCACAGACCTCCACACGTACCGCCTGAATGCCCAAGACCACAAGGTGGTTCCCAAGATTACGAACCTTACGTGTCTGGGAACAGAGTACTTGAAACGACGTGATATACGATCGTTGCAGGTCACAAGTTTGGGCGCCAATTATGCAGCCACTCGCTTTCCCGCCGGGTTGCAGACTGACCGAAGGTGTGCACCCGTGAGTATGTGCATGGGAAGTTAGCGAGCGCTTCAGCCCTGGCCCTATGAGTTCCAATTTCAGTCGCTGTCAGAAACAAACCAAAAGAACATATTCAGACACTCCTTCATGCTCCATGCAGTGGCTTGACGTTGCTTGTGCCATCTTTCAAAAACCTGCCTTCTTGCAGGATTTTGGAAATCCTCAGGGTGAGCGTGCTCGGCAGCACGGACACCAGTGGTCCAGAGTGACGAAGTCAGCAGCTCCCAAGACGAGTCCCGATAACTGCCACTCTACCCAGGCAGTCTTTTCATCGTCGCAGTTACAATCATGCTCTTGTTCAATGGCCCGGAGTAACCCCACGTGTCCCCACTATGTAAGCGAGGTCTCTCCTCTCGCGGCTTCGGAATCTCCCTTTGTAACACGCGACAGCCACGAAGGACCCATATTTCATGTCGGTGACGTCTCTGCGAGACTACGTCCACAACTAAGTAGAAAGAAGTTATGGTGACTCTTTCGATCATACCACACATGTGGAGACTCCAGGAACATGCTTAGCCCCATTGCTCCTATTGAACCTACATATGAATCGCTCCCACCTTCCGACTTGGAAAAGCAGAGAGATGAAGCGAAACGAGAGTAAGGAGATTACATATCGTAATTGACCTGGCCTACTTGACCTATCCATCTGGGATGCCGACATGGGGCGAGCCTGGTCGACCGGACTGCGTTCCGAGAGATACCAGCAGTAGAATGGAAACAACAGGAAGCGATATTCGAATTCATCTCAACGGAGGCGGATCACGTGTAAGATCTCCAACTTATTGTGGAGGTGAGTCTGGACCCAATGAGATTCTACCTGAATCGTCGACTTCGATGTTGAGAGCTCTTTTACTCGCGTCTGGTGGACACGCTTGGAGAAGACTCGACGTCGGTCATATTTCCCAATATCGAAGATATCTTCTTTCGAACGCAGTGCGTTCTTCTGGATATGACTGACTCCCGGCTCACCCCACATCTTCCAGGCATTCCTGTCTGCTCTGGAAGCGCGACAGCGAGAATTCTGACTCTGTGTAGACCACGGAGGAAACTTGTTAGAAACATGCATACCTCATATGCGAGTGCATCTAATTTGTTGTGTTGCCAGATAACAAGGGCGAACACGTTGACGAACTGATCATAAGACTACTGGCCAACCAAGCCAATGCCGGGAAAGCGTTGCAATCGCTTGGGGATGCCAATCATGACTCGAGTCGTGCGCTCGACTGCAGGTTCAGTCATTTATTTCTTGCTGGTCTACCTCTTCCTAATCGTCCGTCCTCCGTAGCACCTCCGGGAAGACCTGTCAGCTAGGTAGCTCGATTTATCCAGTTACCTTCCCGTGGAAAAACGATTCGTAGTGCAATGTCTAACTCGGTATCCTCTTCGCACCCAACAAGTTCTGCAATATATAGACCCACCCGCACCAATGCCCGACCTGTCTTCGGTACTACGACTGACATGGTCTGTTCTCACAGACCATAAGGAATGAGAGTCGACAGGGGAATGCGCTGGCGTGTGTGGAACAAAAGTTAGACGAGGTGAACGAGACGATACGAGATCGGGAGAGCCGGGTGAGGTGTGGTGAGGCGAGCAAAGAGCCAAGGATAGGCAAGGGGTAAATATCGTGTTTTCTCGTCCTCTTTAATTCTATCACCGGTGACGTGAGATATCGCTGACGTTCTCCCCCTTTTTTTCCCGCCGTTCGGTCCTTTTGACCTTATGCTTCCAACTCACCACCTAGGTCCTCGAAACTCCTCGAAGGTGTATTGACGAAAGCACAAAGTGGACGTAAGCTATGCACGCTACTTTGCAGTGATATCCTCATCTCAACAACACCGGTCGTGGAAGCTTATACTGTGTAGCAAATCCACAATCTCATGACTACCACATTGTCATATTGACTGAAATCGCTCCTGTCCCCTCCCCGTTCACGAACTCAAGACCCACACTCCACGGGCAAATCTGCCTGCACATTTATCTTTTGAGCTTCACTTACTAGTTTACTAGCGGAGTAGACGATAGTGCCCAGGACTAGCTCGCTAAGGACAGTTCTATGCTGACTGATCGTATATTCCCAGTTTAGTGTTTGAATTTTGTCAGGTTGAGTACATACATCGATCGCCGTATGCTGGTTTTGTTTTTGTCAGTGCGATGGCTAACACGCCACTTTCTTTGGAGAATCCTTCCACGGGGTATAAAGTACAGGCCAAGTCCGCATCCGCTGAATGCAGGTGACCATAGCAACGACGTATCGAAGGCTTCTTCGCGTCTACACCTTCATCAACCAACACTTGAATAGCACCCCGCTGCTCGCGAATGAGTCGGACGAGCATGGCTATACCAAGCGGAACGCCTGTGTCAGGTCCTTGTCCAGGCACGAGTCGTGTGCGTGCAAAATCGATCAAGGAGCCTGAACAGGCGAGAGTCGTCCTCAGCCTCGTCTCCGTCATGGTTTTCTTCAAAGGACTCGATGACGGAACTTGTTGCAACAACACCATCCAGGTGACCATATTCGTCCACTTCGACAGTGATCTTCTCCTCCCCATCTTCACTTTCTTCGTACAAGGGCACTTCCTCGTTCCTACCCAAGCTCCCGCCAGCAGCGGTAGGCTCTCCTGTGTTGGTCACGTTGTGGCTGTGTCTTCGCCATCATGATGTACGGTGTAGGTCCTCCAGGCATCGATAGCGACGCATCACCTGCCATGATCGATGTACCACTGGAATACAACTATCTTGGTTCCACCACTGACTCCAAGGATGGTGTTGAAACCCCGATCACCGTGCCCGGGATGCTACCGCCGCTTGAACATATGCGAAATCTACGCTCCCGGCTGAAAGGCTGACCGAAGGTGTGAGTACGTACATGGGAAGTTAGCGTTTCAGCCCTGCCCTATGGATTCCAGTCTCAGTCGCTATCAGGAGCACGCCGAGAGAACATATTCAGACGCCCTTTCATGCTAGTTTTTGTTCCGTACGACGGCTTAACGTTGCTTGTTCCGTCTTTCCAATACCCGCATTTCTGCAGGAATTTGGAAGCCTTGGGTTGAGGGTGCCCGGTGGCACGGATCACCAGACCGACAACGAGGTGAGCGGCTTCGGAAACGAGTCCCGATAACTGCAATAAACACACTCCCCAGGTGATCTTTTAACATGTCTATCTTCATCGTTGCGCGCGATAGAGTACAAGCACTATGTAGGTAAGGTCTTCCAATGCTTTTGGTCTTCAACTCAATTGGCTTTGGAATCTCCCTTTTGCAATGCATGTAACATGCGGCAGCGACCATGCACTCGTCTGGTTACGACTCTACGAGACTACATTCATGACTAAGTAGTAGGAAGATATTGTGACTCTTCTCAACCATACCACTCATTGGAACTCCGGGAGTGCGCTTAGCCCCCGTTGCCCCTATTGAACCTACCTGCCGATCGAATCGTCACCTTTTAACTTGGCAAACCAGAGATGGAGAAAAACGAGAGTGAGGGGGATACAAGATTTGGAGTTTTTCAGCGCTGAGAAGACTGGACGATGCTTTCATGTCAACTTGTACTTCTGCTATGGAAGTATTGCTGACATGAACGGCGTAAGTTAAGTGACATCGCTTGCCGCTGTAGGTGAGCCATATCATCGTCCAGGTCGATGCCTGGGGTTCTCTTGATAATCTCTGCAATCTTGGGCAACCCCCGGCGAGTTGACCTGTGCGATAATATCTCAGAATTTGATTCCCGTTTGTTATTTACGACCTGAACAATGTTAAATGACACGGGCGGGCACGGGTGTTACCTTACATTTGCTGATATTTCGTCTACTTCTGAGCGGATTCCGCGCCAATAGAACCACAAGATCTATAGGAAACGAACAATCAGCTTCAACCATGTTACAACTTAGAGGTATGATCCTTGCCTTTCCCGTTATATCCTCCTCCAGTGCTCGTTGTTCATCCTCGTCCACTGTTTCCTGGAGTTTTTCTTGGAGCACTGCTATCCCTTGCACTGTACGGAGAACATTAGCCTGCCTACAGTGTCAGGATCCGTGCTATTGAATCTCAAAAGGTGGGACCAACCCTATCGTAAGGCTCACGGATTACTTGGCCTGTTCTTCTGGAACCAGTACACAAAGAACAGTAGGATGCAGAAAAAATATGAGGCGAAATAAGCACTCACGGCTCGCTCTCGGATGCATCAAAGAGGGTATTATAGATGTGCTCGAGCAGCTTTTGTGACTAGAATTAGCCTCAGCTCCATTTGGCAGATAACAACATTTACCCCAACACTAAGAGTTTGTGACATGAGCCCCACCTCACGCAATGTGTTTCGAAACGTAGATTTGTCAACTGGTGGTCCAACAAGATCTTTGCATATCTCGAGCAAACGAGGCACCATTACTTCATGACGTCGGGTCTGCCCTGTGTTGGGTTGAAGCCTGCTTTTCCATGTCTTCGCCCGGCCGACGAATGATGGCTGTAGTGGGTACGCCGATAATCTATTTCCCATACTGTAGTACTTAGCCCTGCCGATAAACACACATCGAGTGATGCACTGACCTCCCGCCATGCCTACAGAAGCTTGGTTGTCTAGCTGAGTTTCCATTGTCGAAGGGAGCCTCTCGAAGAACGTTATCTCGCCAACCTGCATTTCGACAGTATAAATAACCTGAGGTAGCAGAACAATGAGTACGCACATAATTTTTCAGATACTCTAAACTGAACATGGTCGAGAAGTCAATCACTCCCTTCATTGTCTGTCTGTTCTGCTGTCGTCACCAGCATGAGGTTGTGCTGGCGAGTTTCACGCTGTTGTTCAACTCACCGCATAGTCATGAGAAGCGTTGGTTGCTGTAAGGTGACGCTGTGGGTGATAGAACTAGTTAGATATACCGGATGCTCGCAGCCTAGTCGATAGGAACAGGTACCAGATTCGCCAAGGTATAAAAGTGTTCCCTACATTGCGAATGTTGTGTCAGTAATGTTATGGCGGAATTCAGTTGTTGAGGTGGATGCGCGGTACATCAAAGGGATGATTAGGATCTGCAAATGGATTACCTAATATTCCTAAATTGTTCCCTCCTTGGTGAGCAAGCGGGTTCTTTACGCCAAGCTGGTGGTATTGCGAAGATACACAGGGGGGAGAAGGTGCCTGGGTCTGCAGACTGATTATTATCATTCAAAGCTGAATGTGATACCCATGGTCAAATCAAAAGCAGGAGGCGCCCTTCAGGTAAACTTACCACCTCCCAAGTCTCCCTGCCAGCTTCCCTCATAATTAACTTCGTGGAATTGTGAACATTGTATAACAGCCGTCACGAGATGGTTGCCTGCAAGACGGGTAGATAGTGCTTTCAGTAGCAGCTCGAATGCTTCGTTTTTCGGAAGTAAGAGGCCCCTCGGTTGACGGAGTGCTATGTTCTGGTCATAGGGACCAGATGTCACGGTAACGTCATATCACGTGTCATCACGTGTCATGCCGGCGGTATTCCAAATTAGGAATGTCGGCGACGCGCAGGTGGTGTGGACGAGGCAGTAAAAAAAAACTATTACCGGTGATGCACTCCATATGTGTGCCATAAATATAATAGGTGTAAGTTGTGCTACATCTCTCACTTTTTTGCAGGATCGCGATAGCTTCCTGTTGGTCATAGGATCTTCCTGACAGGTCAAGCAGTTCCAGCATATTTGTGGGAAGGCCCACCCTTGAGGTCTCGTCGTTGTATCTCGCGTGTTGCTATGCCGTTTCTCTCGCCTTTCGGGTCCTTTGTTTCCCTCACTCAGCCGTCGTTGGGGACGCTTCATTCATCCAGTTCCGTGCGGTTGTTATAGAGATATGACCGTTTTTGTGTTAGGGATGCTGTGCGATGCTTTTGTGTATACCTCGTGACTGGGTGGTCAGGTTAGTGCGGTTCCCTTTTCTCTGCACTCTTAGAGGTGTTCCCTACGATCTCCCAGTGTTTTTTGTTGATCCCCCCAGCCGTTGTCGTTCAGGCGACTCTCCTCTCCCCACCTGTGAGGACTTGAGATAGTATCTCACGCGTTTCTCTGCCGTTCCTCTCGCTTTTTGGGAAGTTTCCTCCCCTCGCTTTACCCTTCCTGTGGATACATTTTTCATCCATTTCCGCGCAGCCACTATCGAGATATGCCCGTTTTTGTATTCAGGGGGTGGTGAGGCAACTTTGGGTATAGCTCTGGACTGGGTGGTCGAAATGGCGGGGTTCCTGTTTCTGGTGTATATCTGCGGGTTCCCTACCATCTGCCATAATTTGGTGTTGATCCCCCCAGCTGTTGTCATTCTAGGGTCTCCCCTCTCCCTCCCCCAGGCGATACCTCACCGGTGCGTACGCTATAGCTCGCCCGTTTCGCTGTCCTACTTTTCGCTTTTTCAAATCATGGTACTACTCGACGAGACCTTCTGAATGGTATATATTTTATGTGTTTTATTTCTGTTGCTTTCCTTTCTGACTTAGGGCTACTGCGTTTTTGCCTCGTAGTACGCATTTTTGCATGCTTAGTCAGCACCCAGCAATACATGTGCAAACAACTTTTTATTATACAAAAACAATAGACGGGTTGCAGCTTAGCCAGAGATGACAGACAGTTAGAGCAGGCATCCGTGGGCTCAGGGCCTAACATAACAAGGGATGTATTGTACAAAACATGTGCAAGTCAGACTCGGAAGACACTAAATGCTACAAAAAGATGGGGCTGGCATGTCACGTGACATCACGTGACATGTCGGGGGCGGTTGAGCAAGGGAAGCTCCCGTCGCGGGTTTGGGGGAAGGCACACGTGTCAAAGCTGAAGCATGAGGTTCAGTGCTCAGCGCTCAACGTCAACCCCAGTATTATGTAGTTGGAAGTCACAGCAAGGAAGCATCGCTTGACAGGGGAGCCTTGGTTATTTTCTTAACTCTGGCTGCTCACGCCCACTAGATTCCTGCCCAGCCACAGCTTCATGTGTGAGGCAGCGTCTGAGCCTTGAGGGGGCAAGGATAAATCCGAATGGTTGGCAGTGATTCATCACTACTCACTTGGATGCGACTTCACACCCGAAGCAGAGGCTGGGAATTAGGAGCCTGGAAGGTCTGGAATAGGTGCCTGCCTGTGCTACACAGAGCCACCTGCTTGTGTACTTCCAAAGCAAATGTGACACTAGTGCCACAGGGTTTTTCTGATGCAGTTGCATGACAGCCAGCTGCCTGAAGGAAGGAGCAGAACTTGATAATGTGTTTGTGGAGCCACTCTGGATTGCGAGCTGTGACCGAAGGTGTGCATCCGTGGACGCGTGTATCATACGCACGTCCACCAGTGCACACCTTCGGTCTTTCCCATGGCATGGGGAAGCCCCGCCCTATTACTTACAAGTAAGTTGTTGCCTGTGCACTGGACGTTGCAGTGACAGTCACTTTATTTCGTAGGGTCATGTAACCGCAGCAGTAGCCTTTTGTAAACGATGTTGGCACACGTACTTTGATCTTCAGATTCTAAAAAGAGAATTATCATGTCTCGTCGTTTAAGTCGTACTCTGGAAGGGCATATGTATGTAATTGACCATGAGCCGAAGGATGAATTCCTGGTCGATGATAGAACGAGTGAGGGTAAGGTCTCGGATGGCCTATGCGAGGCGAAGTGGAAGGTGGAAGTCATTTCCGTGTGACTGTGCAAGCGGAACATGAGCCATAGGGGACAAAGTTAAAAGAAACGCGTGGAATGCAATGAGTTTCATGTCGACCAGGGAACTGAACTTCTGATCATGAGGCCTGAGCGCGAGCAGCGATGCGACGCGACATCTTCAAGCACGTCACCACAGTGGCAGGAGCTTGGTGACACGGGAAATTCAAGCTCAGCCGCGGCATCCCTTCGGCAGGTGACAACAGCATGATTGTAGTAGCACTAGCACTGTATTTTCATCGATCTCACTCATTCCTTTGGGGATTCACTTCGTTCAAGGTGGCAGCAGTTGTTTCCAGTGCCAAAATATGTGTGTAAATGGGCACAAACGAAATAATGCTAGGAAGTAGTAGATTTTGTAAAACTGCCGACTGCAATATTGTGAGTAGTATGTACCCGACCTGGGTAGACATACTCACCACGGTACGCGTAAGTTTCGGTGGCTTCGACACCTGCACCAGGTTTGCCTCCTAGTACATCAGATAAGAAACATCTATTCCATAATCGTGTACCAGTCTATAACCGTATAAGCAATATCGTGTATGTGTACCACCACACAAAAACAAAAAATCATAGTAAGATAGAGGAAAGCGAGAGTGGGGGGAATACAACAAGGCTTAGGAATCGAGTCGCTGGGAACATATGCGTGTATATAAAACAGAACGGTAAGTCTCTGAGGTTTGATGCATACACGCCTTCTTGAACGCATCTGGACTGCCAGCAACATAGGTACAAAAAAAGCCCTCACCTCATCGGATCTGTGCCAACGTCTCCAACACACCCAGTACCTCCCTAGGGTCAAGTTTCCACCTCGCATCAGTCCCCCTCCTACTCGTCGACACCGTCTCCGCATCATCCAACTCATTCAAACGCCTCAGCAGCTTTTCGTCGGCCCCAATCCCAAGCACGAGGGTAGATTCGTTCGCAGAGCTAACCCTTCCACTCGTACTCCCCCCACCCATCCTTCCAGCACTGCTCCCGACAGAAGGGTTCCAGTAGCTGTCATAGTCAGTGTCGCCAACACCAGCGCCGCCGCCAAGCGGTGAACAAGCAGGCCCTCCAGGGTGCAAGATCGTGCCGACAGCTGTCGAACGCGAGATATTATTGGGCAGGACAAGGAAAGAGTTTTGACCGGGTATGATGCGGAGACCGTATCGTTCTCCAAGGGAATCGAATATGTGGTTCTGTGCTTCGGCAGCTTGACGACGGGCCCAGCTGTGATCGGAATAGTGTGACTGGGATGACACAGTTGCGTTCACGGCAGAACAAACGTCGTTGGTAGTAGTAGTGGGATCATCATCATCAATTGAAGCTGTAGAATCCGGAGGACCTGTCCAGAAGCGCCATACGATAGATGTAGCACGTTCCTCGACGAAGGAGCCTGGCGTACGCTCGGTGAACTGTGAAAATGGTCAACGCAACGAGGAAAATAACGTGCGAGCATTTCGCCTTTTCAGCGCCACTCACGTAGTTAAGGATCTCGATACATGGCCCTCTCCACGCAAAATCCAAGTTAGCCACCATATTGATCCATCTCGCTCCGTTAGTTTGTCCATTGGACTTGCCACTAATTTCTCTTGTCTTCACAAAACACCCGTTCTCGGCCACAATACCCACGCTGGGAACCCTCTCCGCAAGTCTCTCGAGTGCGCCCTTCACAGGCAACCCACTGAGCACCCAAACCTCGTTCTTCGGATCATCCACCATCCTGCCGAGTACCTGTATCGTGCTTTCGGGAATCTCCACCATGGGGCCCTTCCCACTCTTCATCATCTCCATCATGGCATTCCTCGACATATCTCGGACCCACAAACACCCTTCCAGGTCGACAAAGATGAGGCGCGAAGCGGAATGCCGGTACTTGGGAATCAAACGACTAAGATCAAGCGGCGGAACAAGAGATGGATCGATGGAGAGAGAGGCATGCTCCGTGTGTGCGCGGAGGCATCGGGTGAGGAAAGACGGGATGAATGCCTGGGCGGTTTGAGTGACGACGTGATTGTGGAGATCTTGCCAGCGGGAGGCAGCTTCTTCGTCGGACATGGTTAGGGCCTGTATGGTGTAATGATGAAGGTGTGTGAGATGACTGAAACGTTGTACCGGATGAGCAAAGAACGCAGACCTGATAAATAGCTTTGGCTGTGCCGCGCGTATCGTATGGGTTCACGGCGAAGCACGATCGAAAACCAGAATAACTATACGTCCCCGTAAACTTGTTCCCCATCAAACACAGGTCGCTCCATAATGGCAAGGGGCCAGACTCACCTCGCTCAGGATCAACGCCCGTTTCCTCTCCTCCTGGCATTCGACGTACTCGTGTGTCCGAAGTGCCATACCTTCCCTCAAACTCGTCACCATGAACGCGTCAGCAACAGTCAGAAGAGCGAGATATTGGCTGAATGTGACTTCTTGTACATGCAAAAAGACAACAGGTTGGTAAGTGAGGGTAGAGAATGCGGCGTTGATGCGCGCTACGACATCCGAAACGCCACCCGCGAGCTCGTTGGATTCGGTTGTCTGGAGGGCTACCTGAATTAGGACGACCTGTACCAGCCGACGTGAGGTCGATGATAACCGGTAATCGGGGATGAGACACACCTTGCCTTGGAACTCAGGGTTTGACTTGAGGAAATGCTCAAACGCCTCGATTTTGTGGCGAACGCCCTATATATGCGTCGTAAATTCGTGGTACGGCGAAATGCAGCGGCTCAACACGAACCTGGATCTCGTCGAGCTTGTCCCGTCCCACTATCAACTTCATCCCTGCGTAGCGTTGCCTAAGTAACTGGACCCAATACTGGACCTCAGGCTGACGCCTAAAATGCTCGACGTCGTTGAGTGTCGAAGAATTATATGGCGATACACTCACTTCTTCTCCCTCAGAGAATTCACGTCGATACCCATCGGGAAGACGCCAACGTCCACGAAACGCCCTTTCTCCTTGGTTTTCTTTCCCTCGGCACTTTCCCTCCACTCTGTCTCAGCCTCCCCACCGGTGCTAACGGGAGCAACGGGACCTTCGACTTGTATGCCCTTTGGCAGGGACTCATATGCCAGGATACGAGACACGGTCTGCCTGAAGTGTCTGGCATAGTTGGCAGTTTGGAAACCAACTAAATCTGCGCCAAGGACCCCCTTTAACAGGGAATCGCGCACCGAAAGGCATCGGAAGATTTCGGAGGAAGGGAAAGCAACGTGGAGGAAGAAACCAATGGGTGCCAATGCCGTTTTCGGATGTGATCGAAGGAGGGCAGGAAGAAGCATGAGGTGATAATCATTCACCCAGACTGCATGCACCCCCTCGTGTCAAAGGACTGATAGGAAGGAAGATAGGCAATGTACGTACTGATGTCGCCTTCGCGGTAGTTTTCGATGATAACGTCTGCGAAACGCTGATTGACGGACCTATACTGCTTGAACGAAGCGCTCTCATAGAAACATTTGGTCTTCGGAGCGTCTGGGACTGCGTAGTGGAGACAGGGCCATAAGACCTGTATGATATATAAGCAACTCCTGAGAACCACGGTGGACACGAATGCACTCGCCTGGTGGCAAAACTCGTCATAGCAGCTCTCAAATTCGCCGTCAGGAATCCAGACGGGCACACTATCGCACATCTCTCGCATTCTCTTATCGATATTCTTGCGCATCTCACGGCCAAAGCCGTCAGTGTTGCTACCGAGAGTGCCTACCCAGAGTCGGTGCGGCAGTCTGCCCTTGACGCTATCAACGGCATTCTTAAGGCCGCCGTTGCAGTGCGTGTTAGGCGAGATGTGCCAGGGGTGGTATGCTCCGTCGGAACTGGAGCCGCGTGCGACGGACGTGGGTCGACGCGAAGAAGAGCGGGACTGTTTGCGCTGGAGACGGGCCGAATGCTGGACGTCCTGATGGGTAGTCTGGAACTTGCGCGGACGGAAAAGCGAGAATGAACGATCGAGCGAAGGAACCTGTGGTGAGTTGGAATCGGAGGGAAAAGACCCGTTATTAGAGTGCGACGACGCAGGAGTGTGTGTGGAAGTCGAGTGTGGAGTCTTCCCCGGCTGCGGACTGGCGATGTGGACGAATTTTGTGAATGGGTTTGGGATGTCTGGCTGAGGAGATGCGAGCGGGGTGATCGCACGAGACTTGGACGAGCAGCGTCAACATACAAAAAGGGGCTCTACCCGAGAATATGGACCCACCTTGAGATCCTCTACGATGCTCATGAGAGGCGGTTGACCCGACTGACGTTGACGGTAAGCCGGCTGCTGTTTCTGGTTCACGCCATTGGACACTGCTACTGGCTCGCTGTCGGGCACGATGCGGTGGTCTGGCGTGGGTGGACCGGACTCGCCGAGCGCGACTGTGGTGGGCAGGAACAGCGACGCGATGATGACGCGGTGGTTGCGGAAGGAGCTCATCTCTGAGGGACTCGAGGACGAGGACGAACTTATATAAACGAGAGCCGGTGGACTGGCTGTTTCTGGCAGGCAACGGCGAGAAATCAGACAGATCTCCACAGATTGGAAAGGCAGCGGACGGAATCTAATTATCCCATTCAGATATTGTCGCCATCAAACGTTCGTTTGGGCGTCGTCGCCGTGATAGGACAAGCGCGGAACGGCTCATCCCGACTGCCTTGGTGGCGACTTCTCCCGTCTGCCAGCGTTGCAGGGACTGGCTAATATTATTGACGTCAGGAACATGACACGGTGCTCCATGGCACGAAACTCGCAAGGACTCCATGGTCTAAACCGCCTTCACATGGCCCTGGGCGCTCCAGCCCCACCCCTGCATGGTCGTTCACTGTCACACTGACGAGGTTGGAGTTGCACTCCCAGATGACATTGCACCGCTGGTGGATACATACGCTCCTTGGGCTCGGCAAGGAATCCTTGAGACGCGTGAGAGCATCTCTACATTAGACAGCAATATCTACTTTCTCGGTTGCCGCTGCAATCGCTTGTCACGACTCTTATCGTGGACTGTCAGTCTCCTGTTGAGTCCTGCGAGTGCTTGACGCGAGATTGTACGCGGTTGAGTCACGATATAGCCCGGATCAAAACACTGCCCACTTGTCAAGATGGGGAGTCCTCGTAATACGTTAGGTACCAGCTCGGAAGTATCGCGAGAACGAGATTCGGGAGGTTGGAGGCTGGAGGCCGGCTTAGGTAGCCCAAATTTTGCTTGTCATTCTCCGCAGCGCCAATGCCTTTCCAAGTCTCATTGGCGGATCGGATACTGTATGCACATACCTTCGGCGTGACTCCTTTGCAATGCGAATGGAACAATGCATGTTGCTGTTGCCACTCTCGGTTCATTGGATACCTAGCTCAGCGACGATCATCACAGCTAGCCTTAGGCTACTCTCCAGAAACAAGATCGTATGCAAATGGATAAGACTTTGTCGGCCAATTCCTCCAACTCAAAATATTTTGTTCATCGAAATGGAAATGTCAATGTCAATGCCTTTTTGTCATAAACGGAAAAAAGACATCGATATTGACATTCCCATACATTCATCCTGAGCAGTGGATGGTCCAACCAAACATCAAGGGTTACGGTTTGCTTGAGAAAGTGCTGGACTGTTGGCTGGGTGTTGTGGTCGGGCGGAACGGGTCGCGACCCTTGTCGCATCAACCGAGCCTGTGGGGCGGGCAGATCTTCGTGGGGGAGTCTATTCCCTCCCACGGTAAGCCATGTTGGACGTGTTAACTTCCATTAGTATGACCATCCATTAAACTAAGATGCGATTGATGATTTATGTCCGCACGTTTCTCGGCATCAAAGAAGGGAAGACGGTTGATCCCGAAGCGATTACTCCGAAAGAACTTGATAAATACGGGATCCTTTCGCATTGCCGGGCACCAGGCTAAGACCAGGGGCAGTTGTAGCTCACCAGCGGTGGTGTGAAGATCACCACCCGTACTCCTGCCAGACGGTTATTGGTCCAAAGTGCTGGTGGCGTGGTCTCGAAGAACAACTAGACATGATTATGAGCGTGGAAAATAACAGGAATGTGAGCTGCCTACGAAAGGACATCACCAAAGCCATAATAGTTGCTACCCCCATGGTACACATTCCACAACTTGCCCGAGAGCAATTTCTGACTCTCAGAGGCCGTAGCCATTTTCAGGTATGCCTCGGCTGGGGAATGGGTTGTAGTCAACGATAGCGCAGTCATCCAGCAGCTCGTTATGTTCTATACTACCTGTCCCGAATGCCTTTAGGAGAGTTTTCCAGATTGGTCCGTTTGGCATGATCTGGTTCAAACTGTTGAGAAAAGGATTGATTACCTGGACATGGTGACTGCAGGAGAGCATAGGAGAATCGGTTAGTAAGAGTCAGTGTCTTGTTCGGTGGTCAGGAAACCACGTGACTGGTTGCTTTCCTCTGGAGTCCGCCCCTGTTTTTCCTTGATCAGCTTGGATCAGCTTGCTGCGACATATGCATATGTTCATATGTACAAAAACTGAGTTCTATGTTCACCTTCTACAGACGCGAGAACATGTCAGGCCTGCAGGCCAATATTTACCGCCCACAGATCCGGAACTCACGAGACAAACTCTACTTGACGCTCCTTGAAGGCACGTCCGCCGCCCACCTCCGCGTATCCGTAGGCGCGTCACCCCCACATAGCTGTTCACTAGAGCGTCTTCCACGCGCTCCCCACCATCCGGTTGGATCACCGTCCGCCTCGACCCCACTCGTTTGACACCAAGGGTGGATAAGGTTTGAACCCAGGCATGTTGAGGTAGGGAAGGAATTACAAACCGCATGGCAGTTCCGCAGAGATTCCGAGTGACGCAGTAAAGTGCGGGGATTTCATCTCGGGGCACGCTTCAAAGCCTCGAGGACAACACGTGCTCGTCCTACCCCCCGACCACGAAAGCTTGAGTGCAGACAGCGGAACTTACCCGCATTCGTTTTCTCAGTTGTCTTGCCACTACTCTTATCATACCGTCAAACTGATCTGCGCTCCCGCAGTAAGCATTCCTATCCATCTTGGATGTGATAACGCCCATTGGATATATCCATTTACTCAAGTAAGATGCGGTTAATTCATGTCCGCACGTTTCTCGATGTCGAAGAAGGGAAGAGGGTCGATCTCGAGGCAATTGTTCTGAAAGACCTTGTTGATGAAGATCTCGCGCGCATTAAATATGGGATCCTCTCACACTGTTGGGGCGACCCCAAGGAAGAGGTGCAATTCAAGGAGATGGATGCACTGATACGAATGGGAGGACCCGCGCGAAAAAAGCTTCGACAACGTAGTGGATACCAGAAGATTCACAAGAGCTGTGAACAGGCGTGGAAAGATGGGCTCGCCTGGTTGTGGGTCGACACATGCTGCATTAACAAGGAGAGCAGCGCCGAATTGTCTGAAGCCCTGAATTCAATGTTTCGGTGGTACGAAGACTCGGCAAGATGCTATGTCTTTCTCCACGACCTCGACGCGAAAAACATACCCACGACAAGCAAGCGAGAAGATGTTTCCTAATTCCAGCGGGTGGCCGAAATGGTTCTCACGTGGATGGACATTGCAAGAGCTCGTCGCTCCAAACGTAGTTCACTTCTTCAACAAGGCATGGCAATACATCGGCGATAAAAAGAACCACGCTCAAACGATATCGTCGATCACTCAAATTCCATCCCGCATTTTAAGACATGGACTGGATGCGCACCGTCCCAGTGCAGCACAAATCATGTCCTGGGCCGCTGACAGGAAGACGACGCGAACGGAGGACAGAGCGTATTCTCTTATGGGGTTGTTCGGCGTGCATATGCCAATGTTATACGGTGAAGGGAAGAATGCATTCCGTCGCCTTCAATTAGAAATTATCCGGATGGCCAACGATCACAGCATTTTTGCGTGGGACCGAAAAGACAACGGATGGTCGGGAAGTGTGCTGGCGGACGACCCGAGCTTTTTCCGGGACTGCCATGACATCATCAATATGGAGCCCGACGAATACCTTGCCGCCCTGAAAGGGGTAGTACCGGACAGTGAGTTGAGTGCCGTCAACGAGGAAAGCATCCGCACGTACACTGTCACGAATGCTGGTATTCGGATCCGGCTTCCCCTCCAACGCTGCCGAGGCTCTCGATCAGTTTTCGAGGCCCGGTTGGCGTGCTGTCGCGCTTTCGATTCGTCCCCGATATCCATCTTTCTCGTGTCCTTCAAATCAACGCACTACCGATACTTCGGCCAGTCCCAAACTATTCACGGTGCCACAGCAACGTTCCGGCTTCTGTATCTTGTTTGCCGAGAAGAAAAGCGGCAGAAAGACTTCACCTTCAAAATCGACGACAGGGCCCTTGAATGCGAAGGATTTATTCAGCGTTGTGTCTTCCCGAAACGTGCACCCTTGAATCCAATGGACAACTCCATCACCTTATCGTACACCCATCACTGTGCCATCATAGTGTATGCCAACAGCAAATCCGGGACATGCTTTGCACTTGCCGTTGGCTATTGTTCGGGTTACGAGTGGCTACACGTTATCTCTGACACTCCTCCTGCACAACAGTTCTTTAACGTGGCTCCGACAACCGTAGATCCATGGGATTCCTATGCCCACCAAATATACGATCGCATGTGGGTTGTGAGTCCGAAGTATGCACCTCGTGTGGCCCAGGCGCACACCCCTACTGTTGCCCACTTACATCGTGAAGAAGACGGGCCGTGCTTGGTCAAGCATGCCCACCTTCCAAGATCCATCAGAGGTGTGCAGATCGTGTACCAGCGGCTTCCGCAGCCGAATACGTGCTTTGTGACGATGGACATCACCCGCTGTGCTGGGTGTTGTGTGTCGCCTGATGTATGGCAGACACTAGATGGGGTGGGTACGGACTTCTGTGTAAGGGATCTGATGTCATTGTTATCATAGTTATCCACGAACGATTTCAGCATGCCTGGTCTCATGCTGGACCCTGCTCCTCAGAATCCGCAAGTTAAGAGGAATGCGGTGCACCGTTTCCTCGTAGACGGAGCTCCCACATCTTTTTTGTCTGCTTTTGCAGAGCCATGTAAAATCAAGGTAAGAAACCCACGTAATGCGGCAATAAAACACTCACACTATCAGTTGGGTGACTATGGCCTGCATACCGAATCCGCCTTTGTGCGCGAGGGGAATCTCTTTGAAGACATAGGGTTACCAACTACGAACCTTCACATAAATCCAATGGATCCGATTCCTCAACCCATCGAACACAGAGTCTGGCCTGAAGATTGTACGGTCCGGGAAACAAATGTCATCGAAAGTGTTAGTTTTGATCGTCGTCTAAATCAGTGGGAGGTTTTAGATATGTGGAATCCGAAGGCCCGCTCGCTTCCAATTCATCCGCGCGTCTTCTCCCACCTCAAAGATTTGTCCCGTCATCTTGACTTGGAAGACAGATGGCTAGTAACGACAGTCGTTGAATGTACAGACTGTTCTGGTGCACGTGCCCAAAATATAATGGGAATCCCGCCAATGTGGACTAGTTCCGGCGTGTTCTACAAACGCGGTGGGTATCCCATTGGTGTAGCATTGCACCTTCATTCTCAATTTTCTGAAAGAGGGGCATCGGAAGACGTTATCCACTACTACACCTTTGTTTATCTCGATGAAACCGTTAGTTTGGCGTGAAGAGAAGGCCGACGAGAGCACAAGGGCCCTCTTTGGAGACATCCGGTAGGCGGTTATTGCGTGCTAGAAGAGACCGCTGACGTCACCTTTGGAAATGCAGGAAGTACTTCTCCATGTTGTCGCAGTTCGTACGTCCGCGATGATTGTAAAACCAGGGGTCAGAGTTGCCTCGCTAACCAAGGCATAAGCAGTATCAACAAGACATGGTTGAAGGCGATAATCCAGCTGCGGTGGGTATAGATCTCCGTCAGAACTTATGATTGAACCTAACGGAACAATCTGTAACGGAACATAAGATTAAACAGACAAAAAGAGGACACGATGCCGTTATGTTCTTTAGAAACATATTTGGTGGGGGACGCTTCCGAGGTTATGTAGGTCGTCGTCGTCCTAGCTCTAGCTCTTCCCTCCGTATTAAATGAAAACTTCACAGATTGGGGACATATCTTTCTCCAAACTGAGCAGAGCCATCGATGACTCCGGATCTCACGCAAAGAACAAAGAACAGTCGACGATGTCCGTGAACCAGAATTTTCATGTTACATGTGAGGCCGCAAAGGTGGAAGATTACGAGCCTGAATCTGCGTGTAGCTCTCACGAGACCTTGAGCACTTCCTCTGACAGCAACGAGAAAAGCGAGACAGCAGAGGACGCACGTGTTGTGGCTTTAGCCGAAACATTAATGAAGCGGATGCCTACGGAAGATGGCGGACTTATCGACCAAAAGCTTTGGTCTGCAGAAAAAATTAAAATGTACCACGAAGCGGAGGAACTGAGATCTACGAATTTTGGATTGCAGGTGAGTTCCTCGTTCTCAGTCGAGGTCATCTTTCACGGTGCCCGTGTCGAACCAGCTTCTGCATGTCATAAGCACATCCTACCATAGGTCATCAGAGTTCGTATATCGACTTTCCCCAGTCCTACATGATGATTTATTGGCTCAGAGGGAGCGTGCATAGCAAGCATAGCCACACTCACGCCCAAAAGGTTGGGTGTGTATAGCGTTGCGACGAGTGGCGGATCGTCCTTGACAAGTTGTGTTTAGGAGTAGTATTCGATCATTGATACAAGATGTGAGGATTCTGGAAGACAAACTCGATAACGTGGAAGACGAGGACGAGAAACGAGCACTGGAAGAAGACATCGCAGGCAAGGTAAGAACTACTTTAGTGGAAAGGCAGTCGTTTCGTAGGCAGTGATGTGTTCTTAGATCCTACTGGCATGCTGGCGGGGAGTACGCTCCGAAATCGAGCAAATCCTATACAGAGTAAGACGCTTCTTCCCCTTTCTAAATACCAGCTGACAGAGATTAGGTCGCGAACCACATTGTTACCGACGCAAGGGTAGAGCGGGATGGTCGGAAACAACGGTCTAAGGTAAGCAAGGTCACATGGTCAAATTCCAGATAGACAGATCACCATCCCAGCTTCTTAGGGAAGTAGGAGATGTTTTTAAGCATGCAACAAATGACGGCCATGGTGAGAGTCGAGGTTGTCATTTACGACGGTGAGCTTTCACCTTCATTCGTTGCATGATCCTGGTTGACTCAGTCGGACCAGAATCGTTGTTGATGCAGAGGAGAACACATCCAAGTATGAATTACTACTTACAAGTCGTGCCGCGCCGCGTACCATGCAGAGGCCGGGGGGTTCTCCTTCGATAGAACAACTCCCGGAAACGATAATAGGGGATGATGGGGGAAAGGATGACTGCCTTTGCTGAGGTGATGGAATTGGGGCTATACGCCGAGCGCTACGGGATGCAACGTTTCTGCTGCCCCCTAGACCCTCGAGCAGGGTTTCCTAGCACCAATGCTCTGTTGGTACTTTTTTTCGGAAAGGTTTGGCGCTACAACGACTGTTACGTCTCAACCTGGACCTCCCACTGTGACCTGTGATCAGACCCTGTGAGCTACGTGGATATACTTAGTTTTTGGTGCAGTACGTCGGAGGTTCAGAGTCTGAAGACACCACGCTTTGTGTCAAGCGAGGACTTCGCTTCTTCTAGTTCAGCTGACCTGTGAAGTGCTTTGGGAAGGTCCGTTCTATCTTTATCGCCTCCACACCATGGTAACCACGGTCAAGTTCTCCCAGTTTGCTTCTGTGGATAGGGCACTTGCTCCGCCCGGCAATCCTCGGCATGTGCATTCTGTTGTCTTCGAATTTTCCATGATACCTGGCCCAGAAAGGATCCCCGGCTCAAAAGCCCAGCCGCTTTACACAAAATTCTACTGATTCGGGAAAGTGGGAATGCGCAGAAAATTATCTATATCGACGTGATACAACACTACCGTCACCCACCATGTCACCCTCAAGAACCTGATGGGCCTGTAGTACTTATCGATGCTAACGAATGGCAGACCTAACACACACTGGACGAAACTAAGCGGCCGCCGGCGCAGCATGCGATGTGTAATGGTAACGTAGCAGCTCGTTCTCGTGACGTTCGGTGGCCTTGGTCTTCTTGCCGCTCGTGTGAAATTAGCAGAGAACAATCCACGGATTGTTGACAGTTGCATATGTAAGTGGCCCGTCTGATCCAGTGCACCCGACACTTTCCGCACACCTCACCCAGGGGCCAATGAGCATACCCAGCACTTCTACAGCGAATCGTGTGCACTTTGACGCAGCGTATGATACGGGGCCCCAAACTTGCCCAGTTGAAGAATGTTTACCCAACTGATCATACCATATCGCCGGCCAATCGCAGCTTCTGCTTCCCACTGGCCACGTTCTGGAACCGAAGTCGACCCTACTCTGAAACCGAAGTACATACTGTGTTGGCCGTTATATTGCAGTCACTCCTCATGTCTTGCTTTGGTTGACCAATGTTGTTCAGATCATTCACCCTGTTAATATGCTCGTCACTCTTTTGTGCATACTCTGTCTTTTGTGCTCCACATCCTGTCAATGACGCCGTTGTCCCTGCTGTTCTCAGCTCTGTGCTTGAAGTAGGCGCCTTGGCCGTCGCCAATAACTGCCAACGTAGCTGCTTCCCCGCCTTAAACTTTACCATGCCTACAGAAGTTCCCAGTTCCCTCGATGAGTGGTGGTGTCCAATGGATTGCGAGCATGCGTTCCTTGGTTTCAGTTACGAGGTGACTGGCTGTGTGTTGTCCTCTCTGTGATATGTGAATAAAACAAACTCGGCTGACGTCTTTGTAGGTCAAAGTCTCAGCCAACTAAACGCAGACTTTGCTAATATGAGGAAAACCTTCAATGCGAGATATGTACGGTTGTACGGTGCCTGTGATCAGTCCGGCTTCTAGTAAATGCGCAGCTGGTCTCCAATGCTTTCAATTAACGTTTTTGTCAGCGACAACGTCATCGAAGCCGCCTGGCAGAATACCCTAGGCGTGCATGCCTTGATTTGGGTGAGGAGGCCTTCATTTGAGATATTTGAGATGTCGTCTTTATTAACCGTCATAAGTTCGGTTTCACCGGAGGAAACGCCTGGGAGACGCGGAGAGACACTCTCTTCGACACACTACATACAAACGCCAAAGCCCCCTTCGTTACCAGGGGCGTCCAGTTTGGCTCGGAACCCTTGTACGACGACGTCTTGTCCCACCAATCACTCACCGAACAAGTCGTACTCGCCAAAACTAACCTCTCGGACGTCCGCATTCCAGTGACTGTGAGCGAACTGGCTTACGGGTACCAGGAGCGCGGAGCACTGGACGTGCTTGACCGGATTGATTTTATCAATGCACATATGCTTCCCTTTTTCTCTTCGAATGCGACTACGGGCGGTGCGGCATGGCCCCTCGTTCAGCAAGACATGGATTGGTTTATCCAGAATGGAAATGCCAAAAAGATTTACTTCGACGAGGTATGTGCCGTTGTTTCGACCCTTGCGCGAGTAAAGTCGGTACAGGGGGAGGTCATGGATGTTCTAAGAGTTCATATGTCTCACTGCCTTTTTCTCACCTCAGAACGGGTGGCCCTCGTCGACGTCTCCTGGCGTGCAGCCCAACACCCCTAATGCCGTGGCGAGCGTTAGCAGCGAAGAGGTAAGTGCGTCTGATGACTTGTGCAGTGGCATTTTACCCTTGGTTGTATAGGGGTACTTCCAGATGCTCGACAGCCAATGTGAGGCACTGAAAAAAGGGCCCTGTGGTGGGATTGGATGGTTCGCACACATCTACTCTGACAAGCAGGAAGTTGGGTATGGGATTTACAATACAAAAGGACAGTCGAAGTTCCCTTTCCAGCCGCGTACGTCATGTTGAGGCGCCCGTGCGAGTTGCATGTTCATATCTTTGTATATCGGGTCAATATGGGGTTCGAGGAAGTATATCACGGAACAAGTATCGGATAAAGACAAGGTAAAAGCACAAGGCTTTAGGGAAGTTACATCGCCTTCAATACACCCAGGGCACAATCTTGTAAGGTACCCTCTTCACCCAGTCTTTCCATTCATTCCCAAAATGCTTTTCAAGCATTGCGTCCTCCTCATTCATACGGCGGCGCAGATACACTGCCAGTGTGGAGCACAAGACGATCCTAATGCCCCACGCCACACTTTTCCGCACGTACTCGTTACGAGGGAAGAGTCCTGAACAAGCCACCAGCCACGAACTTTCATCGAGCATACACAGGTATTGTCCCGATACAAACACCATAGCACCCGTATAACTAGGATGTCGGACGAAGCCGTATGGACCTGATGTGATCAATTTGTGTTCATTGCGGATGCTCAGTTCGTAGGTGAAGAGACGACCGAGTATTTTAAAACAGGCGAGCCGGAGGAGAGAACCAGCAATTATCATGCAACCTCCAACAAAGAAGATTGGTGTCAGAGTACTGGCGCGTGCGACGGCGTCAGCTGGCTGTTGGCTGTAGACAAGGAGGCTGATAATACGCTTGGACAGATTGGGAGGGCAAATGTCGGTAGCTGCGAATGACACGGCAATTTCCGCCAGTGTCCACGCCGCTATCATCACCTATTAGAAACAAGCTGCTGAGCGGGAGGGGCACAAGATACGATATAGATAGGTTTTGCGATGAAACTCACCTGACCGGACGAAGCTGATGTCCTCGGAAACCTGGTAGTAAATGACTCTGGGGGTTTGAGAAGCTCCTTTGGCGCTGGTGGTGGCTGAGGCGGGCTTAATGAGTAGTCAAGGATGGACCCGACCAGAGCCACGAAAACCATTTTCCAGATGGGCGAGTTCATTGTGGTTGATGAAGGAACACTGTCAAAGTCACACAGTATACGTGGCTATCATGGGCCATGCCGTTGTTAGGGTCCGGCCGAATGATGATAGACCCAAATTGGGGGTTCTTGGCAAGCTCAAGGTTAGTGTTAGAAGTGATCCATTGGCGCAAGTGTAGCTGGTCACGATCACAGGTAAAAACTGCAGTAGTATGTACCTGCGCCAGAAGACCCCCGCGAAACGAATGGCCCTCTCACTGTTCGCCCCGATGAATTCCTCTCCCATCGCTCTGCGTCCCTTTGATATACTTTCAGCTCTTGTCTAATATATTTGTGGCTTGATCAGTTTGAATTTGAGTTTATTTGGTCATCCGTTATGATCTTAGGGCACGTGACTGGCTTTTGAACTCATTTCGCACTGGCTTACGCAGGGTCTACATAATAACTAGAGCGTTCTCAGACTCCAAATCCAAGCTCACGCCCCTGCATACCTCGAATGCCTTGTTTTTGGCTGGTACAAGTCGTTGATCTTGTATTCAAAGATAAACACCGCTGGACTCATAAGTTATACATAGGTAAGCGTGCACTCAATATCTGACAAGAACAAGACGCGCTGAGCACTGCCTCTCGTGAGAGCGACTCCGTTACTTAGGTTTAAAAATAGCGACGGGGCCTCCAATCGTCTGCGGAGCGCAGTTTGGTTGCCAAGCGTGCTTTGCGCGCTCTCGTGTCACTAAATGTAATGATGCCTGAAAGTTTGCGGTCAGTACGAACACCTAGAGCCTTTCAGATCGGCGTGCGTTGGCAAAGTCCCGCCTGTGTTCGTTCCACATGTCGTGTAGATGGCCGAGAAATCTTCCACTTCTCCATGCATTTCGGTAATCAGCCGTACCACCGCATCGCCGTAAATGAGGGTTCCCAAACTTGTGTAGCCACGCTGTCACTCTCAATCTCTCCCCCGATTTTGTGATTGAGACAAGTCGGTTGATCTCGGATGCAAAGATAAACACCACTGGGCTTGTAAGTCATCATGCATGCATACATACATACTCAACATTTGATGGCAAGATCCATAGCTAAGCACTGCCTGCCAGGACGACTGACCGATTGCGTTACATACATAGGTTTAAAAATAGCAGTGGAGGCTACACTGGTCTACGGGGTCGCAGCGTGGTATGTGCACTTTACGCGGTTCGCTTTCACTAAATGTGATGATTTCTAACGGCTTGTGGTTACCAAGAATGCAAACACTTGTCATAGAGCCTTCGCATCGCCGTCCCAAAGACAGCGCGGCCCATGCCACACGGCCTGTAAATGACCGAGAAATCTTCCCCTTCACCCCTGCGTTTCGGTAATCAGTGCGGTGGCTGAAGTGCTGATAACCGAAAGGCATGCTAGTGGACGGGGGAAAAGCATCACCATGAATGAGGCTTCCTCAACTGTCTACCCTGTCACTCTCAATGGTGCCTGGTTTTGTGATATTAGCCGTAAGATCAGAGAATTGTGCATGCTCGTGACCTTCCTCATCCAAATTTCACAATTTCAACTACAGTAATCGACCAGTGTCTTCCTATTCTAGTTTTTCAGCCGGTACTATTTCAGGCCCATCCATCCCGTCGGGAACAGCTTGACATGGTTAGCGCCAGTGAACGCCTCCCTCGGACGGCAGTGGGGCCCCATCACTCATACTTAGTACTACTGCGGCCCAGCGCACAGGAGGGTCCCCACTGATTTCTCTTTCACAAGAGGGACTCCTTACTCATGACACACCGGCTTCGTTTCAGATCTGATATGTGCATATGGTTCGCTCAAGCGAGTGAACAGCAATGACCACACACGCGAACGTGACCTTCATTCTGGACGTAGCCACACTGAATCTCCCGCGGCCATTTGTGCCCGTCCGTTCCTGTGATCTTGATTCAGAAGGTGCCACGGTAGAAAAATTGAGAACTTCCATGCGGAGGTTGCTATGGTATGTCATGTGTGCATGTATACTTACCGTACCCAAGGACCTATTGGCACGCGGGTACTAATGGCGCTTCCGCAATTGTTGCCGATTGCCCGTAGCGTCATAGTCACACACAACCGACTGATTGTGCACACTGCAGATTCGACCTGCCGTTGATATTTAAAAGAGAATGCAATGCTCTGCTTTCTCCAAAGCAAAAACCCCTTCTCCTGCCTCCTACATCTAGGATACTCTTTCCATTCGATACTACGCTGACCTTGGGACGTATTCCGAGATGCATTTCGTGAAGACTCTGCTTTACCTTGCTACCCTCCTCGGGTTTGTCATGGCCCAGACGATGCAGTTCCTGTCGCCAACTGCTGGTTCCACTTTGACCCCAGGCCAGAACTTCACTATCGAACTAAAAGTGGCGGTACGTATTATGTATGTCCCAGTTCCTCCCGTCGGTGCTGACCGTTGTCGATTGGCACACATGACAACAGGACTCTCTTACGAACTTCGACATCGGTGCCGTCGTGATCGGTCTACAGTCTTGCTCCTCGACGTGCGCCCCCCCTAGTGAAGTTATGGGCACCATCCTGTATCAGGGTTCGTTCCCGTCTGGACAGTTGACCGCCAACTTCTCCGTGATGGTGCCAAGTTCGTTCTCGAGCGGGACTGCGCTAATTGGTGCGATTAACTTGTATATGGTTGGGGTAAGTTTGTTTCTGTGACAATTTTTGGATCCCGTTATGTAGTGTGATTTTTTTAACTTACGTGTGTGTGCTCTGTTACAGTTGGCGTTGCAGCCGTCATTCCAATTCTTCAACCAGACCGTGACCATCTCTTAGGGGGGCCTAACTTGTTCCTTAGCGGATACGGCGAGCGGAGAGAGAGGGATTATACTCATGCTCACATGGAGTTCTTTCCACGAACTTGTCTTCGCTACGAACTCATCCTGGACATTAGTAATGGACGTTAGTGTTTTTATATATGTTGTAAATAAATGTGCCAAGCGTCCGTGAGGTGAAAAATGTTACAGAAGTTGTGGAGGTAGTAGTACCAACAGCGACTGTCTACAAACTAAAACAGAAGTCCAAGGGAAACGGCACATACTTATCTATGTTAGTATCAAGCATCGAAGTACGCAATGTATTCGACGCTGTACATTGCGGCCCGAAGGTCAAGGTCGGCATGCATATATTGGAAACTGGGTGCCCGATATGTCCACTGGCATTCGCACTTATGTAGACCGAAAGAGTGTGGATGCATTGATTGAAATGGAGAAGGGAGCGAATGTTGTCTGTAACTATCCTAGCAGCTCATCCGCAGCCACCTGAAGTAGACCCCCTCCCCCCAGGACTAGCAACCCTGCAGCCTCCAAGAGTGCCTAATCCCGCGTCTAGTTCATTATTAACCGACGTCGTCATTGATGGATGGCTTTGGCCAACGCGTTGTTCCGAAGGCGCTGAAAGCAACTAGTAAGTGGTCCCCGCGATGCCGGCTGTACGAGACCTGTTCGTTCGGAGTGGAGACCAGTGTCGCACTTGCATGCGGTCCTTATGTAAGATCAAAGACTGTGCACGAGGCTCGTAAGTACTGTCCATGCTCTTCCAAAGTTTACAATCCCGGGTGCAGTTTAGCCACAGGCCAGTGTCCTCCGACTGCTATTTTAACCTACTAGCTTTGAACATTTACTGTTTCAGGGCCCATCATCCCGTCAGAAACAGCCTCATATGGTTAACATGAACGCCTCACCACCCAGAACTAAATACTGCGGCCCTGCGCACTGGTTACTACCAGGGGATGTTCTCACCGACTACTATTTCACAATAGGAATAGGGACTCCTTACTCATGACGCATTGGCTTACTACTAGTCGGGCTGATGACTGCACACGCGAACGTGACCTCCGGATCCATTTTTGGCGCAATAGCCATCATATGTATTTTCCTGCCCCGGCCATCGTTAGCCGTGCGTCCCTGCGATCTCGATCCAGAAGGTGTTCGTATGTACGGTGGAAACAAAAAATGAAAACTTTCATGCGGAGGTTGCTACTATGGTATGTCGGGTGTAACGCACAAACATATGCATTTACCATTATAACCAAGGACCTATTGCCAGCGAAGCGGAAGAACTCAGCCGATGACGGTTCCTTCCTCCGATTTGTTGCCGATTGCCACCAGCAAATCAGTCACGGTCATATGGTATACAACCGGAGACCTGGCTGTGCACACTGCATACCTGCCCTATGATATTTAAAAGAGAGAGTGCAACATGCTCCACTTTCTCTAAAGCATAAGGAAAAACGTCTCTCCACTTCCCCCTTCTCCATCTTACGTCTAGCAGACTCATTTCCTTCCACACGCTGATAATCAGACACATTCCGAGATGCATTTTGTGAAGACTCTGCTTTGCCTTGCTACCTTCCTCGGGTTCGTCATGGCCCAGTCGATGCAAATCGTGTCACCTCCACCCGGGACTTCTCTGACCCCAGGCAAGAACGTCACTGTCGAACTACAGGCGGCGGTACGTGCTATATATATATCATAGTCCCGGTTCGCGATGCTAACCGTCGTTATCAATCGGCACAACAACAACAGGACTCTACCTCGAACATCGACTTCGTCGCCGTCGTGATCGGGCTGCAGTCCTGCTCCTCGACGGGGTGCTACCCCCCTAACGTAGCTTTGGGTACCATCCTATACCAGGGTCCGTTCACTCCTCCGGCTGGACAATTGACCGCCAACATTTCCGTGATGGTGCCGAGTTCGTTCGCGAGTGGGACTGCGCAACTGGGTGTGATTAACTTCTATCTGATTGGGGTGAGTTTTTCTTTGTGTTGCAATTTTGGGTGATGTGATTTTTGACTTGTGTGTGTGCTTTGTTACAGGCGGAGTTCGAGACAGGACTTCAATACACGAACGAGACCGTGACCGTCTCTTAGGGGGCCCAAGTACTAGCCATGGCGAGTGGAGAGGATGGGACACTTGCATTCGCACGGACTGTTGATATATATATATTTGCAAGCTTGTTTCGCTACTACGAATTCAACCTGGACATATTGGACATTATCGACATATTCTATAAGTATGGTGTATCTAAATGTGTCAAGCGTCCCTGAGGCAAAGGATGTACAAAAGTGTTGGTGGTGGTGGTAGCAACAAACGCGACCTTGTCCGCAGACTAGACGGCAACCGTCCTAAAAGTATGTCAGCAAAGTATGTATGTACTCAACGCTGTACATTATGGCCTGAAGATCAAAGATCGACATGCATCGGCAGGTATGGAAAACTGGGTGCCCAATATGTCCACTGGTAATGCATTGATGAAATAGAGGGAGCGAGCATGCCAAAGATGGTGGTGATAACTGTCTAGCAGTTCATCAGGTAGTTTTTACCGCAAAGAGAGACTTCCTAGGACTGCAATCCTGCTGCCTTCATGAGTTTCTCGAGTGACTCGTCTTCGTCCTTGACCGACGACGTCATCGATGGATTCGACTGATGCTGTTGTTCCGAAGGCGCAGAAGCAGTAGGCGGCCCCATAACGTCATTCACTATGCTGCCTAGTTCAATTTCTTGACTGCTCGAGAGCGGATCGATGAGTCTGCTCCGCTCATTTGGGGGTGGCCACACGTCTTCCCGGAACATAGAGCCAGATTCTGATCTGCGTGACTGGTGAAGCGTCAGTGTGGAGGGTCCAGAGACCAATCCGACTCCGGACATGCCCATCCCTGAACTGCCAGACCTGAGACTAGGGAAAGGACTGGGATGAGGACCTAATCCTGGGCTTCCAGGTGGAACGAACGAGTGCATGCTCAAGCTTCCACGTGGACTGCCTACGTCCCACGGAGTTTCGTAATTCCGATATCTGGAAGGCGGTGGGTGGGGGTCGTCGTCCCAGTCTTCGCCTGCAAGCAACATTGCCCGCTTTTGGGCCTGAGTCCGGGAGTTCATGATAGCGTCGAGAATGCGTAGACGCTTGAAATGTTTCCGTCGCAGGAAGAAGATGACGGATACGATGATAATGAGGAGGACGGCACCGCCTGCTGCAGAGCCACCGATGATGGCGGCACGTTGGTCCGAGTTTGATGATGATTGGGAGGGGATCACGCTTGCGATGAGACTCTGTGTCTGGGAGTGTGGTTGAGTAGTGGGTACGGTGCATATAGGAACATATATGCGCACGACGTACAGTATAGGTTGAGCCACCTATGACGGTGACAAAGGACGACGTGATGGTGGTCGGAATGCCAGGAGGCGTAGTGGAAGCAAAAGATTGTGGGTCAGTGGATGAAGTGCTCGAAGGGACGGGAGGTGTGGACGAGGATGTAGGGGTGCTCGACGGGGTGGTAGGTGTTGGTGAACTCGAAGTCGAAGTAGTGGTATGTGCTGTCGTGGTTGGTTGTTCACTGGATGGCTGTTAGTGTCTGCGAAAAACGACAACTCGGGACTTGCCTGGTAGTGGGTGAGTCGGCAGAGGTCGTCACCGGGACGGACACGGATGTCGGTAGAAAGCTGGTTGACGGTGTCGCTATTGTGGAAGGCAGGGCTGAAGTGACCGCAGATACTATGCTGGTGGGTCCATCGGTCAGTATGGCCGTGTCCGTTACAGACTACCAGACGTGGACCGATCAGTCCGGCGACTCCAAAAAGACAAATACAACTGACCAGTGGGATACTGACTTGACGGATACGCGTCATGCAGGGTGTCGGTCGTCGTTGTCGCTGTTCACCGCGATGGCCCCGCCGTGGGAGTTGCACGGTCGTCAAAACATCCGCGAGCGTGATTGGTGGGCTGGCGACACGTCAAAGTTCACAGGGGCACGTTCAAATCGGAGGACACTCATTGGACACCCGAATTCTTTTGAATGAGTCCGCAACCGAGCGATCTGAGCGATGCGGATTTACTAGCCTACCAATGGTATCATTTCTCAAACGAATAGAATAGTTTAATTACAAAAAGGAAAAATATTGGATCAATTCGCAACATGCTGATGCAGTGGTTGCTCGTAGACAAATTCGAATAAATTCTGGAGTAGGCCTTTCGTGTAGGCATCAGCGAAGTGTGGGTCCGTTGTGAGGGCCATCCGGATGTCGCTCACTATGGCGTTGGGAGCTGCTGCATTACCGTCTTGATGAATGGTATTCCGTTTGTCAGCAAGGAATTTGAGCGCATCCTCTGACAAAGGGTACTCCGGGCGTTTGCGCCGCAGCTCCTTGCAAATGTTGTGAAGGACCACCTGTGGCATATTTCGCTTCAAAACCTTGTGGGTGAGTTCCTTGACTTTTTTTTTTTGCGAACTCCAGCAGCTTGCGCCGCTGCACCGGCATTAGAGACGACGTAACCTGAGATATGTCAACCACCAAACATGGCTCATGCGAGAGAAGGATTACTTACTAGTTTGAGGTCTCGAACCTCGTCCTGCAGGCTTGTAATTTTGCGACCAGAAGCAGAAAGCTCTGCGCAGAGCCTGATGTTTTCGTGATCTAAACGAGCAGCCTTGCGCTCGAGGTCACTGATCTTTCGATCCGAACGATCAACCTTGCTCTTGAGCTCGCTGATCTTTCGATCCGAACGATCAACCTTGCTCTTGAGCTTGCTGATCTTTCGATCCGAACGAGTTCTGAAGTCGTCGAATTGGTTCTGTAATGACCGAAGTGCTCCTGGAATGCCCCTGTCAATTCAAACCAGGTGAGGGCAATAAGTAACGACTCACGCGCATTGGAATCCTCCTGAAGTTTCCCCATGTTTTCGTTGCGTGGTTCCGTCACAACGTATAATGCTGGCTGACTTTTATCTGGATCTGTGACTGGGCCGCAGTCACAGTAAGCCAACCCCTTTACCACACTATTTGTCAAAACTTACCAACAAATGATCCTGACACATTCATCATATCTCCTGTCCAATCCACATCTGGTTCATATGCTTCGTTAATCATCGACGCAGCGGCGTTGACGGCGCCATCAGCGAGGACAGTAATATCCCGCAAGGGTGTGGAAGGTTCGAGCATTTCGCTTCGTCGAAGTCGCGGAATAAGGATATGTCGTCGTATTGGCGGCATTTCTTGGGAATAAAGGAAAATGTAGGAGATAGGTGTAGGGTATAGGCGGCGGGGAGAAGGGTGAGGAGAAGAAGAGAGGCAGGTCGTACCAACAGACAGGGGTGGCTGACACGAGTCACGTGCCCCACAAATCAGAGCAAAAGAAAGGAGAATTACGACAAAAAGCAAGTGGGTTTAGTCACGTGGGTCTCGTTGGAGGTTATCGCTCAGGAAGCACTGGCCAGAAGATCTCTGCTTGAGGGAGGCTCAGGGAATACACATGACATGCTAAAACTTAAACCCCATATCGACCAGCTCATCAGCCGCCGCTAAAGTGTTGCAGGAGAACTGATGTGCCACTTCGCAGAGGCTACATCCCGTCGGCATACGGTGCGATCCCTGTGGAAGTGTTTTGTGGCAATTCTGCGGAGGCAGCTCCATCGCCAACAATTAATTGCTCCAGATGGACATTTTTTCTGTCATCGCATCATGTTCATGCCAACTCGGTTTCTTGTGAGGGAACTCACCCTGTCACAACCGATCAATATATAGTTTCCGCCATTTTGAGGATGCAGAAGAAGTCAAGAGATTACATACGTTCTTTCCGTGATGATGAACTGGAATTGTGCTGAGTGCTCAGCGACAACCCCACCTCATTACCCAAGGTACGATCAAAACCTCGGATGCATGCATTTAAATGCTGTATTTCGTCGTGTGTTACTAGTACCTCATCGTCACTTTCCAAAAATAAATTTCAGAATGGCTTCCGACAACAACAGGACCATAATCGATCAACGATACCTTGACTCGCTGCCCCCTGTCCCAACTCCTCCACCTTTTTCGTAGTCGCCTCAGCGACTCCCGGGGACCAGGGTTGACGGTGTCGCTATTGTGGAAGGCAGGGCTGAGGTGGCTGCAGATATGTATGGCCACGTCCGTTACAGACTACCAGACGTGGACCGATCAGTCCGGCGACTCCAAAAAGACAAATACAACTGACCATTGGGATACTGACTTGACGGAGACGTGTCATGCAGGGTGTCGGTCGTCATTGTCGCTGTTCACCGCGATGGCCCCGCCGTGGGAGTTGCACGGTCGTAAAAACATCCGCGAGCGTGATTGGTGGACTGGCGACACGTCGAGTTCACGTTCAAATCGGAGGACACTCATTGGACATGCGAAATCTTTTTGAATGAGTCCGCAGCCAGTCTGTGGCGTTCGTGGCTGCATGACCCGCCAAAAACTATGTAGCTACTAGTTTTACCGTCACCTGTCTGTCCCCGTCGCGACGTGTTCGTTGGCAGGCGATGGCTTCGATGGTGTCGCGGAGACTGTCCGGTGCCCTCTCCAAGTCATCCCAGCGAGAGCACTCGTGCCTCTCCTCCGTCCCACAGCTGCCTTCCTCCCCCTCACGGCCCCGTCGTCGTCGACAGAGCTGGCCATGGCCATGGCACGCGTTCACCCTCCACCGTTTGTTGTCCTGCCTGGCCATGGCACTCGTCATCGTCCTCTTGATCGTCCTGTGCCAGGGCGTCCCTCCAACCTACGACCACGTCAGGTCGTTCGAACGGAACCTCTCACAACACTCTGTCACTGTAGACAGGACCCACCCTCGTTACCTCCGTTTCCCTGGTCACCTATGGGGACACGGCCTCAACAACGTGCTGCAAGAAGCGTGCGTATCAACTTTCCCTTCCCCCTCCGCCCTCCGTTGTTCGCCGTTTTGGTACGCTGACCGCGCAGCATATATCTCCGTGTTCTGTCGTATCATAGACTCTTGATGTCGTACCTCGCATACGTCTCCAACGTTTCATTCGTTTTCGAAGATTACACCTGGTCACATACCCCATTACCCTGGACCATACACGGCTTCGCCTTGCGCCCAGCGCGTATACCCCTTAATGCCATTATATCCGGTCCGACAGCTGGTGGACCGATGTCCCATGATTCACAAGCCCCACTCGCAGTCAGTGCTGATTTCTATGAGCGTACATGCGGCGGTCAAGAAGCCAAACCATATGTGCTCAGTTCTGCCTCTGCCCCAAATGACGAAGACGGCACCACCATCATCGAGTGGTGGACACAACAGCTTGTGTCTGTACAGGAGCGATGCATAGAAATAGACTCTACACCACACGACCTGTTTGATAGATTGTGAGTACACCCTCATATGCGGCGATAACAGACACTCACCAGCAACACCCACGGTCGAAAAGCCTTTTCGGCGGACCTAGAATTTTAACCCTCTGGGAATCACTCACATCTTCACCGGTTCTTTCTGAATTCGCTTGGTCCCCGATCGTCCAGTCCGCCGTAGCACGCAACTCTGCGCTCCTTCAATCTGACACCATCAAAAATACCTATGGCCCTTCATCATCTTTTCAGGGTCTTGTCGCAGTCCACCTGCGTCGCGGCGATTATAAACGTCACTGCCCTAACCTGGCTAAGTGGGGAGCCAGATACATGGGATTTAATCAACATCCCTCCTTACTCGACCGCTTCGACCCCTCTCCATACGAAAATGACAGCGCGTCGAAGGAAGGGTATTACCTTGCACACTGTCTACCTACAACAAACCAGATCGTCTCCGTGTTGAGGACCGTGAGGCGAGAGTACCAGTTCCCAAAGCGCGCGAACGCTGAATCGGGTGTATATCCTATCGAACGAACGGGCATGGGCACTTGAAGAGGTCAAGCGCGGACTGAAAGACGATGGATGGGAGGACGTCGTGAGCACCTTGGACTTGGATTTAGATGCGGAACAATACCACGTGTCCATGGCGGTAGACATGGCCATCGCCGAAAGGGCTGAAGTATTCATCGGTAACGGGGTAAGTGTTTTCCATTCTGTTACTGCCGTAGCAACAGGTAGTAATAAGCTGTTCAAGTTTTCGAGTCTGTCCTCCAACGTGGTACTGCTGAGAATGGCCAAAGGGATGGACGTTACGAGTAATCGGTTCTTGTAACCTTCGCAAAACTTGACTCTGTCGTTACAGCGCCAAAGGATTTCATTGTAGATTGTTGACAGTTGATGATGGCCTTTTATATTGTAGGGATGATATGCCACTTGACCGGACTGATAAGATAAAATTGGATGTGTTGTGCCGAAATGAGAACAGGATCAACTTACAGGGCCACACCTCAGGTTTAGTGATCGAGATTACACAATAATGCCCAGAAAGCATTTTCCGATCGTGGAGAGATTCACTCATACCTTCACGTAACGCCCGCTGGAACGAACAATTGCCTCCACGGACGGACTCCAATGTGAGTGGGGAACAACAGTCCAGAACATATCTCATACATACAAAAACGTGCTCGTTGTAATAGTACACTTGGGTCAGTCGTTCACTTACTCAAAGAAACCACTCATGTGCCAAAAGAAGATTGTCTCCCCTTTCTTCGAATCCATGTATCGATCCGTCAGCACAGCCGCGCGAACGAACAGTGATCCATCCAGAAGTTCAGCATCTTCGAGCTCCGTATCCTTGTGATAGCCCGCCGGTTTGGCTCCGAGCAGAGTGCTATAGTGCGCGAACGCACGTTGGATCTTGGGTAGGTGATCGTCGGGGTGGACGATGGTAGACTGAATGATCGGAAGGAAAGGGTTGGAGATTGGTTTTTTGTCGGCGGAGGCAGGTTCGGTAGGGGTCGATGTCATGAAAGACTTGATGTTGAGCGCGGGCCGGCCCCGCGCGAACCCACCACGTCAGAATCGTCTGTAGGTACTGCTCGCAAGCAGTAATTCCTGGGAGCGAGGAGACAAGTCCGCAATCACGGAAGGCAGAAACAAGCTCGATGTCACAACGTGCATCCTTGCAAAAAAAATTGTCAGTCCCGCGACATGCCACTCCTAAGGGAATTTGAATCTCACAAGAAGAATTCTGCTGCAAACCCTTTCCCCTCATCATATCCACCAACAGCGTAAATTACCGAAGCGGTCCAAATCAACTCCTCCATCTTCCTCTCGATCTCCCCTGGCTTCGAGGTGTCGATGGTCCACTGGGCTGCATACTGACGGATGCGGGCCACATGTGAGCGAATGACCACCTGCGCACTGCTCGGCACACCGTCCACTTTGAGGCGATCGTCTTTCAACATGCGAGCAATCACGTCGAAGGCGTGAGTGCTCCCCGCCTTGCCGAGAGATTTTACCATCCAATTTGAGGGAAGACAAGAGCTGCGTCGTTTCCTCTAGGTTACCCTGCTCCCCAGAGAAGAAGGAAGGGGGATAGAAACCCTTCGCATCTGGGTCCTCGACTGCACACAGTGCCAAACCTATAAATCTAGTTTCGGTGTTGGCTCACCCACGGTTACATAACGCGCACCTTCGACGATCATACCCTTCAAACCAAATTCCAGTCCGTAACCGACATGGATCATCGAGTGCATGACACCAGAGGTAAGACGAGCTAATAACTCAGGATGGTTGGATGCTCCCTCTTGGTATTGGAACTTGTCCGAGAAGACATACTCCTCCAAGACTTGGGGAGCGCCCTTGGCGTCGATCTCCTCGCTGAAGAAAGCAGCGTATCCTTTGTAGTACCTAGAGCAGTAAGTAGCACCATTGGCGAACCTAAGGTTCCAGAGAAAGGATGAGGGAACCTACTTTTCGTCTCCCAGATGATCGACAAAGTTAGCTGAAGTTATAGCTTCGGGAGTCTCTATCGCGGGGCGTTGTTTCTTACAGTCTAGGTCGTAAAACTTCCTAATCGATGTGCCACTCGCACCAAGAGCGTACAATGCCAATGCTCTGTGATTAATATGGCTGTTCAAATAATTTAGCGATGTGCGTATAATCATAGTTCCTGATAGTTACGAACTTGTGGAATTTACGATAATTGAAGAAAATGTGCCATCGCTTGTGATTGTCCTTCAAAACATCCTGTAGCGCAGCAACAGATTCGACGCTAGTCCCCGGGAATCGCTGAGGAGACAACGAAGAAGGTGGAAGAGTTCGGAACGGGGAACAGCGAGTCTAGGTATCGTTCGTCGATTACGATCTTGTTGTCGTCGGAAACCATTCTGAAATTTGTTTTCGGAAAGTGATGACGACGAGTTAGTAACACACGACGAAGTACAGTATTTATAGATGGATGCATACGAAGTTTTTGATCGTACCTCTATAGGTCACGGGGGAGGCGGGGTTGTCGCTTGGCTACTCAGCACAATTTCATTTCATCACCAGGGAAAGGACGTATGTCATCACTCGGCTTCTTCTTCATCCTCGAACGGCGGAAACTATATTAGTGGCGTTTAGTAAGGTTTACCGCAGTCAGGGGGGAACCATGGCCACTGGTGGGGGCGTGGCCGGCTGAGGTGATCTTTTTATTTAGGCTGACACATCAAAAAGCGTAACACGGGTCGCTGAGGCGCAACGAACGCAGATGGCATCAGGCTCGAAGGGCAACGGATGACGCATGCGCTGAGTAAGAGCTTACAAGACCTAGATTTTCTGGAAATCAGAAAGCTCTTTGGAAAGTTTCTAAGGTCATTGAACTATACCTTCGTCAGGACCTATCTGACCTGAACGGTTGTAGACTCGCCGAAGTACTCAAAAGAGAGAGATAAAGAGAGCGAATGACCGGGTGCCAGGTGGACATGACGATCACGTGCCAAGATGCTGGCTGTGCCACTGATTGGTAACTACTATTGACATCACACACTTTTGAGTCAGAGTGGACCCATTTCTTCAAGAATTACATCGAATCGTCCGCGGATGTCCTTCACTGGAATGGTGGAATCTAGCAACGTACTTGATTTAAGATTGCCTCACACAGAAATACCAAAAATACACGCGGATTTAAACCACTAACACTCCCGAGTGTTTGCCTCCCCCATGTAATTTGCTGTTAGCAAGGCTGTCCGAACGAACAGCGAACCATCAATGATTTCAGCACCTTCGAGCTCTGTACTTTTGTGGTAGCGGGCTGGCCTGTTGCCATAGGGGGTGCTGAAATGCGCGGAAGAACGTTGAATCTTGGGTAAGTGGTCGTTGGGATGGAGGATGGATGATTGAATGATGGGTAACAAGGGATTGGAATGCTCCTTCTGGGAGACAGAGCCGTCGCTTCCCTCGGACTGTAGAACGGTAAAGTGAGTGGATGTGGGTACCAATGAAGGATTTTGATTTTCAGGGCTGGGCTACCACGCGCTACCCACCATGTCAACACTGTCACTAGGTACGCACGCAGGAGCAGCGCCTGGGAGCTCGGCGTCAAGGGTCCGATCAGCGAGAGCGAGAACAGGCCTGAAGTGACCATATGCGTCCTGACCACAAGTCAGCTAACGGAAAGATATAATGGAGATTAATTCTTGCAGGAAAAGTTCGCCAGTGAATCTCTTCGCCTCGTCGATACCTCCAATGGCGTACAGGGCGGAGGTCAACTACATTAACTCCTCCACTTTTCTCTCGATTTCTCCATTCTTCGTCATGTCAATAGTGCGTGTGGATACGCTCCGTGTGTTCGTCCACTGCCTGCTTGAACTCTTTCAGAGCCTGTATATTTTCAACTTTGAAATTGTCATCTCGGATCATGCCTGCAATAATATCGAAGACATGCATATCGACCTCAGTTGTCAGGTGCGTGTTTTCGATAAAGAACCACGTAGGATAGGAATCTTTTTCGTCTACGTCTTGAACCGCAGTCTCTTATCTACATTCGTGTCAGCGAACCTGCTCTCATGGTTCCCGCGCCACCATTCAAGAGCGTTATCGTTCAACCATTCGTTCACGGCCAAGAAGGTGACCTCGTCGAAATTGCCAAGAACATCACCGCAGAAGCCGAGTTGTGGATCACCGGAAATGACGATGCTGCCGGTATTGGTGCCCTGGGTGTTGCATCTTGCATCATCGCAGAATCCCCCGAATACAAGATCTATTCGGTATTGTTCGAGGATCATTCGCTGGACAACGACGCTCGCGGGAAGGCCGTGCACGACTCACGCCGCAACTCACTGCTGCTTGAGCAACACATGAAGATTACGAAGGACGGTGAAGTCTTCGTTCGCAGGCTCGTCCACGGCGGTGCGGAGGTGAAGGACGCCGTCATTCCTGCGGCTTCGATCACCGAATCTGGAGCGGTCTCTGCATATTTCCCGCCCGCGCTGGGGCCATCCGAAATCGAAATCGCTGTCGAAGCTCTTGGCACCGAGGTCAACGCCTCCCCGCAACCTGCCCTTACTGTTGTCGGTCGCATCAAATCCACAGGTATGAATGTTGCACGTGACGATCTTGATGGTCTTGTATGTCTCACTTGTCTTTACCTTGTTGGCCCGCTAATGCTAATGTGTGATGGAAGGTTGTTGCCATTGCCTCTCAGTCCCCTGCGGACGTTGTAGTCGTTCCCCAAGATGCAGTTGTCTCGTTACCGGTTGGTGTCGGCTCTACAGATGCTGCTTCCTTGACCGCCTCCTTCCTTGCATCCTGGATTGGTTTGGTGGTCCGCGGTTGTATCAAGTCAAGCTCAATCGTCCTTATCCACGACGCTACCTCAGGTAAGTAGAAATGAACGCCCTCGCCGCTTCACCGTCACCTAACAGTTTCAATTCAGCTGCTGGCTTTAGCGCTATCCAGGTTGCGAAGCGATTTGGCAGTCGAGTGTTATGTACTGTTGCAGACAGAGCTCAAGCCGTTGCGGTCTCGTCAAGCATAGAGGTGCCCATGTCAGATATTATTGCCATCGACAATTTTGCCACCGCCGTACTAGGTTGGCTTCGCTCAAACTCAATACGTGCATTCGATATTGTGCTCAACGCCGGTGGAAAGAGGGCGTTCGCGCACGGCACAGACCTCCTTTCTGTGTTTGGCTCGTACATTCACATTGAAGGAAACGAGTTGTCTCGGATTCCGTCGGGCTCCTATTCAACTCAGGTTTTGGACATCAATTGCGTCGCTGCCGCGTCACCCGTTCCACTTGCCCCGGATCTCGCTGCTCTTCTTGAAGCGCACACTTCTCAACCCTTCAAGTTCCGTTCGCACTTAGCATCGTTCTCTTCGTATTCGCCGTCCCAAGTCGCAGATGCGTATTCGCTCGTCGCCATCCCAGATTTACTGCGCTCGGTTCGTATCGACCCTGTTGGCCAGCTATTCGATCCCCGCAAGAGTTACATTCTCGTCGGAGGTTCCAGCGAGCTCGGCGTGCGCATCACTGAATGAATGGCGAATCACGGTGCTCGCCATGTCTTCTTCACAAGTCGCCGTGGCCCTCGCGGTCTCACGAAGGTTGATAACTTGTACATCCACTACCTCCGTTCAAAGGGCGTGCAGATCGAAGCTATCGCAGCTGATGCGGTCAGCAAGGACCAAACTGCTGCTGTCGTAGAACGAGCGAAGAAGGCTGGTCCTATCGGCGGCCTCTTCGTCATGACAGTTGTCCTGCGCGATGCAAAGTTCACAAACCTTACGCAGCAATCCTTTGACGACGTGTATGGGTCTAAGGTCGCTGTTCTTAATACCCTCATCACCTGCATCGATCCCACCACCATTGAATTTATGCTTCTTTTCTCTACTATTGGTTCTGTCTTTGGTGATGCCGGCCAAGCAGCATATTGCGCATCTCAACTGTAAGGAATTTTGTCAAATTGTTCTGAATCCTGACTACGTCATCCCAGCTACCTTGACCGCATATCTGATGATCTACCCAATACGATTTCGATGTCCTTCCCTCCCATCACGGACTCCGGTATCTTCAAGCGGCTTGTCCTTGCTGAAGGCTAACACGGCTCAGCTCACGAAGACTGGCATGACCACAGCGCAAGTCTGCAACTTCATTGGTGACTCTCTCGTTCGCCGTATTACACACTATGTCCCTATGCTTGCTATTAGCGATATTCCCGATACCTTCCCGTCATGCGGACCTTTGTTGTGCAGCCACCTTCTCCCTACGAAGTTTTTGGTGGCCAACAGTGCGGGAGGCAATGGCAGTGACGTGGTGGAGTCGCCAGCGACCCTGCTTGCTGCCCTTCTTAGCATGGACGTCGAGCAGATCATGGATAATGCCCTGATCACGAGTTTTGGCCTTGACTCCCTCGGAGGTGAGTAATCCTTGCAAATGCATTGATTAATATTTGATCACTGTTCCCAGCCACGCGCTACAGCAATCAGCTCCAGGCACGGCTTAACATCCAAGTCAGCCAGATCGAACTTTTGGGTTCGATGACGATTGCCATGTTGAACGAGTTGTGTGCCAAGGTTGGCGCACAAGATGGTGGAAGCGACACTGTTGCAGCGTCTGATGATGGGTCTGGAAAATATGGCGAACCTCTGGTGCCCGTCCTCAATGACCGACTCGCATATGACGAACCTTACACGACCGGTGCCTCACCCCACCAATACCGTATCTGGTTGGCTTAGGTTTGTATACGGGAATCTACATATGTTCTATGCTTATTTCCTTCTCGTCAGCGTGAATATGATAACGCTCGTAAGCGCGCGATTAACAAGATTGATGCCAACATGTCGTGCCATAGAGCTACCCAGTGGGATACTCATGAGGGTTACTTCGTCACTATTTCCACCGAGACACCATTGGATGTCGATCGCATGACGGAAGCTTTCGCTGAGGTCGTCCAGCGCCATGGCGCGCTTCGGACCACCTTCACCTGGAATGAGGAGCTCGGGAAGCTCGAACAAACAATTTACCCGTCCGTGGACTTCAAAGCAACCCTTGCGGATCTCTTCAGCGAACTTGATGATGCAGCTAAGGCCTACGAGATGAGTCTGGCGTTGAACAAACAGCCGAACTTCAAGCTCGACCGTCTTCCGCGCTTGATCGCCACCATGTTCGATCTCGGCGGCGGCGACTGGGCATTCAATGTAGTGATTCACCACATTATCATCGATGAAGCATCACTCGGCGTGTTCTTCTACGAGCTTTTTCAGATCTATTTGAACGGCCCAGAAAATTTACCCGAAGTTCCGATCCACTACTCCGATTTCAGCGATTGGCTCTTGAAGACCTCAGAACGCCGTACAGAGCTCCGTGAAGACCACCTGAAGTTTTGGGCGGAGAATTTGCAGGAGACGCAGCCGCTTCACTTGACCCTTGCTACGCCATCTGATCAGGAGCTGGCACCTGTCACCCAGATTGAGGCAAAGATTGGAGTTGGTGCTCTTGAGCACCACACTAAAGTAATCAACGCTACTACTGCAACACCCTTCGCAGGGTTCTTTGCTGCATACAACATCCTCCTCCACAAATACTCTGCCGGTCATTCGTCATTCGTCGTGGGCACCGCTGTCACGCAACGCATCTTCCCATGCTTATGAATGTCATCGGTTTCTTCGTTAACTTGCTTCCTATCAAAACCGTGATCGATGAGACCAAGACATTCGCAAAGTACCTCGGCGAGTTCAAGGGATGCGTTGATTGCTTCCCTCGCCCACGATGAAGTTACTTATGAAGATATTGTCACGGAGGGGAAGTCGTCCTCTACCGGTCGTGGGTACTTCAAGCATTTGTTTGCCCCCCGGAGGCATGAACATGGAGACCATTTCCCAACTGGAGTCGAACCATTTGACAACCAAGTCCACCGTCTCCTTACCCAATGGGGAGGAACAATACGAATTCCTACTTACTGTCCATCCCAGATCTGGTCACGTCATCCTTCGCTTCGACAACCACCTCTGCACCAAGGACGCGGCGCGCCAGTTCCTAGATGCCTATATCTCATTGGTAGAGACACTTGGCCGCGATCCCCATGTTACGGTCAGAGATATATCCGTTGTCACTGAGTCTGAACGTGAACGCCTAGTCAAGGAACTGTCCTCTTCTTCCGTGGTCGCAGTACGGGAAAGTTTACTTCATCGGCTGGTTGAGGAGCAGGCGAAGAAAACCCCACACCTCACTGCTGTCGAGTTTGAAGACGAGTCATTTACGTACAGCGAACTAAACTCTACTGCCAACAGAATCTCCCGGACACTCATCCAACAAGGCGTGCGCCATGGCGATGTCATTGCCCTGTGCTTTGATCGTGGTATCAGCCAGATCTTGAGTGTCCTGGCGGTCTTGAGGGCTGGCGCAACCTTCGTGCCTTTGGACCCTAACAACCCCACTCTGCGCAAGGAGTTAATGGTCGAAGAGTGTGGCGCAAAGGTGCTGCTCACGACTTCAAACCACTCTCGCGTCTTCCAGAAGAGCTTAGCTTCGAAAGTTCTGGTGAGTGGGGAGCCTATAGTTACCGCTAAGTTGCTAACCACCCCGTAGATCGTTTACATCGATGATACGATCTACCGGAAGCGTTTGACTAAGCTCAGCGCGGATGACTTCGACGTTGAAGGACTTACCCCCAACAGCCTTGCCTACATCATGTAAGTATAGTTCAGCTGCACTGATGCACATCCTAGGTTTACAAGTGGAAGCACCGGGAAGCCGAAGGGGGTCATGATCGAGCATCGATCAATCTCTACTCTCGTTCAGAACTCGAGCGTATATGGTTTCCAGCAAGGTCTTCGTGTGGTGTCTTCCTTAGCCTACACTTTCGATCCTTTCGTGGTGGATGTTTTCGGCTCCCTCTCTCATGGCGCCACTCTTGTCACTGGCCGCAAGGAACTTGTCCTTGGTGACATACCCCAGGCCATTCGTTCTCTGCGCATCAACGTCCTTCACGTTACGCCTTCCATTCTCGCTATTGCGCAGAGGAACGGGAGAACGAAGAGCAATATGGCAAGAACACTTGCCTTATATCAGAATGGTAGTAGCGTTTGAAGTAAGCTTGATTTGTTTTGAGGGGCTCAGTTGTCAAGTAGACAAGTGAAGAATGAATGTAGAATTCGATGGGGATTGAGGAAGAAATCCCCGAGTTTATATACATGAGTAGGTACGCACAGACCAGTAGCGTAAAAGGAAACTACTACTCAGTATAGTAAGGAATAGCGCAGAAGGTCATGGAATATGACATATAGTATGATGTCAGTATGACATCATTGTGGAGCTGCTTGCTAAGGAATGTCATGTGATGAACAACATGTTGATGCATGTGTAAGTCTGGATCAGTCTAGACGTTGGAACTATCAGGATATTTCCAACACTCCCCCTTGCTCTAAAATGGTAAAGTCACAAGACCCATTGACAAGCGATTAGTTTCGAACTTCTGCCAAGTAAGAGATTTCGTAAGACCGTCTGCTTTTTGTTTGTCAGTTTGAACGTATTCAATACTGAACAAATTATCTTGAACACATTCACGAATGAAGTGCCATTGGACGTCGATATGTTTAGAACAACCATCCGATACAGGATTCTCTGCAATGAAGCGAGCTCCCATATTATCGCAGTAGAGAATAGTTTTCTCAGTCTTCAATTTGAGTTCATCAAATAGCATAGAGAGCCATTTGATTTGTCTGGCAGCATCGCATAAAGCCATATATTCAGCTTCAGTGGAGGATAGTGCGATAGTCTTCTGTTTTCGTGATCGCCAAGAGATTAGGGAATTGCCAAGATACATGGCATAACCGGTGGTTGAATGACGAGTGTCTTTATTTGCAGCCCAATCAGAATCTGCAAAGCCATAGATTCAAGATTCAAGTCCCGAATAGTATAAAGCCAATTTTGGAGTAGATGCAATATAGTGAACTATATGCAAGGCTTTATTTCGGTGATCTTCAGTAGGATTTGCCATATATTGAGACATGCGAATCACTGCAAAGGCAATATCGGGACAAGTACCAAGAGCCATATAGAGTAATGACCCTATGATTGATTGGTACTGTGACCGAAGAGAAGATGTGGCTTGATAATCTGATGGTGCTTTTTCCGGTTGATATCCCGAGGGTAATGGAGTGTGAACATTTCGAGCAGTCTCCATATTAAACCTTTTGATAACCTTTTTAACATAAGGTATCTGGTCGAGGTAAATTTCTTTCTTCGACCTATCTCAGTGAATTTGAATGCCAAGATATTCCTTGACTTCACCAAGATCTCGAGATTCCCATTTCTTCATGAATTGTTCTTTCTTGACTTTAAGAAGACGTTTGTCCGATCCTAGAAAGAGTCCATCATCGACATAGACGAGAAAGATGATGATTCCAGCTTTGGATATGTGGATATATATTCCAGCATCCACTTTTGAACGAATGTAGCCCATTGCGAGTAAAGATTGGTGAAGGGCTTTATTCCATGCCAATGCAGCTTGCTTTAAGCCATAAAGGGCTCTAAGCAACTGATAAACCTTGTGTTCTTGACCCGAAACTTTGAAACCTTCTGGTTGCTCCATATAAATTTCTTCATCAAGGTTGCCATATAAGAAGGCAGTTTTAACATCCAGGGCTTCTGTGTCCCAATTTCTTTGGGCAGCGAATGCGAGTAAGATTCGAACAGTTTCGAATCAAGCCACTGGAGAGAAGGTATCTTCAAAGTCAGTACCGAATTCTTGTGTAAAGCCTTTTGCCACAAGATGAGCTTTGTAACGACCATCGCTTTTAATAGTGAAAACCCATTGACACTTTACAGGTTTCCAATCTCTGGGAGGATCCACCAAGGTCCATACTTGTCTTTCTTCAATAGACTTTAATTCGTCTTTCATTGTGTCAAACCACTTCTTTTGCAAATTGGGAGTTAACTTTAGCACATCTTTATAATGTTCCGGTGATTCTTTGATCTGGGCAGCCAATGCAAACTCGAAAGGATGTATTTCCAATTGTTGGTCTGGCATGCCTTTTGGAGAAGAAGGAGTTTCCGGAAGTGGAGTAAGTGGAGATGGAGGAGTAGTTCCTAGTGGATGTTCAGTCCACTGGCGAGGAACTTCCGGAGGAATCATAGCAGGAGGTAACCTCGGAGAAGGAGGTCTGCGCTCTTCTGCATATCTCTGAATATCTTCTCTAGAATTGTGAGCATGCTGCTCAGCATTTTGAATCCACTGTTGTGCTTGATCCCGATTTTGTTGAATATCTCATTCAATCTGAACTGGAGGTCTATCTCCATAGAGATTTCCTGGACGAGATACTGGTATAAACCGACGCTTTGGACGAGGTTCTCTGTCATCGGCAGGAGGATGAGCTCTGTGAACATTATGCGAGTCTCCTTGAATAAATTCTGGTTGATAGGGATGCCTAAGATGATGAGGGTCGACTGATGGTGCAGCAGCAGGTGCTCTTCTTTGTTGTTGTTGAGCTCTAGGCTGGTCCGCAGCTCTCTGCTGTGGGTTTTGTTGTTGTGGTGGAGTATTAGGACAAGGTGGTTGCTGGTGATGAGTCGGCGGTTGGATCTGATCAGGATCTGGTAATGAATGTAGGCTTTCTGTATCGGAAACAGATGATTCATGGTCGTCTTCGGTATCGGGGTCAAAGGTTTCGGATTTTGAATGACCAGAGCAGAAAGGAAAAGAGTCTTCTACGAATTTTGCAGTACGAGAATGAATAATCTTTTGTCCATGTAAGAACCGATATCCCTTTGTATTAGGCTCGTAGCCTAAGAAAATCATTTTGACTGCATGAGGTTCCAGTTTATCTTTTCTTTGTTCTTTGGGAACCCATACAAAAGCTTTACAGCCAAAGGTGTGGAAATAGGTTATGTCCGGAATTTTTCCTAAGAAAAGTTCAACCGGAGTCTTGAAAGTAATCCTTTTGAGAGGAGTACAATTGTACACATGAAGTGCACAGTCAAAGGTGAAGTTCCAGAAGCATTTTGGAACACAAGCATGGTGTCAAATGGTCCCAGCTTTTTCGGAAATAGTCCAATTAAAACGTTCAGCACGACCATTTTGCTGTGGTTGGTCAGCAATAGATAACTGATGAGTGATACCATGCGAAGAAAGGAGCGCCTTGAAGGTATGACCCATAAATTCTCCCCCTCAATCTGAACGGAGCACAAGTAAATGATGTCCAGTAGTATGTTGTACAGACACCATCCAATTGGCAAAAGCAGTATAAGTGTTGGATTTGTTGTGAAGGTAGAGACAGAAACCGTAGGACGAATAATCATCCAAGAGGGTTAGAATATATTTGGACCGAAAATAGGATTCGACAGGAAGTTCGAGAAGATCAGCATGGACCAACTCGAGAGGCTTTGTAGCTCTTTTCCATGATGGTTTAAAAGCTTCGGAAGAAAGTTTGCCTTGTGCGCAACCTTTGCAAGAGGTAGTTTCCCCTTGTATTTGTATATCTTGTTTCAGGCCTAATCTGTGAATATGTCTGAGAACTGTTTGTGCAGGGTGACACATGCGATTATGCCAAAGAGACCCTTGTGTATCCTTGACCAAAGGGCAAAGGACCCCAAAAGCAGTGGTAGGTGGAAGCGGTACGCCCACAAACCAATGTAGGGGTGAAGTCAGTGAAGCTACTTTTGCTTCAAGGACAATCCGGCCATTTGGTGCTCTGATAGTCTCGCCGGTAAGTGTCGCTGTGCTCCTATACCTGTTATTGAGGAGTGCATTTCGAGAACATAGTCGCTTTGAAAACAAAGGACTGTAAACAACATTATGTAGGGGCAGGTTACTGCCATTTTCCAGGCAAATAACCACTGTTCCTTGACCGAGAAGTTGAACCTTTTTTGTGCCTGCAGTAGAGGCCAAAGGTGGATTTTTAAATTCTCGAAAGGTCAAGAAATCAGTTTTAAATGGAGTCACATGATGTGATGCTCCAGAATCCAACATCCATAAAGACTCACCCTTTGGTAGGTTCTTTTTTAGATTTGCATATGACAAAGGCACACCCAAGGGGTACAAGTCATAAGAATCGAAGGCATGACCATTGAATTGCATGGGTAAATACCCAGAGGCAGACTCGTTGGGATCATACTCGATGTCTGGATTATGCTTTATACGAAAAGGTTTATACACAGGTTTTTCTGGCACAGATTCGTGAAATTGAGATAAGGACATTGGCTTAGCTCGCTTTTTAGCGGCTTTAACTAATACGGATTTTCGGAGAGATCCTCCATCTCTACTATTCTGTCCTCGAAGTCGAGGGGAAGAGAGATTAAAAGTCCGTTGTTGCGTCTCAGACGCATTGCCATGGTCCTCAACATTCCGATTCTCCACCAAGTTCTCGCCAGCCAGAATGGAAGTTCCCATTTGTACTGAGGGTTCGAGGGAACCACTCGTACATGTCCTGTCCTGCTCAGCAAGGGGAAGGGAAATCATCCTCTGATAAGAGTCCGAGTGCTTCCATTGCTCCGGTTCCCGAAGGGAAACTGCCAGCAGGTTGCAAGTTGTGACTGTTTGGCGACAAATAGAACATTGGCAGGAATTAGAGCCAGGAATGTTAACATGAATCTTGACTGACTCAACTTGATCTGGTTGGAAATTTTGAATTTCCTCCAGATACCAAGGAGCAAGATTTCCGGTTGTTACATCAACTGGATAATTTTGGGAATCCCCCACACATTCCATCGCCATTTGTAAATCTTGGCGGGAAAGATCAGGATCATACATCTCGGAGTCAGTAATGACATGTTGCCCGAGATAAGTATTAAGGTCATTAGAATAGACTTGTTCAACCAGAGTAGGATCCGGGAGAGAATATTCAGGAGATGGTTCGCGGTGTGGAATTTTGAGAGCATCAAGCTCCAAATCGAAATTAAAATTTTCAGCAGCATTCTCGAAGGTTTGTTGATCTGGGTAAACATCCCGAGATCTAGTGTTTGAATCGTAGGAACCATCAGGAAGTTCCTCGATATAGGCAGTGTCAATTGCTTCTGCACCTTCTACTTCGAGATTGTAAGCTTGGGCTTTTCCCTTGCCTCGGCATCTGTTCTGGCCTCGGCCACGAGAA